TTTTTTTAATATCTCCCCTAAAACCCTGGTCGCCTCCACATCATATCTGATCCGACAAGTCGATGCATTGATTGATTGATCGCCCCCTTCCCCGTCGATCTTTCTGCTCTATTCTTTCACGTCTTTCACCCCTTCTTCCCACAAACAACTTCCCTATCCATCATTCTCAACTCTATTATAACCCAGAACCTTGATTGTCCTTCTATCCTTACCTAAAAAAGATTCATCCACAGATAGCCGCCTCCCAACGACTACCACCTGGGGTCACACTAGATCGCCACCTAGCCTCGTCTCGGATTGGCCAACAAGACCAGCTCCGTGGCAGATCAGGCGTCTATTTCCAATCTTTTTCTAGTTGGATTCCTTTTTCACCTTGAACTTTTTTTCCTTCTCTTTCTCTTTTCTTCTTTTTTTTTTGATCTCTCACTTTTCGGGAATACGACTCCACCCCAATATCTTCGAACCGCTGTCAGGGATACTCGGCCTCTCTTCCCCGGCTCCGCCTGGTTGGTTTAGGAGTTCTTACTAGCTGCAGTTCTTACTTCCACCGGTTCGCCCATCGAGCTCAGGCATTTTAACTTTTCTTTTTTCCTCCTGCACTGTCATCTTGACCGACTTTTGACTTTGTGATACCATACCATTACACCCCGACTGTGGTGGAACCTACCCTCATCCTCCCCTTATCTCGACGATCCGGCTCGAAGTGAAACCCGCTCGATCTCTAGGGGTCTATACTTCCCTCGTCATCGAGAACGCCGGACTTAGTGAACATACTATACTCTGTTCGATAGGCGCTGGCAATGTTAGCTTCCATCCCGCAGATGGAGACGGTACGATCGCTCCCTAGGAACCCCGACGTCGTTGCGCGACACCCATCCGCAGAGGACCTCGATGCTGCTCAACAGTTGATATCATCCGCCCAGGCGGGTCGGGAACATCCTGTCGACCGGCTGCGCGACGATCAAGGCCCGAGAGGTTTCGAGGAAATGCCTAGCCGTGGCCCATATGAAGCAGACAAGTACCTGGATGGGTCGACACAACATTCATCTGAAGTCGGAAGAGGTTCGGACAAGGCATCGTCACCCAAGTCTCAGAAAGATACATCATTTCTAGGACATTCGTGCAGGTTAGTGTTGATTTCCACGCGAAGAACCTAGGCCTCCCAAATGGTACTGACTCTAGATGCTCCATAGTAACTGCGGCACAAAAAGCACCCCATTATGGCGACGCTCACCTACCGGTGCCATGATTTGCAATGCTTGTGGTCTTTATTTGAAGGCTCGTAACGTGGCCCGACCGACGAAGCGCAATCGTGTGCAGGCCAGTCCTGAAGCTACGCAACTATCGAGCAATCCCCCGCATCCTCCGCATGATTCACCTGCCCCGGCGAATGAAGGAGGAGGAGGAGGAGGCGGCTGTCATGGCTCAAAAGGATCGTGTCCTGGCGGTGGTAATTGTAATGGTACCGGAGGGGCTGAGGGTTGTGACGGGTGCCCCGCTTACAACAACCGTGTGTACAAAGCGACCCCCCGCGGCACGATGCCTGTGCATGCTTGGAATCGAACTACAACCTCCGACACGGAAAAGCCTCTGCCACTACAAGAGCCCGAACTGTCTGTCAAAAATGGCACTTCGCCAGCGCCGACAGAAGGAAATTTGCTGGTATCCTGCCAAAATTGCGGCACTACGGTAACTCCACTTTGGCGACGAGACGAGAATGGGCACCCTATCTGTAATGCGTGCGGTATGAATTTTCTTTATTTTTATTTTTTAACCCCCCCCCCCTTTTTTCCCCTATAGATTAGTCCTATATTCATCTGAAAGACGATAGCCGTACTAACAATTCACTCCAGGTCTTTACTACAAACTTCACGGCTGCTATCGGCCTACCACGATGAAGAAGACCATTATCAAGAGACGGAAAAGGGTTGTACCAGCGCTGCGAGAACATTCTCCGACAGGGGCCACGCAGTCGTCGAATGGGTCGTCCGCCTCGCCAGAAGCGTCTCCTGCTGCATTGGCTCCGGCTCACGACGACCACTATCGCTATTATAGCTCGGAGCCGATGGATCATTATAAGCATATGCCTGGTGATCGGATCTCACAGCAGGCCCCAAGGGAGTTTGGCTTCGCCCCGCCACCAGTTGATTTCACAGGTTTCGGCTCGGGGACGGTGTCTTTACCGCACCACCCTCCCCCACCAAGGCTGTTGGAGCCGGATCGCATTAACGCTCCTAGTCATTCTCCCGTCTCACAATTCGGGCGACGCTCTCTTTCCCCAAATCCTGCGAATCCCAAGAAACGGACTCTCGCAGAGACCGCGTCATCAGCAGAGGCCGCTTCGATCCCCACCACATTGGAATCCGGGTCCAATCAGCTCCCACCGATCATGTCATCTGCCAATCCTTCTCCACCGGGTCGTCTCAGCTCAATCTCTTCCATTCTAAACCCATCTAGCACGCGGGACGAGTCTCGTTTGGATCCGTCACTCGCGGCACTGAGCCGCCAGCAGCACCAACATCCGCACCAAACGTTGGCGCCTCCGCCCCCTCAACCCTTGCCCGGCGTCACGGAGCTGGATAATATGCGGGAAGAGCGCCGAGCCCAACTCCAGCGCGAAGCGGAGGAGATGCGAGAAATGTTAAGAGCGAAGGAGCGAGAATTGGCCGAACTGGGACGGCAATAATCTGAATTTCCTTTCATGAGACTCAATGTCTGAATGTGCTTTTGCTCATTTTTGTCCATTAATACACCAGGCGCAACTGTTGCTTTCTGACGAGATACCACCTTCAACAGTCGACGGATTAACCGGGATTTTTTGTTTCCATATTCGGGGAAAAGTGGATTTGGGATTGTGTGAATTACCTCTTGTATGTTATTTGAAGCGCTTGCGGGAATAGCGGGTTTATCAGAAAAAGAAAGAGTCCAGGGAGGCTTTGTGTTTTATGTTTGATAACTACAGATCTCTCCTCAAATTGAGGTTTTAATTTCGGAAACGGCATACATACATAGATGGATGAGATAGATCGGGAATCGGATTCACAGTGATTTACAGTCAACAAGTTCAAGCATGTCTCAGAAAGTAAAAAACGGAACGGCCCGAAAAGTCTCATTTTGTGAATCAATGAACTCATGATGATGTGGACATACATACATCCAGACATCCAAAGCTATACATCTAAGCTGCACAAGTCGACCCCTACCATATCAAACACTCATATGAACATCCATGCCAAACAAAAAGAAAATGCCACCCCCAAAGTCCTACACCCTAACCTTCACCGGCGACGTAATGCTCGGCCGTCTCGTCGACCAACTCTTCCCAACTCACAACTCCAACCCCTCCACACAATCCACCCTCTCAACCTTCCTCAACGCTCACCCAGCTCTGAAATCCTACTCCCACCGCTCTCCCTGGGGAACAACCCTCCCTCTCTTCCACACCTCCGATCTCAACCTCATCAACCTCGAAACAGCCGTCACAACCTCCAACACCCCCTGGCCGAACAAAGCCTTCAATTACAGGATGCATCCGGACAATCTCAAGGCCCTGAAAGAGGCACGCATTGATTACGCCAGTCTAGCAAATAACCACACGTTGGATTTCAGCGAGCCAGGACTAGAGGAGACTGTGCGGGAAGTTAGGGCTTCGGGGGTCAGGTTCGCGGGCGTGGGGAAGGAGTGTGATGGAGCTGCTGTGTTGACGCTACCCCGGGATCTTTCTTCTCATTCTTTTTCTGGTGGACTTGGCGCTGGTTCTGAATCCAAGATTGAAGCTGGGTCAGAGTATAAGGTCCATGTGTATTCGGCCTCGGATCATCCGCGGATGTGGTCCTCTTTCCCGCACTTCAATTTCATAGACTATACCCCCGCGACCCGGGTAAGGCTTAAAGAGCTGTTAACGAAAGGAGTGCAGCCGGCACTGAAGATCTTCTCTGTGCACTGGGGCCCGAATTATACTTGGCGGCCGGATGGGGAGATTCGGTCGCTGGCTCACTTCTTGGTCGACGAGTGTGGGGTTGATATTGTGCATGGGCATTCGGCACATCATGTGCAGGGGGTCGAGGTTTATCGGGGTGCTTTGATTCTGTATGGGTGTGGAGACTTTGTGGATGATTATGCTTTAAATGGGGAGTTTCGGAATGATTTAGGGGCTGTTTGGAGGGTTGTTGTTGCTGATGTTGGGGGGAGATTGGGGGTGCAGAGGTTGGAGGTGTTTCCGACGAGGTGTGAGCGGTTTGTGGTGGAGCTTTTGGGGGTTGGGGAGAGCGATCATGCGTGGGTTAGGGAGAGGATCGCAGGGTTGAGTAGGGAGTTCGGGACGGAGGTGAGGGGGAGTCTGGGGAGAGAGGGTCAGTTTATTGTGGATTTGAGTTGAGGTTGGAGGATTTTTTGATATGCGGGTTCTTTCATGTATGTATGTATGTATGTATGTATTTATGTAAGCTTTTCTTTTTCTTTTCTTTTCTTTTTTTTTTTTGATATTGATGGTCATTATGGTATTGTGGAGGTAATGTGCATGGCGAGGAATAATCGTTTGCAAAGAAAAGGTTTCCGTGAAGACATGGAGGGCTTGGTGAAGTAAAGATATACAACGGATGTAAAGATGGTTTATTGGCATTATTCATGCGTCCATGACGAGTCTCCGTTGACTGGCGGATTCCTCGTATTTAGAGGTCTCTTGGGACATTTCCGTGGTCACTTCGATTCCCTTGATGTCAATAGGTTTATCGTCTCCAGACTGCACGTCGATTGTGTACATGCCGTAATCCGGGCCTTGAGAGCGAAGTTGCATCCTGTTCGCTTGGGACCGGCTGGCCCTGATGGTTGGGTTCTGGGTGTAGCGGTTGTAGCTTTGAGTCGACAGAAGCTTGGGGAATAGACGGCTGACAACCGGTCGCAGGAAAGGAAGACAAGCGCAGATTATGGCTACATTGCACTCAGCCGCGGTCCAGTATGCGGCGCCCACGTTGCTGTCTGGTAGTGGTTAGCGATGGATATGGATACCACGCTGTGAGTCTTGATGCCCGCTTACAAGATGTATCGAAATCGTATGCGACTGCATGGAGACTGGAAAGCCGCAGAACGCTGGTAACGACAACCCTGGTTATAGTCAGCATCATCGTCTATTCGTGTTGGTCTCATACAGAAACTCACAGTCCACCAATAGCGAAAACTCCCATCAATGCGAGTTTTTGTATGCGGGGAAGCTGCAGCTGAGAAAGGAGAGGCATCGGCATGATAAGAAGAGCAAGGTCGGTAGCGATGTTCATGGATGCATTGAAGAACCAAACGGCCTCAAAGCTCAGGCACGAGCCGGGAATTGATCGGTCCCAGAACCTGGCCACTGGAACGCAGTTCACAAAGCCACTCACAACAGCCCAGGTCGAGTAGGCCGCAACAATACCCATCATGACGTGGCAAGCATTACGGAATCGACGATCAGGGAAGATGCGCAGGTATTGGAAAAGGATTGAGAACTTGGTGAACGCGAGGCTGGCATTGTACATAGGAATAGCTGCCCAAAGGCGCTGCAGTAATAAAAATGAGCATTATACGCGACAGTCGAGTGCGCTTTATGGCTGCGTACCTTCAATTGTTGTTTCAGTTCGTAACCTGATATAGCGTCATTATGCTTGCCGAGGCCGAAATGTACCTCTACTGCTAGTTAGAAATGGGTTCGAGACAATGTCCAGCAAGATTTCTCAGTAGTCGTACCGGCAGCAACCAAAGCTAGGTAAACAATAGCAAGAACCTAAGATCAGTAAGCAATCATTCGAAGGATGCATGATAGTGTCTATCCAGCAATGGAACTTACCAGAGAGAATAGAATCGTGTAATCTTCGCGACCAATCAACTTCAGCAGACCAACCCTAGCAACCATTCGCATACTGACAACAAGGATGGATATCGCAGTTAGCGTGGCTGTCACCACCAGCGCTCGCTGTTCCCGTGATGCTCTATCATCACCATTCCTAGGAAACAAAATATGCGGCAGTGCTTCTTTCATTATGACGTTATTAAAGAGTGTCTTGAACTAAAAGAGCGTGGTTTCCAGCATAAAAATTAGTCTGGACAGATTGCACCTCAGTGTTTGCCCCTGGATGATGCACAATCCCCAGGCTCGTAACCAGAGGTCAACGAAGAGTGAACTGCATGAGAGATCGTTGTATCAATGACAGGAGTATGGAGAAATTATCTATAAGTGACTTGGTGGGCTCCGGGGAAAGACTAGGGTGTTATTTTCCTCGATTTGTCGTAGTCAAAGTTTGATAGTCTTCAATAGTGCACTGAAACAGAACGAGGATGACTCGCTGGGAGCATGTGCAGTACTAATCAATGACCAGAGAGTTTGCTTTCTTTTCTTTCCTTTTCTTTTTCTTTTTTCACCCCCCTACTTACCTCGAGCATGTGGTTCCATAATAGTGGCAACCATCTAAATTTACACTACTTAGTATGTCTCCACATGCGTCGTCCGTCTTCGTGGGTTTAAGGCTGTGTACACTGAAGAGTGAGTTGAACAATACAGCCTGACTGATATCCTGTCAATGTGGTAGACCCATGGTACGACATCCTAACCGACTTCTGTTAGAATTTCCCGGTATAGAGTAGTTCTACTCATGCCTGTGCGGAGACTTCGGCACTGTTAGCGCCTCTGATTCGGGCTTTTTCTTTTGCTCCACTCATTTGAATTCTCTAGTGCCCACGAGCAGATGTAATTGAGTGGATATTAGAAGTTGCTATTCAAGACCGATAGTTCAATCGCTACTCCTTTCTGCCTACAGCCGAGGTACTGTATGCAGGTGGTTCAATAACCATGAAGACTCTGGACTGAGCTGAACTGAATGGCAATCGACAAGCTGTTTCCGTGTTTCAACTTTAAGAACGAATCAACCATGTTGGAGCCCAGTGATAAAAAGCTCCCAGCAACTTAGTTGCCGACAAGTTCCATGGATGCTTGCTCGCGTATAGGGCGGTGCCCATGGAACTTACGCAGTACCGCAACATTGTGAGTTGATCGCGATAGATCGTTCAGTCAACAAGGTTGCCCTCCAAAGGTGGTGGTTATTCTTCAGGAGTCCCTCTATCTTATGGGACGGTAACTTCTAGCAATCTGTTTATCCAAGGAGGAAGTCATCTCTGTTTCCCGTGGCGCAGCCCAGAAGCTCAAGAACTCCACTTGCAACATGTCACTCATTTTGTTTCGGGTTTCCAGCAAGATAAGAGACGACCACTTGTTCCCAGATGGCCTACTGGTTTGTATTTCGCTACTTTCTAATGTAAACCGTGGACTTGCCCCGAAAGAGGCGAATGATTTGGCCCTCTATGGCTTGTGGAGCAGATTTGGCTCTACGATAGAAGTCTTGATGTCCTGAACTTCTAAGGTTCGACACTCTAAAAGGTAAAGATTTTCCGCTCGTCCGTCGTAGACCGCCTGTTTTCTTGAGTTCGAGACGAGGTCGGATAATAAAGACCTGCACACACTTGGCCATGCCGGGCTCGCAAGGGAAGAGGACCGGATTCACTCACAAATCCCTCTTTTCTCCATGATCGACACAGTGAAGTATCCATAGGCAGTATGACAGCGTTTACCAGGATTTCTTGGTAATCAAATCCGGCATGCTAAGGTGCAGAGAGACGGCATTTCACTGATCGTCACTAATAATGCAAGCAAATCTTATCCACAATGTTTCGAATGCGGATGTGGAGAATATCGGCTTAATTGTGCCGGTAAACATTCGGAACGGAGTGCGTCCGGAAATGTTTCACGCATATCTCACCCTTATTCGGTCCTGCTAGTGGGTAAGAATGGTCTGTTCACAAGCCACTCGCAAACCAATGGAAACTAACTTCTTGCATGGTTGGCTAACTGCCGAGTGAAAAATAGGGGTCCCAGGGCGATACCTGTATGATCGTACAGTTCCATAGGTAAATACAGGCAGAACAGATGAACCATCGCGTCGCTTGGCGATCTTCAAGCTCCCGACTGGATGGTACGCATGGCACTATTGATTTCCATTGAGAGGCAAAGAATGAACTGCCAGCTGAGATAGAAATGATCTTGACGACTGTGCTTGTCCGTGTTTAGAAGACCGGCCTGCTTCTTGAGTTCAACCGACCTGCATTAGTTTCTTGTTTGCCCCTTATTGAACAAGTACAGACTTAACCATTGATACTTTTCATTGTATCACCGTCGTGTTATCGGAGTTTATCGAAGACATTTCAATTAGGAAAGAAACATTCCCATACTTGTGGAAGTTAAAGAAACAGGTCATGGTTTTACAGCAAATTGTGATAATAAAAAGAACATAGGTAAAGCCCCCCAAAAGAGAGAAAACCCAAAAATGTCGTCCAATGTCAAAAATGTCATTTGAGACCCACATCATAATTTTATTGAGTTATTACTGTCAAAGCTCGGGTGGTGATCGTCAAAGGGGTGAGGGGAAAGAAGTACAGTAGGTTGGTTGTGTTTAAGTGAGGGTCGATAAATGATAACATTACCCCCTGACGATCACCTCAGCGGCTAAGCAAAATAAACACTAGAAGAATGAGTTCCCCGCTGGATCATGCCCATGACATGGTATTGATAGGCGTGTATACAAACTCAAGGACAACTTTACTGGCTTGGAAAGCTTGCCAGCTGCCCTAAAGCCTGGAAAGCAAAGCTAAAGAAAGGGCAGGCCAAGCACTGTCGATTCATATGCACCAAGGCTCAGAAGGTGCTTCAGGAAAGGGACTTTGGGCCTTGACTTTATGGTTCTCAACTAGCCCTGACCCTGAGATATTGATGGGTATTGAGTTTGCATCAACGGTGCCTCTTGACTAGTCATGCTGTCTAGGTTTAACGATCACTCCGCCCTCGCTCCTTGAAAGCTGAAAGCATTCGAGTTTCTGGCATCTCTAGATAGCCAAAGCCATGTATATAGCTAACATCTCGTGGAACTGGACATCTTGTTGGAAGCTGAAGTGTTCCCGCCTTCTGAGGGACTTGTCAGGATTGGAAAGCATGTAGCCAAAAGGCAAAATGGGTACGAAATATAAAATCCATCAGTATCTCGGGTCAGGATCAATTAACTCGCTTAATGTGTAAAGATCCTTTTCTGTAGCACCTTTGGAGCCTTGGTGCATATGGATCGATAGTGTTTGGCTATCTTCCCTTTCTTTAGCTTTGCTTTCCAGGCTTTTAGAGCAGCTGGCAAGCTTCCCAGGTGACTAAGAACCCCCTTCAAAATAGGGACAATTGGCTCTTTCCCTCCTGATGCCCCGTCGAGGGTCTCCAAAGTGTCTTCCTCAACAGTTGCTTCCATTCCGAACCGAGATGATTCTGATGTGGCAGTGTCCACGACCAACCAGTCTTCGTACATCTCCATAATGTCAGCTGCCTGGTTGGCGGTTGTGTGTATTTCATGACTCTGTGGATCTGTCTTTGGTAACCCTGTCCCTGCGGCGGTGACGCCTGTTGCTACACAGAGCGCATAGCATTGGATAGAGTCACTAGGGATGCCCACAAGCTCTTGTTCATGTGACCTATCGCTGAGCGTCTTCGCATCGTCTTCTATGGAGCCAGGAGCCAACATGAACACTTTCCAAGATGAAGCAGACATTTGTTTGCCTGCGGTGCATTCGATATCAGCCGGCTCTATCAACCGGCTCAATGGAGATGACTTGTAGACGTTGCTTTGCTTTTTCATGTAAAAATCCCATGCGTTTCTGCGAGAAGATTCACTCTTCCTATGACGTTCGGCCTTTTGACATTCCCACTTATACCTTGAGGGGATGGTGCAGCGGCTAACCAAGCCGTTGCTGCAGACCACAAAATCCTTCTGGTATTGTTCGACTTTTCCCTCGTCTGGAGTCCTGCACTCGTCCCTTTCCAACTTGTCCTCAGTCCATCGGCCATGTAGGCTATAGAACTTGGAAGTACGGCCGGTAGCAAACTGGACGAGTTTGAAGCCCCCCCTGTCTAGATCATCTGGGCCCTTCTCGAGTTCAACAATGACCGGGTCGATAAATGTCGTAGCTCTCGAGAAGATCGATTGAAAGCGAAGTTCGTCCCCGTACTTCGGCACTTTTGGTTTTGCCATTTGGAAAAGCAATGAAATTGCTGGTGGAGTGCCACTGGGTTCGTAGACGGGGCAGCCAAACCAGTTGAAATGGTGTATTAGCCTTCTTTGATCCTGTCCTATACAGAAATCTCGAAATTCAAACTCGTATTGAACTTCCTCCTCCATCAGCGTACCCACAGAGAAGCCTTGGACGCTATTATCCTGGGGTTCTGTCGACGAAATCTCCGAATAGCCTCTGACACAGGGTATAACGCTAGGCCGACAGATTTCCCAGGGTCTCTCATGCGACTCTTCCTCAGTGGGATCTTCAACCTCCAGCTCTTCGTCAAGTTCTTTATCCCAGTAGAAGTCTTCTGGTTGAAGGCACTCTTCCAAATCAGGAGCGATGTCATTGCCTGCTTCCGAAGAGATGTCGATGTCAGACTCAACATATGTCTCGAACATATCCTCCGCACCCTCAGCCCAGCCAAAATGGAGGGTGGGCTTCAACAGCTCATACCGCTGGAGCGCGTCCTCCACATCATCGGCCCAGTCGAAACCAGACATGGGTGTAAGGGCCTCGTTAGGCATCTAAGTAAAGGACAGCTGCTAGTTAGTGACTGGAGTGCTATCACTTGGCCACAGGGAGCTATCCACCTGCTCAGGGGTAGTATGGGTATAGTATGCCATGGTCATGATGAGAGGATTGAAGAACTAGGAGGCCTGTGCAGTTTCGAGGTAAAAAAAAAAAAAAAAAAAAAAAAGAGGAGAGAGAATGTTCTGTCCAGGGGATGGTTACTATGAAGGGTATTTGGAAAGGCGTAAGTAGGGTAGCATACATTGAAGACAAGATGAGTAAAGGTGGAAGAAGCACAGCGCATTTATATACTGTTACTAGGGAGCCTCAGTGAAATGTGGTTTCCTAGGCACTATTACAATTCACTGTAGGAACGAGAAAGTGGCAGACTTCCCAATAGAGTCAAGGCCGAGCGAGCCATTCACTTGGGGAAATTCCGAGCATTCAACAGAAATAGGGTCTGAGGGATTTGTATCCCCTGTAGATACAACATAAGTATGGTAAACCGTGCGATACACCTATGACCTGGGGGGGAATTTCCACCATTTAAACGGAGCTTCACAAAAGATCTGGGACTTTCTTTCAAATTCCCTAGATACCAAGGCCCATTGTTCACAGTCACCCATAGTCTAAAGCATCATTGTGGAACATAAGCCATGATACACCGCATTGGGAAATGGTTAGAAACAAAGGAGTCCACATATTACTCCAGCTTTTTGGAAATCCGCCCCAATGAATGATAATAGAGGTATTTAGACAGTAGAAGGGAAGCGTTTTCTTAAGTGAGCCCTTGTAAAATACAAACAGACGCCCATTAAAGCTGCCACATATCGATAGTATTCACTTATTGAGACTTAAGCCTAACCGGTGGCGTCCTAGCGGAGTCCCTTATATATAGAAACAAAACTTTTAAAGAGAAATATGCTTGTTCATGGTTATCAGCTGACCTTTGTGGAACTTCAGATAAATTCCATTTATATGATGACCTCTTTGAAAGGATCTTCCACAGCCTTGCCTTGGTTTAGTTACAGCCCAGCCTGATAACCCAGATACCCTTTTGAATCCAGAATCTTTGGCATACTTCTGATCTAACATCGTCACTTTTTTTTTTTTTTTTTTACACTCCTAATATTCATGACAGGTTATTCTTCGAGTCAATCCAGGGTTGACTGGAAGCTGGAGGAACACATCTACTGGCACTTGGACCAGTGTTGCCCTTCGGTACAATACTCAAGTGTGTGTATTACCCTGCGCGTCTCTATAACCGTGCCCAACTGCCAAATTAGAAATAATGTCTATTCGATGAACTTATTATGTACAAAGGGGGCCCCAGAGCACAAACGAAAGGATTGTAGGTTGCATGCTCTTGGTAGGCTACAATTCGATCATACCTAAACATATCGGATCTCTCACTGGGCATGATCGCCTTTACTAGATCTAAAATCCCAAACCCGATAGTCTCTTGATTCTCACCCTGCTCTGGAGAGTGATTCATTTGTCTTGTCAAGCTTTTGACACGTCTTCGCTGCCACCCGACGTTCCAATATACCCACCACAAACGAAGCGGACTATGATTTTACCGTCAAAGCGACATAGATACCTCTATGATCGCTTGCCGTACATACGACGCTCTCGGCTACTCTATCTAGCCTATCTCTCCTCTCGTAATTCTTGGTATGGCTCTCAGAAAGAGAACAGAGAGTTTATCAGGTGGCCCACCCTCACAACGGTCCTGCCATGCAGTGTAGAAAGTCCAATAATAACATATAGTTATACCACAGACTACTTGCCCAGTACGATGACCGTAGAGCCCTCATCTTCCAACGCCTTTTCTAGTGGCTATTGCTTTCAAGGAATTAGTCACGAAAATCACCAACAGAAACTGAATGATTCCTGGTGCCTCATTGAGGGATTTAGTAGCATGGATCTCTACCCGATTGAACGTTCATTCTAAGCCTGTACACTTTTCGACTAATCTATACAAATACTAAGCCAGTTCAACTTATGACCCTTGTTACCAAATCATAGCGGATGATCTTCCATCCTTAGAATACAGTATACGGCACGCCAAAACGCTCTATTTGATTCCCCGGCCAAATACCTCTATCTACGACTACCCTCGAATTCGAAAACCCCAATCTAGACAAACAACATAACCCTTTGACATTATCATCATTATAAACGGCATCAGGTAATTCCAGAGAAGAAGAAAAAGAAACCCCAGAAATGATTGTGCTCCTTTCTATTGATTATTGGAAACACAATAGCGACTAGTCTTCACCCTCACAGGCAGGCATTCAACTTCCGAAGCCTCATGTGCTAGTGCAACAGTTGATTTAGTAGGTGTAAGACTATATACAGATTAATGAAGGTGAGACTAGGCTCAGCCATTGAGCGAGCCATGCGGATGTCGCGGGCCTGGGTTCAAGTGGCCCAGGGTTATGAGGTCCATCCCTTACCGACTAACTCGTTTGGTAAGTCGGTTCATCACCCAAGTTATCCAAGAGCTTGCTAAAGATGGAACAGGCTAGTTTACGTCTGATAACCTTAAACTAACATTCGGTCTTAGTCCTAACTTATCCTTGATATAAGGGAGTGAGTTACTCTGCAAGAATTTTCCGTTATGCTGTAGAATGCGGTATTGCACTGCTTGTACCCAGTATGTAATTTTCATTGATCATGGCAGTGTTCATTTGTCAATCATGAAAGAGCTCGTCCGGTACTGCTTGCCAATTCCAAAATTTAGAAGAATACCTAGCAAAGCTTCCGCTAGTACATATCCCTCATTACAGGGATTGAAAAAAAGTAGCATTTCCATTCTCCACCCGTAACAGTGATCCCTACTAATCTAATGAATGTTCCCTTAACCAGACCCAGATAACCGTCCAACGCAAAACCACCTTCAAATGACGTTAGAAAAAGGACATACATCGGTCGAAAGTCCGATCGGCCAAACCTTCAGCCGAAAAGGAGCCCCGCTGCCATGCCGAATCACGACACGGGTTTCCCCGCACAGGAAGCCGACCCATCGGCCTCTTATCACTAGCTACCTGTAGCCCCTGTCTTCTCTGTTCTTCTATTTAATTCCCGAGATCCTGGTTTAGAGTACCGTGGGCGAAAAGAAAAATAGACAAAAAGTATCTAACTTATGAACCATTTTCGAGCCTATTACACTTCTATCGGACTCCTACGACGCTTATCTTCCCCTTCAGGCACACTCTCCACACTTGCTCCATCCGCCCGAACGAGCCCATTCCGCTGTACAGTTCAATCAGCAATTCCCAAACGCACAATGGCGACAGCAATGGCTAAGCGCCTCGAAGGCAAGACGATCGTCGTCACCGGCGCATCCTCCGGCATCGGCCGAAGCACCGCCAAAGAGTTCGCGCGTACGGCGCCTAAGGACCTGAAGCTTATCTTGACAGCTAGACGGGTCGATGCTCTGAACCAGCTCGCGCAGGAGATCAAGGAAGAAGTCGGCGACGGCGTGAAGACATTGGCTGTGAAATTGGACGTCAGCAATCCGGAAGAGGTCAAGAACTTTGTGCCGTCCTTGCCGGCCGGATTCCAGGAGATCGATGTCTTGGTTAACAATGCGTGAGTTTTTGGGCTAGTTCCCGGGTTTCTTTGTCGGTGGGCATACTGACGGGGATTAGCGGGCTTGTTAAGGGTGTTGCCAAGGCTCCTGAGATCGCCCCGGAGGATATCGATGTCATGTTCGCCACTAATGTGACGGGGTTGATCAATATGACTCAGGCTATTCTGCCAATTTTCAAGAAACGGGGCGATGGTGGTCGTGGAGATATCATTAACATTGGAAGTATTGCTGGCCGGGAAGCTTATCCTGGCGGTAGTATTTACTGCGCTACGAAGGCTGCCGTTAAGTCGTTTACCGAGGCTTTGAGGAAGGAGCTTATCGCTTCGAGAATCCGGATCATCGAGATTGATCCCGGCCAGGTCGAGACGGTAATGGATCCTGAGTATCCCTGTGCGACCAGTAAAGCTAATTAGGCGATGCGTTAGGAATTTTCCATGGTGCGATTCTACGGAGATAAGCAGAAGGCCGATGCGGTATATGCGTAAGTCTTCCTTGGGATCGCTGTATTGGAATTTGGAAAGGCAAAGCTGACAGCTTATTGTGCAGAAACTGCGAGCCACTTACCCCGGATGACATTGCAGAAGTTATTGTATTTGCCGCTGGCCGGCGCGAGAATGTCGTGATTGCGGACACTCTAGTCTTCCCGAGCCATCAGGTAAGTTCATCCCGGCATTGCCCTATTTCTAAGCTATTGCCAAACTATGGTTATGGTTTCCCTTGTATTGGGATAGCTATACTGATCGGTTCTAGGCATCCCCCGGTCATTTGCACAAGAAATAGACAAGAGTTCTAGAGTATGACAGGACGGCTGTCAGTACCACGAAAAATAATATATTGGAGATAGAAGACCTATACAGCTGGATTGCGGTCACAGCTAAGCCTGGCCCATCCAGAAGATCAAATCAAGAAAATTTCAAGAATAATCAATGCATGTAAGTCTAAAAGCACAGTAAACTTGGCGTGAACTGGCAGTTGGACAGCAGCGACCAGACTATCTGCAGGAACGATTACTAGACGCCACCCATACATGTACGATAGACATGGATGTTAAGGCCTCAACCAATGCGAAGCCTTCACGTCCATCTCAAGGTGACAGACAGCTGCAGTTTGCATATCGGAGAGGATTGCAGAACCAAAACTAGCCCCCATACAAAATCATGGTGGTTACGTTCCACCGGGTATAAGAACCGTAATCCCCCTCCCCATAGCCCTGTATGGAATTAAGTCTGAAAAGGGGTAATGGGTAATTGGCTCCACCAGAGCCACGAGCGCCCTTTTAGCCCACAGGTCATAAAATACTCGTGGGAAGTTGGAGTCTGATAGGGTCATTTGTTCGAGAGTACAGATGGCTTTTGTTCCTGCTGATGAGTATATGGTGTGATCCCAGTCGGAGGAAGAAAGCGATTGATAGGTTGGTGCCTGGACAGCATTTGGCAATAAGCACCCCAGAAAAAGGGGGTGATGGGGCTTTCGTGTCCAATTTATACCACGTAATTGGGCATCGATCAAAGCATCGGTGGTGAGATCGCTTAACGACCCATGCCGTATGTGCCTTTCGTCCCCGGTTGATAGAGGGATGTTGAAGAACCCAGCTGGATTGTTGATGGTACGTCCTTTTCTTTTCGAGGATGATGTCGTCTATTTAGACCGTCAGTAAGCCAAAAGATGTGCTGTAATTCTAGACTGCAAATTGATGTCATCAAGTTTTGGGGGTTCATCGGGAAAGAACCCTTGTTCATCAGTATATTATATGCATGGAAAATGAGAAGCAATGGGATGATTGGATCCCTTGCATGAGTCGATTATTGGATCGTTTCGGCATACCCACCACGTGAATAATTTCCACGCACCCGCAATGCCAAGCGTCTAGTTTTTTGAAGGCTTACCCTAAGCAAAAAGATCGGCCCCCTCAGGAGACCAACAAGTTTTGGAGGTTTGGGGACGTTCCGGCACATGGTTGCACGCGAATCCAAGTTCACATTAGTGGCCGAATCCACAGACATCTAAGCGATTACCTAGTCTGATTCCTGAACATCCCGGTGGAAGCCAGTTGTGTTTGGAATTATGTCTGTCCGTTTCAGTCGCTGATACGGGAGAGAACTTATTGTAGTACTTAGTCCTCATGACTGGATGGGGACCATTACTTGGTGTCGGAAGAATACTTCTAATTCGTCTCTAGGGCGAACGGACGTCGTTCTAAAGAGTCGCCAATTTCCCCAAGAGATCAACCAAGACAATGCAGTGCTAAGTAGCCCCGGAACTGGGGGCGTAATGATGCAACTAAGGTCGGAGACGGAAGCGTTGCAAAGAGACTTCGGGTATCTGTGAACGAGGACAGTGTAAGGTGACGATCTCACCCTTTCCATGAGCGAAGCACCATGGCGAATTGATATGGGTCAGTGTGTTGAGAGCGTCGATGATTTCGCTACTCTATACTCTGTCTATTCTAGTATTCTATGGATTGCTCTGTACTTTGTACGGAGCAAAGATAAACACCATCGTTGTGCCGATGATGGTGATCGAAACCCGTCTCCGTGCTCGATATCGGAGGGATCAGACGGTCAGACCACGGACCATTACATATCACCTCTGGGAAGTGGAGGAAGAGTGGGGACCACATTGGATCACGAATTAGGATCCATAAGGATGTAGACTAGCACCAATGTGACTTTCTTGCGACTCAGGGACTGGTTGCACAAGATACAAAGGAGAGCCATTGAGGATGGAGCGGATTGTTCATGATGTAACTGCACTGCGCGCCAGGCAAGCTGTCAACTTGAAGGTTAGTCGGCTTAGTTCGCCTTGTATCTAGGCTAAGAATGTTTCTAGAAACCGAGGTCACACGATGGGGGATATATTCTCCGTGTAACGTCAATCAATCAGATCTGACTCTGTCCCGTCGTCTAGAGAACCGCTCACATATCACTCATGAAGTATGAGTATGATTTACCTTCTGGAAGGAGTGTGGCCTTAACATCGTCCACTATCTATGCGTCTCGTCGTCGTCGTCGTCATCATTCCAGTGTTGATTCAAATGGGGGTGTTCATTCAATTCTTGCGCTACTGGGCAAGCTTGCGTATGTGATTGATTAAGTGACCAAGGGTTTTAGGGCCCAGAGGCGGGAACTTCAGAGATAAAGCGATGTGAATCCACTTTACAATGGAATTGATTGGTGTAGACAATTGGTTGAACAGAGTAGATTCGTTTGTCGTTGCATCCATCGGAGTAAAAGGTGACAGACCCTCTCTCGGGTCCAGATGGAAACATTAGAGAGGCGTTCAGGTGGACTGGCGCTAAGAAGTGGGAACAAGTAAAGATTGATTAATCTGTGGCTGGGTCTCCTTCCCAGAGGAGGTTGGAAAATAACCGGAGCCAAAAGGAATCAACGCGAATAATTCGAATGGCGGCTCCTCTTTCCTTCCCCCTCCCCTTTTTTTTTTTTACCTCTCTACTCCGTACTCTGTACTGGTGCCTCTCCAAGCTATTTTTCTTCCTTTTTCCCTCTTCATTTCCCTTTTGATTGAGTTTATTACTCTCTTTGCAATCTTACTGAACTTGAAGAAAGCAATTAAATTGGGTTGTCTTATTCCCACTGGCTCTAATTTCATTTCATCACAACCAACCATAGTCGTTATTTCGTAATTTATTCCCATTAGAGTAGGCAATTAAGTTCTTATTTATCACAACTTGTCCCGGAAGGGGTTGTTTGTTAATAAGAAAGCACACTTTATAAACTAATGTAATTAAACATGAATACTAATTAGTCTTGGAAGGTCGACCACACGCGCAACAATGGCTTAATGCCACACACCGCGACTCCCTTTTCGTCCAGTCCCCACCCCTCAAAAGAACCCCCGAACCCCCTTTCATGATCGTTTATTGATTGTTGTTATTATTCTCCAATCGGCACCTCACGCTCCCTGGGGGGGAAAAAATGAAAGAAAAATAAGAAAAGAAAAAGAAATAGAAAAAGGAACATTAGGTAACGAGGTAAAATAAGTAACTCTTTTACTGAATCATCTCGAGTAACAAATATAACAAATACGGTATGTTGGTATGTTGCTTTCCTCTTTTTTTTTTTAATTTTTAAATTTTAGTTTTTTTCTCTTTTCTCTCATCTCTTTTGGCCCTATCTTCTCTAATTAATCCCCCACCTCCGTTGCTCACTTAAACTCTCCTTAATCATCAATCCCCCTTCCCCCTCTGAAATCTCCACTTCGTCTTCTTCATTTACCTCCCTAAAAGGAGCTCTGTTTGATTTTTTTTATTTTGATTTTTTTTTTGTTTTAGTGGAAATAGGAGAGAGTCGACATTAGCTTTGTATAGGGAATTTCAACAAAAAGAAGCGGCCTACCGCCTCGCATTCAGTTCCCGCGGATTACCAGAAGTTCCACGAACGCTCCCCCCCTGATCATCTCACCCCATCCGCCTTTAAGCTTGGCCTAGTCACCTCACTAGACCCGCCGTTGCTGTGGACTTGTCCTTTAGGCGCCTCTGTTCTGCGCGAAACTCCCGACAAGCTGGGCCCCGACTCTTGACCCTGCTGCAAAAAAGAAAATTGTGCTACTGCTCTCTCGACCCGCTGTCACTCCTCCCGTCGGGATAGCTTCGATCATCCTCCTGCCCTCTATCCTTCCTACCAGACACACCTCCCGGCAGAATACTCTAGAATGGCGTCAAAGGTAAGCTTGTTCTACCCGACGCCCCCCGGTCCCTGGAATTCGCCTCTTCCACGGCTTCCCCTTTGCTCCACGGCTCGCCTTGATTTTTCCAACATACCCCTTTCACGCCGTGGCGCACGTTATACTTACAGTTGTTTGAACCCTAGTTTCTACGAGAATATAAATTGGTTGTCGTCGGTGGTGGTGGCGTCGGAAAGTCATGTCTGACAATTCAATTGATCCAGAGTCACTTCGTGGACGAATATGACCCGACAATCGAAGGTGAGCGCCTTCCCCCCCCTGCTGCCAGCCATTGATATTTCCCTCTGGCGGACCTTGTCGCTCATGAAGGACCCCATTCAACAGATTCGTACCGCAAGCAGTGTGTTATCGACGATGAAGTCGCTTTGTTGGATGTCCTAGATACAGCCGGACAGGAAGAGTACTCGGCAATGCGTGAACAGTACATGCGAACCGGCGAAGGCTTCCTTCTTGTTTACTCTATAACGTCGCGCCAGTCGTTTGAAGAAATTATGACGTTCCAGCAACAAATTCTACGAGTAAAGGACAAGGACTATTTCCCTATCATCGTGGTTGGTAATAAATGCGATTTAGAAAAGGAGCGAGCCGTCACAGTAGAAGGTGGGTACCAGGCCTTAGTCATATCATCTCCATGGCCGGCATGACTGATGATGGGTTGCGTCTATCTACAGAGGGTGAAGCTTTAGCAAGGCAGTTCGGCTGCAAATTCATCGAAACATCCGCCAAGTCTCGCATTAACGTCGAAAATGCATTCTACGACCTTGTCCGTGAGATTCGTCGGTACAACAAGGAAATGTCGTCGTATCCGTCAGGCTCGGGAGCCTTCGGCAATCGCGCCCCGGAGGGCAAAATGGACGTGAGCGAACCGGGCGACGGCGCTGGTTGCTGCGGAAAGTGTATTATAATGTAATTGGGCAGGCGTTGGACTTGGAAAAAGGATACAATCACACGAGTCGAGATACGGAAGGGAGCAAACTACATAATAAAAATTCGACTGGAAAAAGAGATATGGGCGACAGGAAGAGCGCCACGGCCTCGGAGCTAATTGCGGCTTGTTGACGCTTTTTGGTTTGTGCAATTATACCATACGACTCGCTATCGGATGATGTCTGTTCCAATAACGACGTCATCATCTCTATGAACGTTCGATTCCCCCTTTGTTTCTCTTTCTTAATTATTATCAAATTTTTTTCTTTTTTATTTTTATTTTATTTTATTTTTTTTTTTTTTTGGAAAAACTGTTTTTGACGATCTTGTTCTGGGCAGGACGAGGAATTAACCCTGTCAGTAGAACCGTGCATTTATATAGGTACATGCTATTTTCATGGTTTTCATTCTGGTACTTTGAGCTGCAAAACCACCATTGCGTTTGGTTCGTCCTTTGCCATCATTTCCGTTCGCAACATGATCGACGTCCTACTCTGCCTTGCTGTTCTCGTTTTCTTTCATTGCTCGGGCATTGGTGTGGCACTTTGTTTATCTATTGAACATGTTTCTAAACCGGCGTTACTTGCAGGGGCACACGAGCTGTCCAAACACTTGCTTCAGATCGGTAGCAACCAACATGTCAGCACTTGGGAAAGATTGGAGTCTAGTGTTGAGGCAGTTGTCGATTGTTAGACTTTGGTTTCTGATTGCGATTCCACTCTTCGCTGTCCGTTCCCGCCAAGGCATGCACTAAAGGTAGTGGTTCCTATCTTCTTTCAACGTTTCTTTATAATATTGGCTTTCACCCGTTCAGTGGAAATATTAGTTACTCCTACCTATTTTTGGCCTTTTGGTTGAATGCACGTTAGCTTCTTGTCTACGCTTTCATTTGGAGCACCTGTCCAGGGCAACATGGGATTAAGCTTTGGAGCACGTAGTGAAAGATGGGATTTGCCATTATTCTCTACTGGCTTACATACATCGTGACGATGTTGACCAATCAATGTTTTGTTCCTGCTTACACGTCTGCTAGTACTTCGAACCATACAGCAACATGAAAGACATGAAAGCAGTTATCTGACTATCGATGCGATGAGCAAATGTTTGCGCAAGGTTCTCGCAAGTTCAGGAGCGGATAGAATTGTCTGGATGTTTAAGTGTATATGGATAGTTGCATCAAATCTATGTACGTGGCATGACCAGTGCTCCCTTATTTACTTTACTCCGCATCAGAAGGGGGATCGAGTTCATCTTCCTGCGTGACTCTTCTTCCCTGGACGTTCTGCTCAACCTCCGATACCAGCGAGTCCATGAAATTCTGGTCGGTTCCAACTAAAGTTACGGTGTTACGTTTCTTTCCCCAGCGCGGATAACTGCCAACCTTTATACCTTGCGAAGATGTCCGCGTAGCAAGGTCCGTCAGGTATGGTGCCACAGCACTCTCAGGGAGTGGCGTGCTGAATAAATAACGATAAATGCCCTTGCCCTCGGGGTTGGTTAACCGAGGAAGTAAAGTAGGCTTCAGATGTTCAAGCAGGCGTTCGAACAGGCGGGGGACGCCTGGCAGGATATGCACATTGCCATTGACGATGGCGATTGGCACCCACATATCATCCGCCACGAAGATCGCCTGCTGCTCCTCCGGCAGAGTATCGTCGTGGGGGAGCTCAACCATGCGCAGCTTCGCCGTCAGGCCGGGCGACGGCGTGTCCCAGTCAAACTGCGGCTGCATTGGGTGAGGTTTGGAGAGCTTCTTCATACGATCAAAAGCAGCTCGGTGCAGCTTTAACTTCAGGCCGAACGCCTTGGCTATCGATTCATACGTAATGTCATCGTGGCTTTTTGTTCCGAGATAAGGGACGTAGTTAGCTTCCGACATAACAGGACAGTCTCCGGGAATGCGAGGCCTTCCGAGAGAAAAGACCGGGGTATACGGACGTCGGCCCAATGCCTCCACTGGTCACCACAAAATCGTAATTGCTACTCATGCGTCTTACGGCCTCGATAATCTCGCTCTCATCGTCGGCAATGACTTCTACACGTTTGAGCTGGATCCCCAGGGAGAAGCAGTACTTGGCGAAATAAGCAGAGTTGGTGTCGATTGTCTATGTATTTCAGCCCAAAAGGTCAGTTATTTATCCGGACACAGACCGCGGCAAAAGCGGCAAGGGAGAGGAAGAAGGTCCAGATGACAACGATTAGAACTGGACGCAAAGAGTAGCTAAACCCGTCCAATCCCTACGCACCTTTCCGCCAAGCACCTCATCACCAATGATCAGACATGCTGCCGTGTGTATCGTTTTCGTGTAGTTATGCACCGCAGATGATGTCATGTTGGAGACACAAGGTCGAAGTATCGATAAAGCAGCGGGCGAGGCGGTTAGGTAATTGGGTGGTGGTCGAGCGAGATGACGGGTCAACTGACTGAGCCGATTGAACATCAAGGGAGAGGATGTGTGGGAAGGGGACGAAAAGAGACAGACCGAGGGGTGTCAGGTGGGAAAGTAAGAGACGCAGGCACGCGATGACGGCTTTCGGAGTGGGTGGGGAAAAACTCCCTTTCCGCTTCATTTATCCCACTTTCCCGCAGAAACGTGGAGCACCACGTAGTGAACCTACTTCTTTTATCATCCTTTCACTCTGAAACCTCTAATTTCGGATTGACGAAACTAGGATTACTGTGTTCATTCCTAGATCTGTCGGGAAATTAGCGAGTACATCGACTTGGGACCCAAAAACATATCGACAATATGGTGAGATTGCCCCGCATTAACTGGTGATCGACCCGCGCCTCTGACGATAGCTCGGGAATACAGTCTTCTGAGTCTCGGTTATATACGTTCTCTCCGGAGACTAAGGAGAAACTGCGCAAGTTTCGTCTTGGAACTTCTAGAGCTAAGGATGCTCAGGCTATAATATGTAAGGCTTAGACTCTCTTGTACATCCTTCCAAATGTTAAGCCAGATATGTTGATAATCAGTTTAAATAGATATCATTGATCAAAAGAGCCAAGAGATTCGTCCTGAAGATGGCGAAATCTACACAAACATGCAGGACTTGGCCGATGAGCTTCCTGATTCATCACCCCGGTTCATCCTCCTCAGTTACCCCTTGACTTTGGTGAGTGTCCAGACCAACGAGTTACAATCTACCCATACTGACTGTACACCGCCAGAAATCCGGTCGCCTCTCGGTTCCTTATGTCCTTCTCTACTGGCTCCCTGAGAATTGCAACCCGAACTTGCGAATGATGTACGCCGGTGCCGTTGAGTTGATGCGAAATACCGCCGAAGTCAACCGTGTGATTGAAGTCGGGGAAGAGGAAGACATCACTTCCATTGAATCGAAATTGCAGAGTGCGGATTAAACTCGAACGGTTCTTTTGGATAGACGGTTATTCCCGGTGAACTCCTTTATGTTATGACATTGGCGCTTCTATCTCCGGGTCGGCGTTATGCATTTGACATTACTATCGTCTTTGACACCGCGTGGAATGACGACGATGCTTGGTTTACTGAAGCGAAACCATATACTTTTTACCAACGGCCCTGGTTTTCTTCGCTGAAATGTTTAATCTTCGGCCATGTAATAGACTCGGGTTCTCTTGAACTATACATATATGTATGTATGTATACTCTTCGAGATGTGAAAGAAAAGAGGATCGTGTTATATTACTGTATTATGGGATCGAGGTCTAATATACCCTTCATGACCATACTTAGTGACGTATACTCTGATATGATGCAAATTGATAATTAGCTGTGCTCACGCGGCCAATCGCAGATGGTTATGCCGGTAGGTACTTAGTATAGAGGTCACCTTGAAATAGAATTCGACTTCAACCATTCCCTATGGGACAATCCAGCTCAAAAATACGTTCGGAAAAATTCCGGGATCAGGATGTTCCAATTGTTGAGACAGGTACAACGCAAAGAAAGGGAACTTCACCGTAATATAAAATGTAACGATGCGTCGATCGTACTTGATGCCTCTCAAGCCTTTCTTTCTCCAAGGGGAATGTATTCAGAGCTACTGAAGGCTGAGGGCATGATGAGACCACCTGTTGTGCTGGGGCCGGGATAATTCTTAATGAATGCAACTAGGTGCACAAAAAGAAACAGTAACCTGATAGTTCCAGAGAATTAATCACACGTGGGAGCATGTGGTGTCATCATTAATACCCCGTTGACAGGGGGAGAGAGAAAGAGTACAGTCAGTCCACAGGGAGAAGATAGGGCCGAAGGATGTCCCTCCCAGACAAATCCGATGCAGGAAGGAAGAGTAGTAGAGTGTTTCAAAATTAACATGCCCAGGTGCTCTAGGTAGCACATATGTGTATATAAGTAGTATACGATACAACCAAAGATGAAAATACTTAATCTGGTCTTACCTAATCTTTCCATGGATACATAGTTATTTAGCAAGAAAGCCAAAATTCATTACTAGTTCCATACGCGCCCACAGTGGAGACCAGGACTAGGCCCAGAGTACTCAGGTAGGTTAGGGGCCTTAACTCTTTGACAACCAGAACTTTCTGAGACTGAAAGAAAGAACTCTGCAATTGTATTTCAGACTCAATGGACAGTTTGAAAATAAAATGTGATTGGGGGTCCCACTCGGTATAATTCCAAAGATCGGTTCTATATATCTAAGTAATTGTCCAGGCCTTTCTCTCCCCTCTCACAGGTTTAGGTTCTGGAAACCCCCCTGTCTGGACTGGTCCCAGTGACCTGGCCAGCGGCCACACTTCCTCAGGCACTGACCATCGTGTCACTTGGTAACTCCACCAGTGCAGATGCATGATTATACTATTTGGGTGGTTTTTGTTTACGGAGTACCCCATATATAGTAATCTAGACGTTTGAAGTATGCACAGGATCAGATATTCATGCAATCTCAACCAGATTCATGAGATCTAGTATCCTGCAACAATAATGATTAATGTTCATTAATAATAAAATCACCCCATTAAATCCCTAAAACGGTGGGGGTGGCCTCCTAAAAAAACCCGTAGGCTGGAAATTTCTCCGACACCCTCGTCCGTCAGCCTGCAGATTGGGGGGTGGGGGGATGTTTTCCCTCTCCCTCAGACGGGCTATCTGCAGCAGCAACAAAATGGCTAGCTACATATCTTCTATACTGCTTCCAGTACCTGAAAGTTGCACGTTATCTTAACGACCTTCCCAATATGGAGTAAGTGCAGTACTGTACTCAGGCTGTGCAGAGTCACCAACGAAGATATAAGAAGCAAAAAAAAGAAAAAAGAAAAAGAAACAGGAAATCCTAAGCTGAACATGTGTGTCCGGGTGCAGCCGCCAGTCCTGCATGATTGTCGGTCGCCCGTTGGGTAGGACCCTTGCTACCGTACTACTGTAAGTAATCACTTTTTCCCTTGTGTGGCGAAGGGTAGGGTTCCTGTCGGCGGTTCGCTGTTTTGCATCATCGTGCAGGTGGTGGTAGTCCGCTATACCCGCTATCGCCTGTTTGAGTCGCTTAATTTGATCGTGGGCTGCTGAGGGGTTTTTGTTCATACGATCGTGGCCGGTTGCTTGCGCCCTTTATGTACATACTTTTACGCCTATGGTTTAAAAACTGTACGTATCTATAATTGTATACTCGTGCGCGCGCGGGATCTAGGGATAGAGTGAGGCGAAATAGGGGAAGGGGGAAGAAGGTTCGTGACATGGCTAAGCGCTGAGGCACTAAACAAGGTGTCTCTTAGTGGTTTATCATCATGAAGAAAGAGGACAATGATCTGAGTACTCTGGCTGGCTGATCCGGTGCTATTTCACGATTGTCCCGGTACCTATTCTGGGAAAGATGGAAAGTATCGTGATATGCAGTTAGTCGAGGGGGGATTATCCGCTAGATCATGTGTATTGTTTCTTATTCATTTCTCTGTCGTGGCTGGGTGATTAAATAAATAAATCAATCCCAATGCGTGGGTAAAGGTCGGCAGCGGCAGACCTAGTCTATTGCCGGTAGTAATATTATTAGGGGAGGATCCTCTAGGACGTTGGATATTGGATGCTGGATGTTGATACGGTAGCAGTATGGTCAGGTCATCGCCATAATGGTTTCATTTCCTTCGGCGTGTATTTATGTATCATGCGGTACTGTGAAGAAGACCCATTCCAATGGTATGGTTTCAAACTCCGGACTCCGCGGAGTAAAGACCTCCCAAGTCCGCCATAACCGTATCCCGAAGGATAAAACACATTATTATTATGGCCCTTCCAAGTGGGACGATTGCATGATACGAGGCTTTCAGTAGTCATGACCATACAAACTTTATTTGACAAGTGATCATCCTCTTGAATGGTGTAAACCATTCATTAATTCATAAAGATCCTATGCAAATATAATAGCATCATCTTGATCAGCCTGAATCACATACTCCAAAGTTTAAGTCCAACGGAGCTGACATTATGGCCCATGAACATCCATAGGTTGAACTGCAGGAATAACCACCAGCGCCTACAAGACCAACAGCTCAGGCTTTCACTAATGTCTCAGGATCATCATCTCAACTGTCCATGAATAGGACCTTCAGATTGACTGTCAAACTCTGGGCTCGGGCATTGTTCCCGAGCGGGAACAGCGCTATGATTTTAGTATCATTGCTCCGTCGCTTCGGTTCACTTGCTAAACTCCATTAGATGCTGGTAGACAGGTGGGCCCGCTCCCAAATTCTCCAGCAGCAACTACTTTAGAAATTTCCTTCATATTGTTACTCGGTTACGCGCCAGCCTGGTGGAGGACTTAAATTAGCCAACCAACTGAACCAGCAACCTGGCAGATGGGAATATTACCAAGCTTTCATTCTCCTTTGTCGGTCATTACGGTTGTTTTCCATTCTTACGAGTCAGTATTTTGGTACCTGTACCCATGTGTCAACCCAGAACCTTAAGTCTGTCAAGTATTATTTATCCATTTTTTTGTTCGTTTTAATTTTTTATTTTTCTTTTGCGCTGGAGTACTAATGCATGGAATGCAATTGTGCAAATTCTCCTTTACTGTATGAACTGTATGTATTCTCTGTATCACTGCACCTCGTTGGTAGCTGGCGAACGTCATTTAACGATTTTACGAAATTATAATTCATTTTTTTATCCTCCGAAAAATCATCCTTACAAATATTGACTCTGGAGAAATCCCTTTAAAATAAATATAAATCATAATAAAAAGAACCAGAGCGACCCATGGGCCACTCCCTTTAGACTCAACCCATACTAAACTTGTACCCACACCCCTCTCGCTCGTCCGGATCCCCCAGAAAGCCTATCCGGCTACTATTTATCATTCGGACCGCCACTGTTGGGGTCCCGATGTTACTCTTTTTCCCCCGGTGATTTGGCTACCTGACGTTGGTCGCTTCTTCCCTAGAACGTTCTATATAACTGGTTTCCCTCACACCCCATTGAAGGATAAGGTACTGACCTCGTTGCTACCTTCCACTGACCGTCCCCCTCGAATTTGACTGATCCAGTCCTCTACTGGATCTGACCGCCGCTCGGCCAATCAAGCGAGTCCACCCTTAAGCGGCTTCCTTGCCAGTGCAGACCCTGCGCGTTGGGTTTTGCACTTCACCGTCTCGCTGGGTGTCCCAACCCTTTGGATCGGTACACGTCCGTGTGACCTACTACTACTATATACTCAAACAATTAACTTCACCACGCCTTGACGGTGATTACCTCCCCAGCAGGTACTCCACTTGGCCAATTCGTCTCGGATTCTTACCCGTTCAGCGTCGCCTTTTTCTTTATCTTTATTTACTCCCCCCTCACTCTACAAGTGGGATACCGCCGATTTTACCAACCCCCGGAGGATATAGATGAACGGAGCTGTGTGAATCAAATTTAGTACAAAAAATTGGTCGCCAAAAAAACCCTTCCCGACACGAACAGGACAGACGGTCTACCGAGGTTATATAAGGATTCTTGTTTGCGAAACCAAAAGATTGTCCCAAGTACAAAGCATCGTTAAACACCGCCCGTAAAAAGCCCCCAAGCATCATGTCGAGTCAGGGGGGCCCGAAAAAGCCCAACGATGGGAAGCAGGAAGGATTCTCGAAGTATCTTCATCGTATGAGAATGGTGTTGAGAAAGGGCTCGGCTTCGAGGGCCGAATCTGTGTCCGACTTGCAGGAGACTACTAGTGGAGGGTCTGAACCGGCCAAGTCCGCATCGTACGTTTCGGTTTCTTTCTGTACTTATAATGAACGCACTAACTTGAACACAGTCCGAAAGCCGCGGCCCCTACCAAAATTCCTGCTGCTGTTCCCAAGATCAACCCCGCTCCAGCGAAGGAAACTGTCGCCCATCATGCTATTGAGCCGACCGTTTTTAAGCATTGGGGCGCCATCCAGGAGGAAAAAGCTCGCGCTCTGTTCGCCAAGTATGGGCTGACCCTTGAGCCCGGAGAATGGAAATCGCCTACCGATGTATCCGTCCAACGTGTGGCCAAACCGATCCGTATGAGAGTTCGCCGTACCTGCCACCGCTGCCAGACTACGTTCGGTCCCGACAAGCTTTGCACCAACTGCCAGCACGTCCGTTGCAAGAAGTGCCCCCGATACCCCGCGGCTAAGTCCCATGATCATACAGAAACTGCCCTCCAGACCATACTCTCTCAGAAGGGCAAGGAGCCGGCCGGTGTACAGCGCAAGGCCAAGGAACCCCCGCTTACAATCCCATCACGCACCGGCGGCCAGGATCTTGTGCACAAACAAACCAAGCAGAGAGTGCGCCGCACCTGCCATCGTTGCTGTACGACCTTCGAAGCGGGTGCTACGGAGTGCCTCAGTTGCAAACACACCCGGTGCAAGAAATGTCCTCGAGAGCCGTACGTGGCACCTTCCCCCGCAGAGACATGATGGAGCTGTTGTGCTAACTGATTCCAGGGCCAAGTTACACAAGTATCCTGATGGTTACCCTGGAGATGCGGAACCCCCAGTGGAACCCCCAGCACGGACTTGGAGAAAGGCCCGTCAAAGGGTGCGGTACACTTGTCACCAGTGTTCGACCTTGTATCAGTCCGGGCAAAAGATATGCTCAAACTGTGGTCAGGAGAAAGGCCCACAAACTATACGAGACCCGTATGTGATTTGACCCACATCCACCCCTTTAACGCAGACGCCATGTTTACTGAATACTTTCTTAGGCCCAAGAAACGAAAGCCAGAGCCAGACCCTGAGGTTGTCAGACGGGTGGAAGAACGATTGGCCAGGGCTACGACCAGCGTTGGTTAGGAATGCGACTGGTCTCAAACACTCGTACAGCGCTGGCATGTTTCGACGAATTCTCTTTTCACTCTTTCCAATTGACAGCAGCCCTATTGATTTCCACTCCTTTCTGACTACCATAGCATTGATACGGCGGAGTAGGCCGATTCAGGAGTCTCTCCGCGTCAGGTCTCGTTTGGAAATACTACCCATTCTCGCCCTACCAAGTAGCTGCCTATTGGTAAATGGCCGGTCTCAGTGGTAGCAGGATGACCAACAACTGCAGTGTAACAATTCTTCGCAGTGTAAGGCTAGATGTAACGATTGGCGCATGCGACCAGAGCTACCAGTATCAACAACCAGCCTGGCTCCAAAGTAAACCCACACCCTCGGAACCGACAGCCCCGATAGCCCTGTTACTCTAACATTAAAATTATCAAGTGGTACCTTTCCATTGTTACTTCTGTCCCCCTACTATTGGCCGAAGTAAACCCAAAACAGCCAACGGTGAGCTCCCATGAGCGCACCGCTGTATGTACTCCACCCGTCATGTCAACGGCACTCAAAGCCCTCATCCCCGAAACTAGAATGTTCTCACGGTCTTTTCTTACTTAAAGCGATAGAGCAGTTAGAAAAGATGCTCCCAGGAGGCTGGTGGGGATATAGTTCCGCACGGAATTACGGTCGACATGATCTTTAGTCACCATCATTCAAGTTGAGGGGTTCTTTTTCTTCTTCTCTTCCTTCCTCCTTGTAGAAAGCCTTTGGTTTTGTATGGCATGATATTTTCACCAATGGGCTGTTTTGGCGCCTGCCGTTTAGCGTTGCCGGTGGAACTTGGCCGTACCGGGAAAACTCCGGCATTAATGATCTTGCGAGCCCTACAGGTGGAGGTAATACTGGTAAATACCTAGAATCATGAATCCATATGTAGATACAGTATGTACGTACATACCTATGTAATTGTATGTATGGTATCTTATTAGTTGGCCTGTATTGGTTTATGCTGGCTGACAGCCATTCTTGCATGGGTGTAGTCAATAAGCATAACTGGAATTGCGCAAATAACAATTCACCTCCGATTCCAATCCATGACCGTAGGGAGCAGAGACACAAAAAAAGCAAGAAAGAAAAGGGAATAAAGAAAATACACCTTTGAACAGAAAGAATGGATTTCAAATCTCTACTCATCCAAATGCCGACCAAATCCCGCCAAAGCCATCCGCCTCATGCACAAGAGAATCCTGCAGCCCAGCCAGATGGGCAAGGACTCCCACTTCTTTGCTCCACTACAGTAGCGTAGGCACAAATACAAAAGTCTGGATTATCGGGTCCGCTTGGCAACGAGGTGTTGGCTGTGTCTGCCTGCCACCTGTCACTCGGACAGATCCAGATCGGTGGGCCGGTTGACGTTCGGATCCGGCGTCCTGTATGGATACCAATAGTGCATATATTATAGCCTAGAGGGGTGATCTACTTTGATTTAGGGATTTGAATCGGGCTACAGGGATTCTTAGTTCATCGTTCACGGAGCTGCGTAGGATTATAGGTTGGTAGGTAAGCTTTAGAAATGAGATACGTCCTTCCCTCATGAGTCGTGAATCGGGCTACTAGCTTGTGGTTTGATGCTTGGACTGACCGATGTGCTAAGGGGCTTATGGAGTATCATTTCCGGTTTTGGATGTTCTTAAGAACTGGTCGTGCCAGGGGCTCCCTAGCTTAAATAGGAAGTTATGACTGTAGAGTTGGGACTTAGGTGTCAGTAGGGGGTGTTGGTTGATAGCAACGTTACAGTTGAGCTGGCCTGGTGGACTTGTTAGTGCTACCGATAGGTTTTCATATGGTCATTGTTGATTAGCAGCGTTGTCCTCGGCCGAGGGACAGTGCCTAGACCGCTGCTCGGTTAGCTCTCTCCGCTCCCTATCCAAGGGCAGGTACTATCTAGGTATGTACATATGTACAATAATGTCTGATCAATCGATCGCCGCCGCGTAGGGAGTCAATTCCGATGGACTTCTGAATCTCTGACGCGTCCGTCCCTGTCACGACGGACACCCCCGCCAGAAATAAGCTTCTCAAAGAGGACATCACACTCAGACCGAAGGCGTGAGACCGAACCAACTGACTCGATCACTCGTTGACCCAATATCTGTCTCGAATCTCTCGATACATCGTGAAGGATCAAGCCACATGCAAACACTCCATACTCCGTACTACGGCGTACGCCGGACCTGGTCGTTATTTAGTTAGTGCTGCCACCTATGTTACCATCGTACAAATGTAATCACTTTATTTTCATTGCAATACGCTCGTTTAATTTCCCCGCTGACGCCGCCTGCTAGCTGCCGGTTCTGGAAATCCCCGAGTAGGCTAGACAGTGCTCGGGCCGCCCTGACTATAACCATTTCTGGTGTCGTCGTGGTAGATCATCCGATTGTGGTGATGCCAGTGTTGTCGGGTTGATGGTTCCGAATCCGTGGCGTCTTGGGTTAGGGTTGAAGCGTGGTTGTAGATGGATTCTGGAATTATGGGGCGTTGGTTTGGTTTTCTTGGGGGGGTTGGGACTATTGTTTTGGATTACTTATTTATTTTATGTCAAGGGGAGAGCTTAGCGGGCTGTGAATGTTGTTCCTATAGTCGGACTTGCTGGTTATGTTATCCTTTTTATTTTCTGTTATATTATCTAAAGGTTGTGATCGTCCGTCATGAGATCGTTGAGACGTTGTATCCGATAGGTTGAAAAATTAAATTGATAAATAAAAAAAAGGACGGAAATTCCGTCATAGTAACCAGTCAGCTGGAAACTTCAGTGTCCCATGTGTACAGCAGTTCATGGTAGTGTAACGTTCTCCTGCATCTATGCTTATTATTAATCCGCATTACCCAGCCGTTAACGTATTTCACATGCGAGTGTTCCACACAGGCGAGCGTTCCACCTCTATATCCCATATAAAATGCCCTTTTTATAGCCCAAATATCCCAACAACAATAAAGATTCAATTCTAAATTTGTTAATATATCTAATAAGTGTTTTATCCATAAGGTATTATAAATTTAGTAGATTTATTAAGTGCCTTTTAAGCTCTTGTATTTTAAGATTTAATAAAATACACAAAAATATAACTGTATTTACTCTATTAAGAGCATTATAGAAAATAACAGTCCCTGTATCTAATATATTAGAGTACCATACAACACCAACATCTTAGCACAGCTATAGCTTCTCTAGGCTTGTTGTTGTTGAGATATCCGACTTGTAAAAGTGACCGTTTCATATGTGATACGGGGCTGGAACGCTCGCCTGTGTGGAACGCTGGCTTGTGAAATACGTTATCTTCAAGAATGGAATGTTACATATGATATAGCACACGTTCTATCAAACCTAGGGGAAAGATAGTTCAATCCATGCCTTACTATATTAATTTCGGAGCATTAACGGAGCCTCTTCAATCCATGGTGGTGATCCATAAGTAAAGTATTATTATTACTATTATTGTAACTTCATTGTGGAAATGACATCAATATGTTATTATCAGGTTTCTGACCGTTTCTTGTACCGTGGGACTCAGCATTAGCCTTGCTTGGCGGTCCGGTCCGTAACCCGTCGGGAGGTATCCCTGGAAATAAAATGATTTAGCGTAAGTAGTGTATTTATGTATCATGGTTAGATATTGTATTACCAGCTGTGTCATGGTATCCACCGGGTCAAGTCCGACACCATGATTTATTCCTGCTCGAGGTATCTCGACGTTAGGTACTCGCGACCTGCTTGATAGACTCCTTTTCTTGTATACCGTGTATTCAAGCTGCATACGCTCACGAATCATAACTGCAGGTATGAATCAGGCGAAAAGGCAACCATTGACCTTGCATCGGGTTTCCCCGGTTCTATCAGAAACACGGGAGCTTCCACGAATGGTTGGATTCTTCCCACGTTTCCCTATTTAGGATCTGTGGTGGTGTAACATGGATTGAAGAGACCCATTGAAAAAAAATTTCCTTTGCACACTCCCAGCAACTGTGTCGAAGTCAGGTCCACTTTCCTGCACGACGCAATCCCAGCACAAATGCACGAGGCGCATATAGTATATACTATCCACTTACCTGCCTGGAAAATCAGAAAAGCGGTCTAGCAGCCTAGATGTGGACTTGGGCCTACACCGTGTATGCAGTTAATCGGGATGAAGCAAAAGCTGGGAAAGGTGTTACCATCTCCCCCAAAGGAATGGATGTGTGCAGATCCACACGCCAACAACTCACGCGCTGGGACTCCTAGACCTCTATTAATAACTCTATTGGGCCAAATAAGACACTTTTGAAGGCAACTGTGTACGCCCCGCAGCGAGATCCCAGTAAACCGGAAACAAATAGGATCGGTCCCGCGAAGAAAGTCCCTGTCTATAAAGCTATATCCCCCGCCTATAACGATCCACTTCCGGGCGGCCAATTCATGTGCTACTGGCCTGGAAGTGGTGGGGTTCGCGGCGAATTTTTTTTTTTTTTTTTTTCACTGGTCCGTTTTTCTTCATAGAATCCCTGTCCACTCGTGGAACCAGACGAAGTCATGCATTGGTGGCTCGCCTACGGAGTATCTGGTATGCACTAGAAGCTATAATAGGTAAGGTACGAGGCGACTTCCGTGTTTTCATTCATGTCGACTGTTTCTCATTTGCCGGCCGTGGCGTCGTACATACGATGTCGCTGCTTATTGTTGCATTCTTTTTTAGAACATGCATTGAGGTTTTTGGTGGGTATGGCTGACTTTCCAGTCCATGCCTCGCTCGGCTGTTATGGTTGTAAATTACCGGTTCGGAGTGCCATCGGAATGATTACTGGTAATGGATCAAGAGCGATACCTGATACGGCGCAGTACAGAGCACTCGATGATATTGTAACTTTCGTTATTCCGTACCTAGTGCGAGTATGCTCAGAATACATCTCCTTTAACCACAATGTTTCCTTCTCCTCTTCATATTACCCGCACCAATTCATTCCGTTCAACAAACTGTTTCCAAGCAGATGTAAGCGCTGGCTCAATTCTGCTAACCGTCCGAATTCCTGATAGGATTTAAATGTTGTCAACCCCGTCTTGTTCGTTTTGACAACGCAACAGAACCGAACTCAAGGCACCGCTTTCGCTGTTCTGTCTGAGTACATTGCACACACCTCACATAAAAGACACTTTTTGGAAAATACCCCAGAGCTTCATGTGTGTGATTTACTCCCACGAAGTCCGTTCTCGACCAATCCAAACACTCCTCGCAGAATGCATTAAAGCAGGTCAAACAGCAGTATAAAAGACCACCGGCCTGGCTGCTGGTTCGGCCACATTGCTCACAATAGTGATGGGGACATAAAAATCTCAGTTTGTCGCGGCGGAATACACTAATCGATTCAAGGCACTCTTTGTGGAAAGCCAATGGACAAAGATCGCACTTCAGAGGGTTGAACTTCCGACAGAGAAAGCATGTCTAGGTATGGTTAGGTCCTATGCGTTGCTTAGGGGCCCTTGAGGCTCGCTACTTACAGTTTCATGCACCATCTGCTTCAAGTCGCCCTGTGTCAAATTTGAATCCTTTGCGTCCGACAAGGCCGCTAGATTGATACTGTCCTTTCCCACTGAGAAGCCGTCAATCATGACCGTTCTTTCCTTCCCAATGCGCCTATCTGCTCGACAAAGGTCCTCGGGCAGAGCCTCGTAGATGGACAGCGATCTGAATCTTGTGTCGACCTTCTTGCCGTCAAATATGTTGGTCTTCACTCGTTCCGCGCGTGTTAACCAGGCCTTTTCTTGGTGAACTGTGATAACAGCGTTCCTCCTGCTCTGGTTATCATTCTGGTCGGTAACACATACATTCAAGATCATGTTCCAGTCGAGCCAGCTTAAATCTTTCGCGTTCAACTTATCTGATATCAAAACTGGTCGGCTGTGGATCAATGCGGACAAGTCCCCCGTATCCATCTCGTTGACTAACCCCTGAGAGTCAAATGCCTTCAAGAAAGTGCACTCATCATAAGCTGCATGTATATCCTCCATCACTTTGGCGGCTACATGTTCTTTCTTGGCAGTCCGACGACTGATCTGTTCTTCCACAGTGCCTTTCGACTGGAGCTTGAAGATCCTTACTGGGCGCGTCTGGCCAATCCGGTGAACTCTCGCCTCGGCTTGCCGCATAACTTGCGGATTCCAATCTTCGTCCAAGAAGATAACTATCGAGGAGCTTACTAAATTGAGGCCTTCGCCGCCAGCCCTGATGGAAATAAGATAGATAAGGTACCTTGGATCGTTCTGAAATAGATGCGTGGAGAGGTTTCGTCTAGCACTAGACGTGCTCCCATCAAGTCGAACCCATCTCACAGTATCACCGCTGTTCTGGAAGAAAAGAAGGAGATCCTCACAAAGATTCAAAGCTTGGGTGAAGTTTGAAAATATAACGATTTTCTCTCTGTGAGCTATCACAAAGTGTTCTATCATCTTGAAGAGAACAATGTATTTCCCGGAATTAGCGATGATATGCACTCCAATTTCATATGGCTCGGGGACTGCATCTTCCAAGAGATATGGATGAATCGAACACTGGACTGAGAATGAGTCGAAGCTGATTTTAAAGCGAGGTTGTTTGAACTCACCTTACGCAATTCCATGAGGATATTACTCAAGATCCTGTATTTTTTCGTTCTAAAATTCTTTGCCAACAGTCTGGAAGGTCCGTCAGTGAAACCACGATCGCTCTGCTCACGGGCCATATTGAATTGCTGGTGTGCTTCTGTCCGACTTTTGTGCTCGCATGGAATACCACCATGTCCATCAAGAGAGAAATTTTCTATACCAGTTAGGATTCTCAAGTACAAAGACCGTTGGAAATCCGAAAGGGGCACTGAGAGTACGGTCTCTGTCTTTGTAGGGATTGAAAGCCCTACTTCTGGCGAGTCTTTCACCCTTCGCAGCATAATGAGGCTCAGAAAATTTTGAACATGTTCAAGAAATTTGGGATCAAATTTTCCGCCGCCAAGGGAAAATGCCTCTTCGAAACATTCTGCGGTGGGTGGAATGAAAACACCAGGGTAAAGCCAGTGAAATATTGACCACAATTCCTTCAAGTTGTTCTGTACCGGAGTTCTTGCGAGCCGGCCACGTTAGTGGTTCACGTTGAACAAATGTCAAATTTTGCCTGCAAGGTATAATCTTACCCAGTGAGGATGAGCTTGAATTCAGCGCGAAGACCCTGAATAGCCTTTGATCGTTGTGACTGATTATCTTTGATTCGGTGGCCCTCATCCAAAACAACATATCTCCAAGTGAAATTTCGGAACCATCTTATATCGGAGATAAGCGTCTCGTATGAGGTGACAACGATGTCCACTGCAGGTGTCAAACTCTTTTGTATTTTGCCTTCTCTAGCTGTCAGGATCTTTTTGATCTCCGCCTTCTTGCCTGGAGTCCCGTGTAATTTGATCGAAGTGAGTTCGGGTGTCCATTTCGATATCTCTGAAAGCCAAGTTTCCATGACGCTGCAGGGACTCACTACCAGAAACGGGCCAGGCTTCCCCAAGTGCACTTCATTTTCATGCTCTTTGATGTATTGGAAAAGTGCGAGCGCCTGGACAGTCTTTCCTAGGCCCATCTCATCTCCGAGGATACCGCCAACTCCATTATTTCGGAGATGCAGAAGAAACGACAGTCCTTGAAGCTGGTATGGTTTTAGCTTTGCTCGAAGCCTGTGACAAATGGTTTATTAGTTATACGACCTGGTAGTCATCGATACACCGGGCTTACCCTATAGGTTGTGACTCTAACTCCTGATATGGCTGGACGCTAACACCCCAGTTATGCCTCGTCTGATAAAATTGCTCTTTGGCGCCCAGGAGTGGAAGTACGATGTCCTTTATGGATGCGAAGAAGGCATCTCGTTTGATTTCAATACCTCGCACGACGTCCACAGTAGACTTGAGCACACAAGGGTTGTAGTGGCCCTCATCTCTGAGGGCCAGTCCGGAAAGACAGTCCTGTGCATAGGTACTAGTCACAGTCAAATGGGATTTGGTGTCTAAAAGGTTGTCAGTCCGGGACATTCCAAAGGAAGAAAGGACTAGCTCCGCTGTTACCATCTTTTCGAACTGGGTGTTCCAAGTCATTGTACGGCAATGGTGGGGTCGGTGGACTCGGCGTCCTTGAAGAAAGGCTAGTTAAAGGACTGCTCCATGGAGTGAGAGAAGAGCTGGAGCCCTCAGACAGCGTTTCATGAAGCCCTTCGACGTTCATGTTGGACTGAGTCTTATCTGAACTGAAATTGAATCTCGATATAATCTTCCATGAGCTCGTTGGCCGGCGGATAGAGAAATCGCATGAGAAGGAAGGCAAAGGTAACCAAAGAAGCTCAAATTTTGGCGACGCCATGACTTGTAGGTAACAATTCCGGTGAGACAATTCTGAAACAGGTCTTTGACCGCTGTACTTGTGTTGATGTAGTCGTTGAGAGATGTTGAGTTGCCATCTTGACTAGATCAGAACCGTATATGATGCTGGCTAGAATAGTGAGGTGAATCCGAGACATGTCCTGTTTGGTTGAGCTGGGGTGATTATAGATGTAGGCTAGTGAATGACCCATTCATTTGCATATGCAACTAGTGTTCTTGCCCCAAACCCTGATGATACCACACTGTGTTGCGGCAGTTGAGCATCCAAGCTCCCATAGGCACTGTAATTGAAAGATGGAGCAAGAAAGAAATGGAATGGCAGAGAATGTACAAATCAATAACTTATGAAATCCTCGTAACAAAGATGTATAACCCGCCAATCTTCCGACGCAAGTCTAACGGACCGCATCAATGCAGGCGTATCTGTTTGCTTCACCCCTTAGAGCATCGTACCATCCAATAAGTAAGAGCTTATCATAGAATTAATAGTACGTAGAGCTTCGTTTAATGCTTTCAGTCTAGAGATCACTAGATTGAATGCTTTAAGACTCTTAAAGATGGCCGATATGAGATGTACAGACCTTAAGCTGTAAGCGGTGGGCCGACTAGTATGTGACTATTAGTATTCTTTGCATATAATATAATGTCCGAGCACATGGTTTGAGAGATAGTGTAAGGTAATGACCCTCCTTAGTGATCATGTCAAGTTAAACGGCTCTTTTGAAACACTAGTGGCTCAAAGGCAGGAACCGAAATACAACGCCAAAAAATGTTAGACTGCCCAAATCAACCGGTGGGGGAGGGGGAGGGGGTGTTCCTAATTTTATATATTTGGCGTTTGCTTGGGATGAACCTCGTTGACTTGTTATTTAAGTGTGTAGACATGCAAGAATCATCTATATGCTGGCCTAAGGGATAACAAAAGGCTGGAACTAGGCCTAGTACGAATAGTAAACGCAGCGATATGCGGAAATAGCTAAAAAGGAAAGACAAACTAAACAAGTAGCTCAATTCATGCTATAAAGTAGATCTGATGTTTCTTTTCTATTTCTCTTGCGCAATTTGTATAGAAGTAAAGAGAAACACTTATTAGACGTTCGCGGAATCCGCCCACGTAAAGACATCAACTCAATTTATAAGGGAATCAATAGCCCGTAATCAGAATCATTCGTCTAGTCCACCATACAGATCCAAGTATCTCAACCGAAGGTCATACCAAGCGCCTTAATATCTCATCCTCTTCAGACTGGCAATCATACGAGATACCACATCCCCAAAGAACGCAATCAAACCCCAATCCTCCGACTCATCATCTCTGTCCCAATATAACTCTTCAAATCCACATCATCCAACCTCCCTCTAGTCCCAAACGCCCGCCTCAAAACCCACTCCCTACTCCTAACATCCTCCTCCTCTCCATCCAACTCCGGAATCAAATCAGAACCCTCCACCTGCCTCAAAACAACCTCATCCTCCGGCCTCGCAAAATACGCCAGACTATATCTCGTCCAATCCGCCTGCTCGCCAGGCGGCGCCACAATCCGATGAATATTCGACCGCAACAACCCATTCGTAAACTTCACCATCGCATCACCTAGATTCACAATTGCGTGACCCGGTAAGGGCCGCACGTAGACCCATTCTGCGTCCGCGCCGGGCGGCAAGACCTGCAGCCCGCCGAGCCGGTTGAAGAGGATGGTTATGCTACCGAAGTCGGTGTGTGCGCCCATGGCTGTGCGGCGGTCTTGGGACGGCTGCGGGGGGGCTTTGATGAAGCGGACTTGGTCGCCGCTTCGGAAGTGGAGGCGATGGAGATCTGTGAGGGTTGACAGGGGGAGGTGGAGGGTTTTGGCTAGGAGGGTTAGGAGGAGGGTGGTGATTGAGTGGGCGGTTTGGGTGAAGGATGTTAGGGTTGGGAGGGCTGTTTGGAGGAGGGGCGGGGATGGGAGGGGCGGGGTTAGGTTTAGGATGTCGTCTTTGGAGACCTGGCAGTTTGTTAGATGTGGAGGTATATGGTGGTTGGGTAGATGTACGTTGTAGAATTCGTTTCGGTCTCGGTTGCCTTGTCGGTCGGCTAGGGCTGCGCCTTGGGCTTTGTATCCTGAGTAGCTGTTTTGACTGCTGAAGTCATATTTTTGCTTCTCAGACAGGCTGAGGTCAAAAAGGGATTTGCCGGTTTCGAAGAGGTCGTCCGTGTCCTTGAGGATGCTGATGCCTGTGTCTGAGTCTTGGAGGTTGAGGTAGAAGAAGCCGATGTCGCGGCATGCTTGCATTAGTCTTGTCACTTCGGCTTCATCGTGAGCTTGGAGCTTAGATAGCGAGAGTCGGAATAAGGGGGCTGTTGGGACGTCGTTTGGGAATGGAGGTATTCCGGGGAAGTTGTCGTGAGTGTTCATTTTGAGGTGTTTTCTTTTTTCACTATGAGTTGCTATGAAACTTGAGACAGATACCGATACTACCCTTGATATATACTCAAGCCCTAAAGCGGGGAAGAGGAGAAGCCGAGGATATTGGGTATTTCTAACAGGTAACCGACGAGGTTACATTAGAGTGATATATCCTTACGGAGATTCAAGCCGGCCAATGTAAACATTCCGCAATCATTACAAATACCTAGCTGAACCTCTTGCACCTTTGCGCTTCTTGACGCCTTGGAAACCCTAATACGTGTTTGCCATAGAGTATCTCTACGCATCAGTTATGGATCAAGGTTCCAAATTCAAGATTATTAGCTAGCCGTTTAATACTAGATTATGGCCTTCGATTCAACGCCAGGGATCAATGTTCCTTTAGAATAGTGGATTACTCTATGTCTAAGACTGATAGGCATCTTCACTGTCCTCTTTTACCGGTACTTCGGAAAGCTAAAGGTAAGTAGTATATTGGTCTCACTTACGATTGTGCGTGTAAACTATAGGGTTATTGAATTGAACTAGTCCCCATGGTGTTATATTCTTCTAGTTATTTGTATCCTAGGTGTTATTATAGGATCACTTACCTGACCTTAATCGTAGGGTTCGATGTTTCAGTTGCTAGTCTTACTAACTCCAGGCATGGGGTCCTGCAGTGATCATTCAGACGAGATCTGGTTTTAATATTCTGCCGCGGACGGTTTATGCAGAGCTATGCTTTACTGTGGTATCAACACCACTTGTAAGCTACTCACTAACTTTGAACATCTTTATCCGCCAGCCTGGCTCTCTGAGAGACGTAAATATATAACTCTAAAGTGGATAGCTGGAGGTTAGTGCAGGTTCACACAGTCGTTAAGATCATAGATTACAATATAAATTCTATTTTATATTTGTACTTCCTATCCTGTCTAAATGATTATTGCTATTAGCTTAGTCTCAACCAATTCTATCAAAGAGCATTTTTCCTGAAGTAGTACATGTTTTATAAAGGTAATAAGAACAAAATACCAATTACTTTAAAAGATTGAAACCTGACATATATACACTTTATTAGATAGCTACTTAAAAATATAATTGATACAACTTGGAGTATATTAAAGAATCTCATGTATTATTCTCCCTGTATCTCCTTATTGGCTCAATTAGTTACAGTACAAGATAAAGCCTGCTTACTGTTGTCAAGTCGCTTGAAATCACTTGGGACACATTGATGAGAAATATAATGGCCAATCAATATGATGATGATATTGGAGCTATCTATCTAGACTTTCAAGCGTGAGGGGAAAGAGAAGGAAGTGTTGTGGGGGCGCGAGACGTGTGCGGGGAAACAAGCATTACCTAAGCAAGCTATGTACAAACAGTACAAACACCAACAATGTGCCCAATTCGTCACAAGAAATAGGCGCAACATTTGAATTGTTATAACAAAGTTTTATCGAGATATATGCGTGAATATAACCACTGCCAAGCTCTGTATGAAGATCGTAAGATAGCAAGGAATTGGTTTCAATTATTTTAGAATGCTAGGTATAGATCGATGTTTTGAAAAATGCTCATGAGTTGTACCATTGTAAACCATGCAAGGGATGAGGTAGGGATTTATGTACAAACAACGACACAGGTATGTTGCTGTCTTCTAATGTCTGCACTAAAAGCCCATTTTGTTCTCCTTCCTTTTAGATACGCACCTTCTATCGGAAAGGCCGCAATAGCCTGTAAAGTCCTAGCTAGGTATTTCTTGATAATACTTGTCTAACAAGAGTGGCACACTGTTTATAGTTTACAATATAACGTATATTGAGATGCATTCTTATCCAGGAAAGCGCAGGGACTTACGATAACCAATGCTCAATGGTGAGAATGTCCATTGGAATTTATTGTACCCAAGATGGTTCTTTGGTGAGGGTACTGGATAAACCACGCCAAACGGAACTGGAATCCTTTCAAACTTATTCCTTTGTGCATTAAGAGGTAAGTAAGCGAGAAAGGGAAACGAACGTTAAATTTGAAGTCAACAGCGCCAGGTAGGCCTTGCTATATTCACAATCTGCGTTATCCTCGAGGTTAGACTGGCCTATACAGCCAAGAGCATCATCTGTAGGTCTGTCTGCACTGTTCTCAACAATTTAGAACCTCAGTTAGTACAAACAAATGAGATGGAATGGTTTTGTCTGACTCATCGGCTTGTTGCAAATTAATGAACCCCCCATTTCATTACTCCTTGGTCCTATCATCAATTTCCATGACATCAAGGAAACCCTAATGCGCTGTTTCTTGGGGATCATCTGGTCATTATTGCCCTTAGGAGTAATGTCCCTTTTGATAGTAAAATTTTGGTAGGTGTTTGCTGCGAGGTTTACGGATACGCCCTACTACAAGACGATTAATGACTTATTCACCGGATCCTTAGATGTTCATGCCCACAGATCATCAGATAAATTGGAGACCTATCCGTCTGCTATAGAATCTCCGTGCTGTTATTTAAGCCACTCCTCCATCTAGCCGCTTTAGGAGACCCGGAAGACCTGGAGTCTTAAGAGCTACCATCTCAAAATCTCTTTGCACAGTCTGCGTGGCAAACCATTCGCCGTTCCCTGTCTGCGAACACTTCTTCCAGGAGCATTAAATGAAGTGAATCCCAATCGGCACACTCTAACTCCTGTACTGAACGACTATGTTCCGAGGTAAGTCAACAGCCTGTCCCCTTTGACAGTAGAGCGTCCTCTTTCTAGTATGTCTAAATAACAAAACCTGCCAGCTTGTCTCCTGAGAGACCGGACAAAGCCGCAAAAGCGATATCTGCCGATCAAGCGTTACTCTATTGCATGTGGTGGCCAAAGGTACCATTTAGGGAGCTTTGTATCATGACTTTCCTTTGAGTTTGGCTTTTGATATGGGATGGCCAAGGAGACGAAACTTTAGAGGTAGTGCCGGCCAGTCTTTACGGGACAGTACTTTGCTCTTTGTTAGGAAAAGGTTGAACCTATAGCCTAGTATGAACTCGGCCTTTTCAGTCGAATCAGAGTATGCTTTCATCCAGAGATTCGGTGCTATTGGAGACTTTATTAACCAGGCTTACAATACGGGTATGTCGATGTTGACGAGTCCTTTGCTTCGATAGAAAAAGAGAAAATACTCACAAGGTCTAAAGCAAAAGAAGATATTCATCGAGGAGATCGAGCTGGTTATATCCACACCTAAAGTGGAGCAACAATTTCATCTACGGCAACATTTGCCCACAACCGAAGAGTATTGGAAATATCGACAAGGTACTACTAACCTTATGGGCGTGATCTTTGCTGCAACAGAGTAAGGCAACCGCTATTCTTTCTGCAGATATATCGGACACTAATAAACCTTGAAGACTCTGTCACCGAACGAGAATGCCCAGCTAAATCATACCTCTGGTATCAGACCAACACAATAATTTCGCTGTTAATCAACACTAATTTTTTTTTCTTTCTTCTCAGAAATAAACTGACTGGATACAGGACAAATGATCTTCTATCGCTTAAAAAAAAGAAATTATCTGTACCTTTCCTTCTCTGTTGACTTCGACTATGGTTGGATATAATGATGCTTACTGAAACCTTCCCGCGGGGAACGGAGAAGTTAATCAGCCTTGTTCGACTGCTTTATAAGTCTCTTGGTGACCTTCAGAAGGCTAGTGATATCGTAGCTACCCAATTGGAGGCTACTGTTGCTAATTTCAGGAACACACGGGAAAACCTGGAAGCACAGATTGAAAACCAGTCCGTTAGAAGTATTTGGGAAATCATGTTGGTTACTATGGACACGATTGCTCAATGGATGTATGTTACTATTTTTCAGGCCTTAATCGTTCTACTCTGACAAGGCAGCCAGACTTATCACTCCCTGGTATGATAACGTTATCCCTATAACTATTGAATGAGTTGAGAGTCGGAGAGATAAGATCTAGAAGTTTATACCACACTAGTGAGATACATAGTTGTTTTGGTATTACTAGTTTCTTCGTGATCCTTATTCCTTTACTACTTGCCCTATCGCTTACAAGGTATATGCGAAGTGGGCATAGTATCAAACCAATATCTCACTCTACTAAGGTGGCTTTATGTTTAACCAATAGCAAATTACTGCGATGTCCTTTAGACTAGGAAAAGTATAATGCGCCCTAGACCTCTCTAGGCTGAGCTACCGGATGGTATTTTCTAGTCTATACTATTTTCCCTTTACTTTTATTTTTATTTTTTTTTATTTTTTTTTTGTTGGTGGGGGGGGGGGGGGGAGAGATCAAAGCTCAGACCAGTGTGGTCTCCATAATAATGAAAAATTGGGATACCGTGCCATCTGCAGTACTTTTGTGCGATTATAGTTGATCTAGACAGAGTTTCGCTGTTGATCAGGGCTAGAGCTGCAAGCGAAATAATAGATATCAGACATAACACAAAAACGTCCAGGTAAACACTATACATGGCAGAGGGACTCCCGGACATCCTCCCATTATTCCTAATCGTGACATTAATTCGTCCCTCGATGATCGCTGACTAACATCAGGCACATCGGAAATGCAACGAGGACATACCTTTTGCTCTGAGGGCTGAAAGCTAGAAATAGTATGGTACAAGGATTGTCAGTGTACAGGATAGCCTCTTGCAGATTTTCTGATAATGCCAAGTCGGAATCCTCAGAATCACTTCAACCTACATCGTACAAAGATACCTGAGGGTATCCATTGACAAGGTACTGATCACTCGTTCATGGGATCGGCCCTCCCCACAATTAGACCCCGGGATGGTCATGGCAAGGAGGTCTAGCCACAATGCAAAGTACACATCAACTCAAGAGAGCTATTACACGTATGTCGAATGTATGCAGCACAGCATTGAAGCATGTTGATAAATGCTGGACAATCTGTGGAATCTCCGCTTTCGCCCGTGCTGCATCCATGTCACTTCCCCCCGGGCTATCACCCTCCTTGAGCATCATTCATGCCCACAATTGCATACTAATCACCCCTTGAGTATTTCCGGCTGGGTATTTCCAGGTATACATGGTAGTCCAAAGCTCATTCATTTTTGAAGGGAAAAGGTGTTACAGCTGGTGAAGAAGAGGAAGTCAAACATGGACCTGAGCCGATTTCCGAGCATTGAAAGACACTTGAATGGACTTGAAGAGACTGAAGCCAAACTTGCGGAACTGGCTCGCAAGTGATATCTATGCTGTGGCTGTTTTGTTATTACAGACACTGATTTGGTTACGTCCGTCAGATAGTTGCGTCAATAAAAGAGGAAGGACAGGGTCAATCAATTAGTATACAACGATAGTTGGTTGCTAACTAGTAGTAGTGAAAGGTTCCCCTCATCCTGCGGTCCACTTGTTGACCATGGAGAGGCTAATAGTGTAGCCTATACTTAGAGCGCTTTCCTTTGAATACAGATAATCCGCTAATATAACTACAATACGAAGCCTATGGAACAGGAGACAAGAAATCATAAATAGCAGCTTATAAGCGTACTCGATTGTGTATCTCCGCTTGTACTTAGTCGTTTCATTATAGTACCGCTGGATACGATGACACGATATAATATTTAGAATCCGCAGCTGAATAGTATAGTTAAACAAATGATACAATAACTAGTATAAGGTAAATTCTGCCGGCAGATTCATAAGAAAGCCAGCTCTTACAGATGGGCAACCATACTCCGCTTATCAACACGAAAAAGTCCCGATAACAAACCAAATTTCCTCACCAACACCCTTCCAACTGTCATCACAAACGACTCAACCTCTACTAATTTCCAATACCCCATAAAACCCCAGACAGCAAAAAAGAAAACTAAAAAAATGACCGCCCCAAAACCCCACATAGGAGAAACCCTCCTCAGGCGCGCTCACACCCCCGAAACATCCTCTCAACTCTTCATCGAACGCATCAAACAAAAACCCCTCTACCTACGCCCAACATCGCCCACCCCAGCCGATAATCGCGACCGCCGCCGCCACTACCGCCTCCAAAAGAAATCCTACTTTCTCCGCAAACAGAAACCGCGGCCGCTGTCCGCGCGCGAGAAGCGCGCCACCGGCATCTACAACCTCCCCAAGGACGAGTGCAAGTATGCCGTTTTCAAGGGCCTGCATGCCATGTGGGTGGAGTATATGCGGGAGATACTGGATGTTAATGCGCGGAAGTTGGAAGAGCTCAATGTGACGGCGCTGTCGCATGGGAGTAAGTTGGTTAGTGCGGATTTTCATGGGGCGGAGGTGGAGGTCGTGAGGAGTCGGTGTGCGGGGAGGGTTGGGGTGAAGGGGATTGTGGTTCGGGATACGAAGTTCACATTTGTGGTTGTTACCGAGGGGGATGAGGTTAAGAGTGAGTTTTATTTCCTTCTTCCCTTTTTTTTTTGGTTTTGGTGGTGGAAGGGGTGTTTTAATGGGGGAGGTTTTGACTGATGTGTTGGGATAGCTTTGCCGAAAGAACAGACGATTTTTCGCTTTCGTGTGCCGTTACCTGCGTCTGATCAGGATGTTATGGATGTGACGGCTGGTGCGGATGCCAGGGCCAATAGCGACAATAAGAAGGAGCTTACATTTGAGCTTCATGGAAGTCAGTTTCAGAATCGGCCGGTTGATCGTGCCAATAAGAAGTTTAAGTGGCGGAATGTGGATTACCTTTGATTGACGGTGTCGGGTTCTATTGCTTATGCTTTAACAATCTTGTCGATACTCTATGGGGGGATAGGCCCCGGGCCCGACAAAGAGGGATGGCAATCATTTGACTGTCATGGGGTCGGTGGTACTCATGGGCTGCAGGACTGCAGGCGCGAGGGATCCCCGGTATCGATTCTATATGGAAGATAGTATAGTCGGCGTAGTCGCCAGATTGCTTCCCAGACACGCAGGACCAGGCTTTCGGCTTCCTGTGATCCCATCCGCTGACATCGAACTCGCACAGTTTCAGGCCGGATAGCTGCGTCTCAAAAGGCTGCCGCTCCGTTTTCTATGCCCCTACGTTGAAAGACTTGTCTCTTATGCTACAGGGACGTAGGCTACGATTACAGGCGATTAATGAATATTTGAAGGACTTGATATTGATGTATTTCAATGGGTATCATATAAGAAAAGATAGATGTTGTTCAGAGTAATAAAGAAGACAGCACTTCTAAGTTGTAATCGAGTCTCTTGTAGTGAGACTTGACCTATGATGTTTCGTAGTAGGGTCGCATCGTCAAACACGTGAAATGGTTAGACAGGCCGTTCATCTATGCCCCTAGCCTCAACAGAGGACGTGCATGCTTTGATGGCTAATATGTATTGCTCGTGAGCTTCTGCCAAGACAGTGGCGAACCGTGTATATTAAGCGCCAACGGCCGTGTTTCTGTTGATAGGCCGGAGGACTACCACACAGGATGTGTCGAGGGCTCCAAGTACCTTCCAGGCAGTCTTCTGCTGAGCGATGTGCCTGTGTCGTCCACGAGAGCGACATAAAGACAGTAGTCCAATGAAGTCTGATACCCTAGTCTGACACTCTTTCACATTCCTGCCCACTCGATACTAAAAGTCCGTACATTCTCTGCGTCGGCAGGGTCTTCCTTCTTTTCAGCACCGCCAATAAGGAACCCCTTCTTCACACCAGTACCCAATCGACCTCCGGCGACAATTTCCATCAGATCGAGTTCCTCATCCCATTCGGCAGAGGCGACTAAGAAGTGAGAATGGAATCGCAAGGGGTCTCCAGGATAGGCAAGATACTGGCAACCAAATCGAAGCCCGGGGGACAAGAAATAACCCCCGGCATGAAGGTGTGCGAACAATGGATAAGACGAGGGAACCTGCGGCAGGGGCAAGAGCTGCTCAGCAGAAGGCTCCGCAGGGAGAGGGGGGCGAGCCGTTGCGGGCGTAATTCCCATGGCATTCTCGGGATTGAGAGAAGTCGAGGTACGGCGAGAGGTAGTTTGACTATTGCCTCCGAAAAGCTCCAGCGACGGGTCGCTCTTCGGCTCATCGCCGACAGCACGTTCAGATTCAGATATCTCAGAAGTTTGTTTGGATTTGGCAGCTTTGGCTTTCTTTTCTTCTAATTTCTTTAACGTTTTGTCTCTCAGTTGTTCTTTCCGGCTAGTCTGCAGCCGCGTCGCTTGGATGCCTTGGAACTCTAGCTCACGGAGATACTTCTGGCGGTCTTCCTCCATGAGGGCCTTCATGCCTTGATTCTGAACTTTTACCTCGTCTACAATGCAAGCTACACCTTTCTCCACCAGCAGCCTCGCCTCCTCCGGCATCAGCTCCAGGGGCAATCCCAAGAAGACATTTTGCTGTGGGATTTGCGGTAGGGTACCAATCAACACACCACAGATATGATACTCGCGTCTCAAATACGTGACGGCATCAATCGAGAAGAGATAGTAGTTACCCGCGATATACGAGATCGGGATGGGGAGGATGGGATCGGTAGCCATTTTGTTTTCTATTGTGTGAGAAGGTGCTCAAAATTATAATTCCACTGCTACCACAAGGTCCTGATGTTAGCGTATTGCTTGACACAAGATATGCAAAGTACAAAGTAGTAGAGAAAGAATGCAAGTCATTTTTAATACGTTTCTCAGTCACATGTGCTCGGTTTATTGAGATTAAAATTGAGCTTCAGGGGATTGACAGATTATAGTATATGTATAATCATGCAAAAAAACTAAGGTAGCATAAGAAAAAAAAATTTGAAAACTTACCATCAAATACAAGAGTACATGGCCAAATACAGGGACACTCTGGAGTTTGACCAGCAAAACCAGAGATCTGTTGAGAACTGAAGCCGTAGTAGTCGGTGATGAGAAAAGAAAGCAAATTCTTTGGTGGGCGAAGCTCTCTTTAAAAAAGCTAAACCCTGATGGAGCCATCCCTCTTCTGGTTAGTGCTAGATCCTGGAGTGCCCGCTGCCTGAGGTATGACTTATTGCGATGGAGCAAAACAGAGGTCGTCAAGGCATTGCGCTGTTGACAACAGTCTGGTCTAATTGATCTTACAGTGTATGTTCTTCAGAAGAGACAAGTTAACTTATCTTCCAATACAAAACTTCCTTAACCAGCCATCGTTGTCACGTGTCATATATGGGTGCGCTAAGCCTAGAGCGGCATTGCTGATCAACCCAAACAAGAAACCATTGCTTCTATTCAATGCTTTTCTATCCTAAGCTAGCATACTAGTGCGTACCATCACCAGCTGTGGCCGTGATGAACTTTCTTGTGCTCCTTTTCTTGGTGTTCTTTGCACCTCTCTTTCTACTTTTAGGTAAGCGACTGGACCTCCTGCCGCCCACTGTTCTTTTCGCTGACACCTCGAAGCGTGGCTTGCTCTGTCGTCTTGTCTAGGGAGTCGCCTTCGCTCTCGGATCACACGGGATTCGCTCAGAGAGGGTATGGATGCCTACGGAAGGGACTATCTCCGAGGAATGGCTAGCTCCGGTCCTGCCATGTCCGAACAAATCGAGTTGGAGAATATGCTAAGGGAATCGGACAACGAGGAATAACTTGGATACTGTTTTCTCCCTCATTCGACACGGCAAAATCGTCTTAGAATTCTAGATCCGCCTTTTTTGGCATTCCGCCTGGAGCCGCACTTTCTTGGGCTTCCGTGTCTCCTTCCGCCGGCGGTAGGCTGAAGGGCTTAATCTCGAATTTTCTTCTGCTAAGCGTAAACGCCCAGTCTTGGCCTATGTTCTGGTCGCTACCTCCGCCTCGTTCGTGTAGCACGGGCAACCGATGGGTCTTGAGTACGCCCTGCGGTGGCTCTTCACCAGCTGTCACAGCACCGGAGGTTGCAAGGGCGTCTGCAGAATGGGGGAAAGGACAAAGCTCGATGACGCCATCGTTTAGAAGCTCGACCCATCGCACAAGCCCTGAGGAGCGGGGGAATAGAGATAGAGGCAGTGTGATCATAGCCGTGATGCGAGCCGAGGGTGCGCTCATCAAAGCTTTGAGAGAGTGAAGAAACGGCAGAATGACATCGGGCTGACTAGCCTCCGGTGGGTATAGCGTGGGGTTGAGCAAAGAAGGAATGATAATGCGGTGGACTGTACTCGGAGGACTTTGGGCGATGCCGGCTTGAAGGCGCTTATATATTGCAACGAAGAGGGGCTCGTTGGAGCGGGCGAGAGAGATATACGTAATGTTGGCGATGGAAGGGTGGGTGAGGCGTTTGGTGAGATCGAAAGCATGACAAAATGCTGGCTGCTGAGCCTGGCCTCCGTTCGCTGCGGGCGAACTTTGATCTCCTGGGGTTGCAGCGGGCACTGCATCGGTTAGTCTCATGACGTTCCCAGTAGCTTCTGTAGGTAGCAAGCACAATGACAGCATGATTCATGCCTTACCTCTTGACCCTGCGACTCCAGCCCCAAATTCTCCCAGACGCTCATATCTCCAGGCAATCTTCATGCGTTCTCCCTTTCGCCTGTCTGGTTTCTCATCTGCAACGTCCGCGGAGCCTATCAGAGCTGGGAGGCTTCTTCCCCATTGCTCGGGCATCCCGACAACGTGAACTTTCTGGTCCTGTACGACCCCTTCCGCCGCATAGTACCGTAGCAATGCGCCCGCAAAATCTGTAGTTCCATTTTCTTCAATCAAAAGGGTCTTTCCGATGGGAAGTCCGCCATGTCCAGCTAAAAGATTATCCAGCGACCGGCTACCTGTGGAAGTAGTCGGGCGCCCATCGTCGGGAGAGGGACGGATTCCGGGATTCGATTCTGGGACAACTGTGGATTGCTGCGGTTGCGCGGAGGGGTTGAGGGGAGAGGCGCGATCGGCGCCTGTGGACAGACCAATATTTCTTTTGCGAAAGGACATTCTGTGAGTAGTTGACTTGTCTGAGCTTTGTTGCTCTTGAATACCTTTTTTTTTTTGAGGAATTGCTGCGGGGCAGCTTCCCGGCGGAGTAAAAGCGGCAGTGCGCTAAAGGTCAAGCAAAAAAGCTGCGGCGATTCCTTTTGCAGTTTTCCGCCCGTCAACCTCTTCCAACTGTGTCGTTGCAACCCCGTCGCAATCCTCCATTCTCTCTCCACTCGGGTTCGCCTTGATAGCTCTGAGCGAACTGATTATCTTACCGTATAGCCGCAGCAATGTCAGACCCGTTACTTTTCGAAGACACTTTCACCATCACTGGGGTCAACCAGCAGAAATATGATCGCGTTTCTCGCCTGACCTGCACGTCTACTGATCACACCACTACTTTCACTCTTGATGTCAACACTGAGCTGTATCCTTGTACGACTGGAGAGTCGGTGTCCATGGCTCTCGCCTCGACGCTTTCCCTGGACGGCAAGGAGGATACTGGTTCGAAGGGCTGGAGAGAGGTTGGCATGGGCGAACAGACCTTGGCGAATGACTACGACTATGTTTGCCATGGAAAGGTTTACCGTTTCGAAGAGGGATCTACCCAAGGTAACATGTAAGTAAATCCTTATTGTACCGGGGTCTCTCTAGTCGCTTGGGCAGCAACTATTCGTGACGGGGTATTGGCTCACAATAAACACTTCTAGGGCGGTCTTCATCTCCTTTGGCGGACTCTTGCTTTATCTCGAGGGACCTTACAAGAAGCTGGCGCCTCTGAGGATCGACTACGTGTACCTACTTCTGAAGAAATGAAGGAAACGAAGAAAGATATCATCCCATCAACTCTTGGTATCCAAAAAATTATGGGTGTCTGTGTCCGGGATCGGCTGTCGCGGACTGACAGAAAAGTTTGCATTACTTGGGATGTTTGGTTGCAGCGTCGGCGTTTGATTGGTGATTGGGTATATCAATAGAATATCGAAAAATTCTCAACATATGTGTTCTCATATACCAATGAATTCAAGGTCGGTAATCGCTCAGTTTGCGAAATGCGACGCCGTTGGGAATTCAAACCGGCGGTGCATCCTCGTGAGGATTTCAAAATAGTCGGGTTCGTTCTCGGGGGTCAAGATGCCGTGCCTGATAAAGAAATCAATGAGGACGATGGCACAGTTGGGTTTAAACTCCCCATTCGCCAGTGCCCTCTTTGTTTCTTCAACGGTATACAGCTTGAATTCCTCCACTTCGTTGTCACTGGGTTTGGGAACAATATCCCGACTAAGCTTCATGTCGTAAATATATTCCACCTCCGGCTGTAGTAGATCGGTTTCACCTCCGGCCCGGGAGTCCCGGACATAGAAATACGAAATGCAGCCTACTGATTTCGTAGTAGCCTTGACAATGTCTTCGGGCAGTGACGCCTCTTCACTCGCTTCGCGAACAAAACATTCGAAGGGTCGTTCGGTGGTGCTCATTCCACCGGCCACAGAATTATCGAGCATTCCGGGGTATGTCTGCTTGGTTTTCGACCGTCGTGGCACCCAAAGGTGCAGACCTTGCTCGTCTTCTACATAACAGGTGCCATGCACACCATAAGATACAACGCCGAACAATGGGGTGGCACACCGTTCCATGCCGAGCAGGAATTTACCCCCCGGTGCATAGACGGCGTACAATTCATTCCGCCATCCCTTCAGAACCTCAAAGGTTCCTCGCTTTGCCTCAGCTTCAAGGGTCGCTGCAATTACCGCGCTGCGTTGCTCTGGGGTTGCATCGGCCGCAGTAGTCAGCGTGACGGTTTGCCTCGTGGAGTCAACCGCCCAGTGTTCGGTGGGCCAGTTGAACTTGGCCACTACCGAGTTGAGTATGTATCCTAATACTGCATCGCATCCGTTGACCTTGAAGGCGTGGTGTTTCTTCAGGTGGGCGGCATAAAGTGCGGGGTTATCGTCGTAATATGGAAATCTGTTCGGGAATGTTAAGTTTATAATGATGAAGGGAGAGGGGGTAGCTACTTGTCGAGTTCGCCGACCAGGTCCAGGTTCGATTTGCCCATTGTACTCCAACACGTAGCAGCTTGAACCAAAACCCCAGCTATGAAATGCAATGCAATGCAATGCGTCAAGAGGATTGAATGATTGTCTATGTCCAATAACCGATTCCGGTTAGGATGGCATTGATCCCTCGTGACAGATAAATTACCCTTATCGATAAGGGCAGGAGTTATTTCGTCACCTGCAAGCTTAGTTTTTCTTTGCGATTCTATCATTTAATCTGGAACCCGCAAGGAAATTCTCTCTAGCTCCAGCAGTTCCTAGTCTCTAGAATAACTCACCACATCACCTTGTCCAGCTGGACAATGCATATCCCTCCCCGATAGCCTCTATAATCGGAACTATATACATACATACGAACCATACCCCGCCTCAAAATACCATCAAGATACCCCACTTGCATTTGTTTATAGCATTGTTCAACAACAACAACAACAACAACAAGTCGCCGCCATGTTCTCCGTCATAATCCCAGGCAGCCCATGCCTCACAGATATCGTCGCTGTCGATCCGCAGCCCAATGGCCAATCCACCAAATTCGCCTTCACAATCCCACTTACCCCGGACCTCTCCGACCTCGTTGTCTTTCTTCTTCCCGGAACGGTCCTTCCCCCAGACACCGCCGCAGCAATCTACATCCAATTCCCCTCCGACCCCAACGGCTTCCGCTTCATCGGCGCCCTCGCCAACGAAAAACCCTCCGCCATCCTCCCCACCTCCCCACCCCCCAACCTCGCCCCGGGCATGACAGCCACCCTGGGCATCTCAATCGAGTCCATCCAAACTGTCGCCCCGCAACTCGAGGCCCTGGAAGCGGAAAGGGCCCCTGCGGGCCAGCTGGTGCGACAGACGCGACAGATCACGACCAAGGTCCTTGCGCAGCGGATCATTGGGAATGCGTTTAATTTCTTAGCGAGCTTTGCGTCATCGGATCAGGATGCGGTGCCGTTGAAGGCGTTCCGAGATTGGTGGACAAAGTTTGAGAGGAAAGTGGATATAGATCCGACGTTTTTGGAGAGGGAGGATCCGAGCGCGAGTGGATGATGGATTTGTATTCTCGTCAACGGGTGTGGAGTTTGGGCGTTGGTTGATGGTTGCTAGATACCTGATCGTGGTGTGGTTGTTAGTATACAAAAAGGGTAGGAAGGATAGATATCTCTATTAACTGCTGCTGTAATATCGGGAGGTTATTTGGAATTACTCGTCAGATCGCACATTTATGTATATATACCTGTCTTCTCAATGTGTAGATCTATACAGCTCTATAATGGTATCGATGCTCCAGCCCAGCTATCCGATCGATCCTATGGTATCTACTCAACCTCCCCAAGTAGGAACTTCAGGAACACCGCCGCGATGTCGAGGCCGTCATGCGGAAGCTTCGCCCTTGCCAGCGCGTCCTCGCTGAACGCCTTCGAGAACATGCCAAGCTTAGACCTCTTATTGACAATCTCCGTTACGATGAACTCGGAGAATTCCGGATGCCCTTGGACCGTCATGAATTTGTTCGGCAGGTACATGCCCTGCACGGCGCAGCGGGGGGATGAGCCCAGCGGAACCACGTTTGCGGGGTAGCTGAAGACAATGTCTTGGTGCATTTGTTGGATGCGCTGGTTGTGCCATTGTTGTTAATATGGACATTGACTATAGAGGAGAGGGTATGGGCATGGGTATTGAAGGTGGCGAACGCGCATATATTGAAAGCGAAGTGCTTACCAATTTATCCTTCCCGAATAATTTCTTCCCCGGCTCGGTCAGATCCATGTCGCAGACGGCAATCTCCCATCCGGCATCGCTGCGGCCAACTTTGACGCCCAATGCGCGGCCGATGATCTGGTGTCCGAAGCAGATGCCGAGAAGTTTGACGCGTTTATCTTCGATTGCTTTCTTGGTATACTCGACGAGCTTGAGGATCCAGGGGTGGTTTTCGAAGGAGTCATGTTCTACAGGGCGTTGAATTAATAAGATAAAAAAAAATAGAGATTGTGGAAGGTGATCCAAGGAGAACTCACTCGATCCCGTTAGGAGGAGGGCATCGACATCCTCTAGTTTGGGGTATTCTTGCGCATGTACTACATCCCATCGGGTGAGATCCAGGCCAGTCTCGGGATCTATTGATCCCCCCAAGGCCTTGGCGCTTTCGCGGAGGAGTAGGGAGAATACGCCATGGTAGCCTCTATACTTTGTGTCCACGTTCTCTACTGGGGTGTCGCATTCGAGGATGGCGATCCGGAGCGGGGGGCGCATTGTGGCGGCGGGGTCAACGTGAAGGTGCAAATTGATGTAGAGGTCGCTGGGCCGGGTGTGATCTCACGGTGTACGTCGTACTAGTAGTAGAATCAAGGTATTGGGAAAGTGAAAAGCCAAGGGGGTTGTGAATGCGATGAGATCGATCAAAAGATTTGGAATAGAAAGAGTACTACAGAGTCATTTTCCTTATCAGATCACTACTGTGAGGCTCCACCGCCTTTTCCTTCGAGGCCTCCAGTATTTCTGATTGGTTTCTGGTAATTGGTTTCTGGTACTGTTGCTTTTTCCGGAACTTCGGAATCTTGATCTTTGGGAATTGTCAGTGCGTTTTTCGGAGTACTACTCTAAATCTCCGATGAACATGTAGTCCGATGTCTCTTCCGGAAAGTATTATTCAATATAAGCACGAGACTCGGTTCCAAAGCTAAGTCGAAGAGTTTTCCTCTCAATTAATGTCTCGTTAATTACAGCACTACAGTACCCGAGAGAACCTTTGTTTGAATTATGTTGTTCCCTGTCTTTTCCTTGTTTGGAACTCCCCCTACGTGAAGGCAGAAGTTCGGAATAGTAAGCCTAGTGCAATGGCACGATGGGGTTCCCATGCGGAATCAACCACTGGGAAGGCAAGAATATAGTTCATGAACGCTTGGGGCGGATGACACAATTCCGGGGGCATCTTGGTCATCAGGCCTGCAGTTGGATGGAAGAGGTAGTCAATGTAAGGTGAGGAACACGAAGTGGGTCAAATGTACTTATCAGTGCCAAAGTGAGGGGGGCTATTATTACTACTCTGTACGTACATGAGGCATTTTCACTAGCCTGTGATGTTTTCTTTTTTTTTCCCTACTTTTCTGTTGTATGACAAGAAAATGATTAGCTGGAGACTAAAAATTACTCATAGTTACTTCGAGTCAAGATTTAATAAGTACAAATCCAATGAAGGGGGAGAAGGTATCCCGTCTTGAGTGGAGCACCCAACCATGTCAGGGTTGGCTCGAGTCACTGGACCTTCTCCAACTCGCTGCATTAGCGTCGTTCCCAGCGTACAGCCTCGACTATAAAATTTCGAGACGCAAAGCCAAGTTGAAATGCGGGTTTTCCTTCTATTTAAACCTGACTGTAGCATCCTGCAAGCAATCTCGTTCCAGGGAAGTATTTGTATTCTGTTCGTTCATGGTTTTAGAGAGTCCTTTTTCAATAAGCACAGTCTAGAAAAAATCTTTTCTTGCTTTTCATCTTTCTTGAGGCATGCATGAAAATCCGCCACCATCACGTATTCGCGTCGATGAGTCAACACCTCTTCTCAATCATGAACAATCCCATCTCCCTTACTCCAGCGAACACAGCACTGGTGATTCATCCACCCTAAACACCTCAGACGATGATGAACCCATCTTCTCTCTTTCCAGAGTAACTTCCATAAACCAGGGACTTGAAATTGAACCAAACCTCGAAACGATTTCGGCGGCGCCCGCAGCCACTAAGAGAGCGGCTATAGATCCCGAGGGCAAGTCCCCCAGTGAATCCACCGGATATGCCGCCAGATTTATTAATGTCTCTCCGACGAGGTTTTGGCTGATCTTCGGTGGTGTGCAATTGGGATATATCATTGGATTCTTTGACGCGACCTTGATGGCATCAAGTCATCCGGTCATCACATCCCATTTCCACGCCTCAAACTCCGCATCATGGCTTTCAACGGCCTTCCTGTTGACCTCCACTGCTTTCCTTCCTCTATTCGGGCGCGTATCCGACACCTTTGGCAGGAAGCCAGTATATCTCTTCGCCATCGCCGTCTTCTTCTTTACCACAGCGTGGTGTGGAATGGCGCAGAGTATCGGGAGCTTCATTGCAGCTCGAGCCTGTTGCGGGCTGGGGGCCGGGGGTGTTTTCTCCATGGGCATGATTCTATCGAGCGATTTAGTTCGCATCGAGTATCGTGGCGTCTACCAGTCCTACATCAATATGGTCTTGGGGGTGGGAGGCTGCCTGGGCCTTGCCTTTGGCGGGTTTCTGTGTGATCACGTAGGATGGCGAGGTGCGTTCTTCGTGCAGCTGCCCTTCATTTTCATTTATTTCCTCGTGGCAGCCTGGACCACGCCCGCCGACCTCGGCCTGAAGAGGGCGAAGGCCGAGCGGATGACTTTCTTCCAGCTCGTGAAAAGCATTGACTTGGTGGGCTCTTTTATCCTGGTTCTCGGCGTGACCTCCTTGATCATGGGTCTTAACTTGGGCGGTAATGTGTTCAGCTGGTCTCACCCCTTGGTTGTTTCATCCTTGGTTTCATCGCTCATCCTAGCTGTGATCTTCGTGCGATATGAACGAAACGTAGAGCGCGCTGTGATGCCGATCTCGCTTCTGACGAAGCAGCCTTGTGCAAACCTTATCTTTGGCAACTTTTTTGGAGCCATTGCCATCAACACGATCATCTTCAATGCTCCCCTGTACTTTCAGGCCGTCAAACTAGCGAGCCCAACCGACTCGGGTCTCCGACTCATATCTTCTACCCTTGCTGTGACAGCTTCGAGCGTCTCGGCTGGTTTTATCATCACATGGACCAAACGGTTGAAGCCAACGGTAATCGTTGGTGATGTTTGTCTCATGCTGGGCGGCCTCGCTACAGCCACCCTTGGTATGGGTACCCCCGATGCAGTTGCCATGATATGCGTTGCGCTCTCAAGTCTTGGACAGGGATTCTCCTTTCCGTCGTTGATGGTCTCGGTTCTCGCCACCAGTGACCCGGACGAACAGGCCGTGGCCACGACCACCTTGGGGCTGTGGAGAAACCTGGGCTCGGTGATGGGTGTAGCGACAAGCAGTTGGATCTTCCAGAACACCCTGGTATACAAGCTGGAAGAGATGGTCACAGAACCCGATAAGGAAAGTATCATCCTCCTTGTCCGCAAATCAGTCCAGGCTATCACCAAACTGGATCCAGTGCACCAAGGACAGGGTAAGTGCCTATCGTTCTTAAACACTCCCTCACAATTTAAGCTAATGCCGGTCCAGTGGTGGGCGCATACGCGTCAGCTCTCCGTCTGACCTTCTTCTCTGCAGCAATCTGGGGAGCGCTCATGCTCCTCATGCATTTCCGCGTCCAGCTGCCCCGACTTGGCAGCAAGGCTTGAATAGTACTACTGCAAGTCGGTCCTGTAAGTTCTACTCTAGAATGTCTTCAAGTAAACCTTTTCTTTTTTTCGTATTGCATGGGTGGGGATCCAAAAATTGGCCTGGAATGGGATTAATTAAACAATAGAAAGTTGATTGAATAAATAATGCTAAATGCAAGATTGTCAAACCGTATAATGCATATGATGAACCAGCGATCCTACCCCAGCTCAACTATAGCTTCGATAATACTCCATCAGACTTGAGGATGGACAGATGACTCTTCCTAATCTCCTTAATAGATCGACACCTAGTGAGAATTAGCACACTACTTCACTTTGAGATGCGTAACAAAAGCCTACCCCGCCAACGCCATCGTAATCCGGAACTCCTGCAGCAGAATCTTAATAGCCAATTCAACACCCTCTTGCCCATTCCACTATCAACCCCAGCCAAGTTAGCCCTTAACATCTTTATACTTGACGGAATCCCCAAAGAAAGTAACCTACCGCAAGCCCCCAAATCGGAATCCGTCCCACAAAACAACACGATGCTCCCAGCGCCACAGCCTTGAAGATGTCCGATCCCCGTCGAATCCCCCCATCAATTGCCAGCGAAATCCGTCCCGCCGCGACCGGCGCGCATTCCCTCAACGCGTCCAATGTCGCGGGGACGCCGTCGAGCTGGCGGCCGCCGTGGTTGGAGATCACGACTCCGTCGACACCGTATTGAATCGCGAGTTCGACGTCTTCGGGCGTGTACACTGTGTGGGATGTGAGTTGTAGAGCTGATTTTCTGTTCTACAATGAGATGGACGTACCTCCTTTCAGCCAGATCGGGAGCTTGGTGTTTTTTCGGAGCCAGGGGATCGTGGTTTCCCAGTCGAGGCTTGGATCTACTGTTGAGTTAGCAAGGGAACAGGTATGTGTAAACAAGAATTGTAAAGTCGACTAGGGAACCTACCATAATCTGTTCGACTAGAGGTATCTTTCCCGTGGCTGAGGATGTTGGGCCATGACATGTCCTCCGGGAGGGTGTAGTTGTTGCGGTACTCGTTTAGCCGCTTGCCAAGTAATGGGACGTCGACAGAGAGGAAGAGGGCCTTGTATCCCGCCTCTTAGGATCATTGTTAGAATTCGTGAGGTGAAGTTAGGGCTCATTCATGACAAACTTTCAGCACGTTCCAGGAGTTGAAGAGTGATCGAGCGATCCTTCAACATACACACCTGCATCACGTAGGGGTTTCCTGAGCCTTGTGCCGCGACGTCTTCGAGTGAGTAGTTTGAATAGGAGGATAGGCCAAAGCATATGTTGTATTTTGCGGCTGCGCGGGATGCGGCAACTTCTCCGTCTGGGTGGGCGAGCTTTTGCGATGCGGCGGGGCTGAAGCCGAGGGGGAAGGAGATCTGCTTTTGGAGTGTCTGTTAGTATTACTATAGCAGGGTGGTGGTGTATGGTTGGTTTGGGTTGACATGAGAGAAGGCGTACTTTGGTGCCCAAGATCTCTGTAGATGTGTCGATCTTGTTGACGTTGATTAGGATCCGGGGCCGGATTTTGTAGCGATCGAAGGCTGCTTCGTTCTCGCGGAGACTGTTTGCTCCCAGGGTTAGTATATGTTTCGAGGCAAAGGCGTAGTTGGTGGACGTGCGTGATAAGGTCCATGGCCCCTTCATTGTAGTAATCTTTGTAGATCTCTGTCAGCTCGAGAGTTGATCATCTGAAACAGTTAGATATCAAGCATACCTCTGACCATCTGGGGAAGCTTCTCGCTTCCCTGAGCTTTCAGGTCTGCGATACAGAAAACATCCTTGTGCAATGTTTCTCCGCGGTGTGCCATCTCTGGGATTATTTCTTCGAAGTTAATCTTTCCAACGGCGCGGTAGAATTGGGTATATTAAGCCTAGTTTCACAGTTGGTAGGAGCTTTCGAGTCGAAATATATAATTGCTAGAGCTATAAAATTGCACCATTACGGTCAGACAAAAGCACTCAGTCTCGAGCTACTCCGACGAGAATAGTAAGAGTGGACAAATTGGCATTGCCTCAATCCTGTAACGACCAAAATCCGATTGACAGCAAGGCCTAGAAACCTGCCAGGGAGGAAGCAATTGTCTCCCTTGGGAGGAGTGGCGTATCAGATACGAGAAGATGTCGATTCCCTTTCCGCGGAATGACTTGTCTGTTTGGATCACAACCAACCCTACTTGATGAGGTGATGAGGGGGTGGAGGGGATGGAGAGGCATACACTGCTTCCCCTCCAGGTCTTTCTATTCCTGCTTCATCGCGCATTAATTTGAGACAGTTACCCCTTGTTTACTTTTGTTCTAATGCTACCTAGTATCTCGTTTGGTTGAGTGCAGCATAATGACTCGCATTTTCCTGTAAACTACCAGCCGCCTATGACTGCTATGTCAGCGATACCAGGGAAATCCACTGACCTCCGTTGAACCTAGAACTGGCGCATCGGGCTACCTGGGCGGTGATATTCTCGCGGCTCTGCATGCAAAGCACCCTGAATATGAAATCGCAGTCCTCGTTCGCGATGCCGACAAGGGTGCAAAGATTTCCCAGGCTTACCCGAAAGTGCGCGTCGTACAGGGAGAACTAGACTCAGTGGCGGTTGAAGAAGAAGCACAAAAGGCAGATGTGGTAGTCAGTAAGTTTGATTTTCGCCACTTTGGCTTCAGACTGTTAATCACCTGCAGACGCCGCCAGCGCACAGAATTACAAGGGAGCGGAAATGGTATACCGAGGCTTGACTGGTTCCGAGCGTACAAAGCCTGGTAGGTAGTTGAAACAATATCCAAGCCCCGTAATCTGATTATACCTTTCTTTCTTCATTAGGTTACTGGATTCAAGTATCCGGCGCTACTCTCCTCTCTGCCCCCGAAATAGAAAAGGGCATTTTCGGCGAGCCAACCGACAAGGTCTACAATGACATTGACGACGAACAGGAGATCAAAGCTCTTATTTATAAATACTCGGCTAAGCGCGTTATTGATTACTTTATCCTCAACTTGCCTCAAGCTCCACAATCACCCAAGACGGCCGTAATCTATCCTCCCGTCATCCACGGCTGTGGCAGAGGACCTATTAAACAGCGTAGCGTGCAGATCCCAGAGCTCTCGCGCATTACTCTACAGAACAAGACTGGCTACCGGGTTGGTCGGGGTCTGAGTACCTGGAGCAATGTCCATGTTTCCGATGTCATCCAGATTTTCATGATATTGCTTGAGAAGGCTGTTGCTGGGAAGGAGGGACTCTTTTGGAACGAGGATGGGATTTATTTTGTGGAGAATGGGGCTATTGTAAGTCTAATACGTATGCCGGTTTTTTTTTTTTTTTTTTTTTTTGAGGAGTCTCTAATTGAAACGCTAGAACTTTGGAGATATTGGCCGTCTAGTCGCTGAGGAGGCTGCCAAGCTGGGGCTTCTGAGCTCAGCATCTGTGAAGGAGATTAGTTATTCTGAGGCGGATGCTTTGTCTGGCCATGGTGGTGTGCTTTGGGGGACTAATGCACGGGAGGGAGCTCAGCGGGCTCTAAGATGTTGGGTTGGACTCCTACAGGGAAGTCGTTGCAAGATGAAATCGCTGAAACGGTTCGTGCGGAGGCGGTTAGTCTGGGGCTTTTGTCAGCGTAAGTTGTCTACTCAGAACGACCTCCTTGCACGATCCAGTTACTATACATAGATTATTTGCAATGATTATGAACGAATATCGAGAACTGTTCTACGGGAAAAACTTGAAAATTAAATATTGTGTGGAAGGTTCTTTGTGATAGTATGTCTACTTATAAAGATGCCTCATGTAGGTACGCAGGGTGTCATCTTTATATAGCGCTGGTTTGGAGGCTTTCAGCGCATATATATATAGGATTTTTTTTGGGCATAATGACCCATGCAGAGGATTGCTAATACATATCTATAGGCTTTGACTGTTAATAGCCGTCATGTTTGGGGCCCGGAGACTATAATATGAAGATATTATGATTTTGGGGCCTAAGTCCGTATCACTGAGCGGTCCCATGTGACGACATATTATTGGGACCAATCTCAATATGGTCCAAAACGACAAGCAAATATATAAAATTTTAACGGTATTTGAATCCATTAACCGGGTACTTCCTTATGGAGGGCTCAAGAACTTCGAGTACACCAGGTGTCTTCAGATGAGCCTAATCTGCGGACCTTCAAACAATCTGTTTTTTGCGAGAAAAGGTGAAGCCCCTGCTATAAAACTATGCCTAGTAGCAAGCTGGATACATATCTCTATGCACGGAGGCTACAACAGCAACATTTATCGTTAATCGTGATGGCAGATATCACAGCATATAGGACATCGCTAGGTGAACCACCGGCGGTAGGTTCTACGACTTGCTAGTCTAGATTCCTTACTAATTCTTGATACTCTACGTGTTACCGTCGCCATATGAGGAAAGTAAGTATTAGAGTAAAAACACTCGTGCCACCCGAATATCTGGCCTCATGTATTATATTGACATCGCGCTGCAGGAACTGCGGGGAAGGCAATCCCCCCTACTACTCCGACGGTAACAGTAGCTAGCGGTGAGGTTATTGGAATCACAACAGGGATTTCTTCTGCCCCTACTGCTTTGGTAAACAAATTCCTTGGTGATCCTTTCGCAAACCATCCAGAACGGTTCTAGTTAGCAGAAAACCCCTTACCATGGATATCGGGAATCAACCGCGACAGCATTTAAGCCGTCTTGTACCTAGCAGTTTACTTATATGCTCGTTTATCGCATCTGTACTATCTTTCGCTTAATTTGCCTTGAAGTTGAATATCTGAGGGAGCTTGAGGACATACCCCCACTCCCAGAGAGTGAAAATTGCCTCTACCTTGACATCTTCACTCCTGCGAGTCACTTACCTCTTGGTGGCAGGCCGGTTTGTCATGGATCCATGAAGCTTTTCAGTTTGGTTCCGCCTGCTTGGGCATTACGATGGCTCATATCTAGCAGCTAGTGGGAATGTTGTGATTGTCTCCATTAACTACCGGATGAACGGTACGTTAGCTTCTTCGTCCTACAGAGTATGTCTTACAGCGTGATTATAGTTCTTAGCTTCCCAAAATCCCCTGATAGTCCGCTCGCACAACGCAAATTTTTGGGCTTTATGATCAACGCAAGGCTCTCAAGTGAACCAGCCAGAATATCCACGCCTTTTGTGGTGTCCTTCTCGGCTCACGGTATTCGGCCAATTTGTTGGGGCTTATTCTGTGAAACAACTGATAGCAAAGCCTCCTGAGCCGCTACCGTTCCACGCTGCGATCATGCAGAGTCAAGCACCAGAATTTGAAGAAAGAAGCAGCATTGACTCTTGGGACATTCTAGTCAGCGAACTTAACTGCAATGCGTCACTATAGGCAATGCAATGACCCAGCTAGACTGCATACGACTGCATACGACTGCATACGACTCGCTGATGCAGAACACATCAAACATATCATTAATCGCCAAGCCCTAATCTTCTCACCTACTATCGACAATAAAACCAATGCCAACTACGTTGAAGAGATCCTCAAATCACCAACAGCTACGCACGTACAAATTCTCATCGGCGGCAATGCTATCCCCAACTGTTGCCAATTCCTCCATCCTTCTCCACCAATCTTTCGGGAACAATTCCGTTGCCCAGAAAAGGGCCCGCGCAGCGTATATTTTGGTCGATAGTAGTATAGTTCCTCATTTTCTCAGCACCGTGGTCTGGTCTTGATAAAAGGAGAATTAAGAGCCAATAACAGGTACACTTAAGGTTATTACCCCAGGACATATAATCAAAGCGCAGGTAGGGTTGTCAGAGATTGCCGTACTGATACTCGGTTGAGCCATTCCAGGAAAGGTATCTCCGGATACGGTTTTGATCTCCATCAGATAGACTAGAGATCTGGCTTCCTCCACTTTCAATATGGTACTTCCAAGAAGCCTGGGGTAGTGGGTTCGGGGCTATCAGTCTGATTATCTTCTTATACTGGGTACCCACCTAGGACACAAAGTCTCCTCGATTCTCTCAATGATACTCTCGTTAGTCGCTCTTCACTCTATATACGCTGTATATATTATACATCATTTTAGTAGGGCACAATTAATGAGGAAAGGATGAAATATGAGGACCTCGAGAACCAACCAGACCTCGCGAAGGTAACATCAAATAACGAAGGACAGGCAATCCCAATGGCTGCTGAGGACATGACAACGGAGAGAGGGCTCAAGTCCCGCCATGCTCAGATGCTTGCCCTTGGGGCAACATTGGTACAGGCCTCTGTCGGTTCTGGACAAAGTTTCTACATGGGAGGCCCAGTGTGCCTGGTGGTCACTTACTGCCTCATAACTGGCCTAGTATTCGGTATAGTCACTGCAGCGACTGAGATGTCTTCATACCTACCTATACCTGGCTCTTCTATGTCATACTTCGCCAGTCGCTTCTTTTCGAGTAGCCTTTGTTTTGCATTGGGCTGTCTATTGTTATATCTTTGCTACCTCAGTACCAGCAGACATAAAGGCCGCAATGCTAGTCGCCCAGTACTGGGACTCTTCAGCCGTGTGGATTACTATTTTACTGTGCTTATTGTTGGACTGAACTGCTTCCCGGTCCGGTTCTATGGCGAAGTGGAATTCTGGTTCGCGTCGCTCAAGGTCATTGGTATTGTTGGGCTTCTTATTATGGCCGTGGTGCTTGTTTTTGGGGGAGGTACAAACTGACAGCTACTCGGCTTTCACTATTGGAAACATCCGGATCCAATCAACGAGTATGTGGTTACCGGCCATCCCGGCCACCTTAGCGCCTTTGTTGCTCTCCTTGCTTTTCCGTGTATGCATTCTCCTTTGCTCCCGGGCTTCTCATTGTCACCGGCGGAGAGATTGACCCCCCTCGACGCAATCTACTAACCGCAAGGAAGAGATACTTCTGTAGACTTTTACACTTCTATACTTCTATACCCTAGAAGTTTTTGCCATCAGCTTGATCCTTCCGAGTAATGACCCTAAGCTACTCAGAGGCGGATCTGGAGCCTGCAGCCCGAAACGCTGGTATAACTGGGCTGTACTTCGTTATAAACACAGTCATACTTCTCTCAACTTTGTCCGCTGGCAACTCGTACCTCTACATGTCGACGCGTGCCTTTTACTCGATGGCTTTGCTTGGCAGTGTTCCTCGTTTTCTTATGAGAAGCACGAAATCCGGCGTCCCGTACAATGCCACCGCGTGCAGTACAGTAATCTACCTACTTGCCTATCTTAACGTCTCCTCGGCCAGAGCGACCGTGTTTAGCCGGTTTGTCAACCTTATCAATACTAGTGCTTATCAGAGCTAGATCTGTATCTGCATCGTCTATCTACGATTCAGAAAGGCCATCAATGCACAGGGTTTAACTGATCCCCCCCATTGATTCCGGTTCTAACCTTATATGTCTTACCTCTGTGGCGTCACTTTCAGTATCATACTTCTTGTAAGAACTTCATCGGTGGCCATTGGAATACGTCCAACTTCTTGACCTGCTATATCGGCATTCCTATCTTTATGGTTTTGTATTTGGGTCACCGTTTTATTGCCGCTCGATCTGAACCACGGGTGTGTCCGGCATCTAATGTCGATCTCACATCGAGTCTGGCGGAGGTTGTGGAAAGGGAGACTCCTACTCTGAACAAGGACATTTTGAAGGAAATGGTACCAGTTATTGAAGTTGCTTTTTGAGAGAGTTGATATTCCTTTTATATTCGCCATAAGTTTTGGCCAATTGAATTCACTGCATTTACTATCACTTGGATATCTTGGAATCGTTGTCCATATACTACTAGTAATAGTGGTGGGAGTAGACCTGATGGCCTATCATTGGCCGGCCGATCAAGGAGAATTAGGGCAACTCTACAACTACTGGTGCGGGAAAACGCAAAAGAGATTCCGAACAGTTATCAAGCATAGTCGTTTTCGTGGAACTGAGTACAATCCCCGCTCACGAGGAAACTATATTGATTCTTTCTGATTATGTTCCTTCTTGCTATTCTTTTACTTTGATATATCCCGGAGTAAATAGAATTCCTACAATGCCACCCTCAAGGAAGAGTAAATCTCGACGGACCCATACGCTTGGGGGTTGCCAGACATGCCGGCGTCGCCTTGTGAAATGCGACCAGATGCAACCAACTTGTTTGACTTGTCAAGCGTTTGGAGTTTCCTGTGAAGGTAATTCCGGAGATCCGATGGATGCCCGGAAAGAACTGCTCACAACAGCAGTGCCAGTCAACTTCCGAGAGTCGAGACGCAGGTAGATCGGCTAACGGAGGTCAAGGCACAAGGCGCCATCTATACACAGGTGAGATCGTATACCTTGCATAAAGCTTTGGATTAAGTCAATTCATGGATCTGACTGGCCCTTGACTCAGAAAATTCGAGGGCTTCAATGAGCACGGCCTTGGCCGCCGATCTTGCCTCGGGTACTGTTGATGTCTTGCTCACTGAAGTCGATAACAAATCTAAAAAAGTAGAGGGTGGAGACGTTGCGGTTGGTCCATTCGGAGTTTTGAAGTTCAATACTAGTACCAGCGTGAAGAAAGACCACCCGAATGTTCAGTCGGAGAGAACAAGTCCCGTCCCTGCCCCAAATGAGGTTCCTTATGATGAAGTACAGGAGCTTGACCCATTGCTATCATCGGCAACTGACCCATTCCTCGGTGCTGACGAGTTTCTTCACTGGGCGGATTTTTTTGGCCTTGGGTTTGATCTGATCCCCGGGATATCATCAGATGGTTTTGATCATGGCGAGCTTACCCATGATCTATACTCCTCGGTCTCTAGGAGTGGGCTAGATGAAATATCTAATCAGAGAAATGAGCAAGACTATATAGCATTGGACAGAGATGAGGTCCAGCGGGGGCTACGCACTAATTCATACCAACAGCCTGCCCTTGAGCTGGTCTCTCCCACGAGCGACATATTAACGGATGCGCCTTTCCTCCTGAAACACTTCCAAGACAATGTAGTTGGGCAAATGATGACATTGCCTGTTGGACAAAAGTCTCCATGGAGGATACTACATATTCCAACAGCTGTACTAATCCTCGAGGATCTTATGTACCTTGGAAGGCACAACCTCAATCACGCTAGGCTATCCAACTTTTACTCTCTCCTGGCGTGTTCCGCATATCAGTTGGGCGTAAATGCCACTATCGAATCGCCGCAATCCGGAGAGCACTGGAAGCAAATCGCCCACCATTCGTACTACACGGCGAAGGACCATATACAGCAATCACTGAAGGTAGAGGTCAGTGGGCCGAAGAAAGCCAAGTATAAGGACCAACTAATGGCTATCTCTGCGATGGCAGCCTTTGCAGTTAGTATTTCCTTTCAACACCCTCACTATACCCCCTTGTTGACTGTACTTCAGATTTTTCTGGTCATGAGAAGAATTCTCGGTGCTACATGATAGATGCCGAGCGCCTTATGCGCCTCCGTGGCTTACCAAAACGTGAAATCTCTCGAAAAGCACGAGTGCTGCATCACATCTATACTTGGATTCGCATCGTAGGAGAGAGCACCTATGTCCTGCATGACTACAGCCCATCTGCCTCTTTCATCGAGACTCCCAACCTTTCCTTCCAGACCCGCGAGGAGATATTGGAGCAGGATAATAGTCGAAGAAGCGGACTGGATGCTCGACTAGATGATTTCCTACTCCTACAGCCCCGTCAGGTGGACAGCGATCTGGACATCGATGCGCCCAAAGAGCGCGAAGTAGCCCTCCATGACATCCATTTAGAAGACTCACGCCGATGGGCAGATACGCTCTATAGCGAGATCTACGGTATCCCTGAGACATGGCCTAGTTTAGTATCGCAAACAACCAGGTTAGCCAATCTCATGGACACTCTAGTGGCCTCTGGAGGAACGAAGAAGTATATGAATTCAGAGGCGTAGGAGGTATTACAACGGCGAGCCACCCGTCTTGAGAATATGATATGCTCCTTTCATTCAGATAGAATCCGGGGAAGCAGTGCTGACTCTAGTGAAGGGCCCGCTCGGCCGCATGCACACATGCTTCGGGCATTAAACACAACCCTCGTAATCTTCTTTTACCGCGCATTCGAAGCGTCCACCCGTCCACCCTTCAGTCGCATGTAGATGAGGTTATCGCGGCTTTAAAAGACTTTGATATAGCTCTATCACAGCACAAAGTTCCCGGTCCAGGTACGGCGTGGCCGGCGTTCATGGCGGGATGTGAGGCTATGACACCACCAAAACGCGATGCTCTTCTATAATGGTCGAAAAGGGAGGCGTGCAGTGCGGCTTTGCATCCTTTGGGGTGGCGAAGGATGTGATGATTGCTGCATGGAAAGAACAGGATGGGTACTTCCGGTTCAATCGTTCGGGGGGTCCGTTACCTACGTGGATGGATGTCCTCAGACAGAAAAAGCTTTGGCCGATGCTTTCTTAAAAAAGATTGTGGTTTTACTATTCCTAAACTGTCATATACACCCATTGATGGAGATTTGATGAGCAAACGCCGAAATGAAACATGTCACATGATTAAGGAATCTGATATATTCAACCCAACAACCAGCTTCTCAAATCGTCTGGACGCCAGTCTTCTGCATCAGCAATGCCAGCTCTGTTTTGTGCGCCTCTGACAATAGGGCAAAGGGTTTCCGCAGCCCACCAGTGGGTTGACCAGTCAACTCAACACCGGTCTTCACAGCAGCAGCATAATTGTGAGACTCGAGGAACTTGCAGATAGGCCAAGCCTTCGCCCAAAGCTCCCTCCCACGCTTCAAATCACCCTGTACGGAAACAGCCTCCCAGAGTTGCACAGCCAAATCCGGAATAATATTGGCTGCACCCCAGATAGCACCCGGAGACCCAGCCGCCAAACCGTAAAATGTAAGAGTATCCCATCCGTTAAACGCAATTATCTTGTCCGACAAGCCGAAGACCAACTCCGTGTATGCTGGCGCATTGCCCGACGTATCCTTAAGGTACTTAACGCCCACTTCGGACAAATCAGCAATCTGCTGAGGAGTCAAGGCAAGGCCGCTAGCGGCGGGGATATTGTAATAAACGATCGGCAGCTTGGATGCTTCGTGAATCTCTTTCAGCATCTCCGTGAGCTGTTCATAGCTGACTGGGTCGTAGAAGGGTGGGACGACCATTACTGCCGCGGCGCCGACCTGACTGGCATGTACGGCGAGCTCAATCGCCTCCTGGGTTGAGGTGGCGCCTGTTCCGGCGATGACGGGCACTCGGCCCGCAGCATATTTGACACAGAGGTCTGTTAATTGCTTGCGCTCCGCGAGCGAGAGGACAGTGAATTCACCGGTGCTGCCGCCGGGGACTAGGCCGTGTACGCCTGCTTGGAGGAGTCGGTCAATGTGTGTCTTGAGGCGGACTTCGTCAATCTTGCTGCCATCGTCGGTGAAGGGTGTGATAAGGGCCACCATTACGCCTGTGAGCTCTGGTGTGGAGGAGCCCATTCTCTATCGGTTGTTTACGGTGGTTGTTCAAAGGGTATCTTGCAATATAATGGTATAAATGTTTTGATGCGATTGTATTCTTTCCACTTGCTGGCCTGCATGGTGTATTATATATATGTGTGTGCCGGAATCGCTTTCCTTGAAGATTGAACTTGTTGGATATGATCCTGGTAATGGGAAATAATATCCTCATTCCGACGTTGGATCTATGGGTATGGGGAAGTGGAGATGGTAAGTGCTATCCATATCCATGGCATCTACCTGTGCTCCAAGAATGACATGCGTCATTACTAACGACACATGCGACCAATTACTGGTTTAGCTGTGCTTAAAAATAATCTTAGCGGGATGTTTTATTCTTTTAGCATCTTCGAGTGAACTCTCCTCTGGCCATTTTTTGATTAGTATATGATCCGGAACGACTTGCCTCATTGGGGCTACGAGTGCTCAACCCTAAGATCGAGACTCCCGATAAGGCTCGAAGACGCTAAATCCGCCCCTCCTCTTCACTTGACTTGCATAAGGAATGTGCACCCGAGAGAAACCCCGCGGAGGAGCAAATAATTGGCCTATTCACTTTATATTGGTTGATGTCTGAAAGCTGTGACGAGGGGGGTAGCTATACTTAGCTTTCTTTTTCGTCTAGATAGCGCTCATAATAGACATCTCTCTCTTTATATATAGTTGAACGGCCTTTCTCATCTTTGACTTGATACCCTGTTTTCTTGACATTTACGTCCTTTCTTAGAAACCAGTCACCATCATAGCATACTCCTTCGCCATGCCCGACCTCGATCTCTTTCTTGACATCACAGCGCCAAACGGCCGCCAGTATAAACAGCCCACAGGTTTGTTCATCAATAATGAGTTTGTGAAATCTACGTCCGGTCAGACGATTGCATCGGTGGATCCAGCGTGAGTCCATCGTCGGGAACCCCCTCGTCGATCTTCGCTGGACAGGACTAATTAATGACAGAACAACCCGTGAAATCGCCTCTGTCTATGCAGCTGGTGCTGAAGACGTCGATAAAGCAGTAAACGCCGCTAAGGCTGCTCTCAAAGATCCGTCGTGGAAACTCCTTCCCGCCACAGACCGGGGAATGTTAATCGGTCGGTTGGCCGATCTAATAGAGCAGAATAAGGAGATTTTCGCCACTATCGATGCATGGGATAATGGTGAGCTGGGTCTTGGTCCTGATTTACCAGGATATGTACTGACTCGTATTCTAGGGAAACCTTACCACGTTGCGCTGAGCGAGGATCTGGTGGAAGCCATCACAACTTTCCGGTACTACAGTGGCTGGGCCGATAAGACGTTCGGCCAAACTATCGGCACCAACCCCCAGAAATTTGCCTATACAATTAGACAGCCCATCGGTGTTGTGTGTCAGATTATTCCATGGAATTATCCTCTTTCTATGGCAGCTTGGAAGCTGGGGCCTGCACTGGCTTGTGGCAATACTGTTGTGATCAAGGCTGCTGAGCAGACACCCCTCAGCATTCTGGTTCTTGGAACATTGATTAAGCAGGCTGGGTTCCCTAAGGGTGTTGTGAATATTATCAATGGGTATGGGCGAGAGGCTGGGGCTGCGTTGGTCCAGCATCCCTTGGTTGACAAAGTTGCGTTTACGGGCTCCACTGCTACCGCGAAGGAGATCATGAAAATGGCTGCTAGCAGCTTAAAGAATATTACTCTCGAGACGGGAGGAAAGTCGCCACTGATTGTGTTCAATGATACTGATTTGGAACAGGCTGTGAAGTGGTCCCATTTCGGTATCATGTCCAACCAGGGCCAGATCTGCACCGCGACATCGCGGATCCTTGTTCAGAAGGGCATCTATGATACCTTTGTTGAACAGTTCAAGGGTGTTATCCAATCCACGTCCAAGATCGGAGATCAGTGGGACGAAAGCACCTTCCAAGGGCCCCAGGTCACTCGCGCCCAATATGATAGGGTGCTCTCCTACATCCAACTGGGCATTTTGGAGGGCGCCACTGTGGCTTCAGGAGGAGGACCCCACCCACCGAGCAGCAATGGAGATGCGGGTTATTATGTGAGCCCAACAGTTTTCACGAACGTCAAGGACTCAATGCGCATCTATCGGGAGGAGATCTTCGGTCCCGTGGTTGTGATCGTGCCCTTTGAGACGGAGGAGGAAGCCATCGCGCGTGCGAATGATACCACTTACGGCCTTGGTGCGGCTGTCTTCACAAAGGATCTTGAGCGCGCTCACCGGGTTGCGGCTGAAATTGAATCTGGAATGGTCTGGATCAATAGCAGCCAGGACTGTGACCCTCGGGTTCCCTTCGGAGGTGTGAAGCAGAGTGGAATCGGGCGAGAATTGGGAGAAGCCGGACTTGAAGCTTATAGTCAGGTGAAAGCGATACATATCAATATGGGAAACCGACTATAAAATGCATGTTATAGCTGTAGAAAGATCTGACAATCAATCCACATAGGTGGCCTTAAGAAAAAGGCCGCAATTGATAACGGCCGGTATGAATGAGCGCTAGACCGCTTTCCGCCTAGCCCGAATCCTGATTATCTCCCCGCAAATCTTCGGAGTCGTCGTTCAGCTCAACTTCCTTCCGTCAACCCTTTTACTCGGTGGATTTGCCGAATGTGAATTTGGGATTGGAAAGAGTATGTACTGAGTCTCTTCCTTTCTGTACTGTATTTTGTTAACTGGGGACAATTCTTACCTCATTACGGCGCTCATTGAATGGACTAGCACTGACAAGACCCTCCGTCTCCTAGGTGCTGATCAATATCCGTCGCTTTTCCATGGCCCGATCAAAAGACGAGCATACAGTCGCTTGCTTTTCCCTTTTCGCCTTTAGCAACGATTGTCCTTACCGACTGTCGTTATCATCGATAACGCCGGCCTTAACCGCGGCCTGTATCTCCACCCGGCCGGAAATCTTACGGATAGCCACAATGCGCTGCGGACACGGTCTTTGCGGCTGATCCCGAGGCTTTACATCACAATACTTGGGCACTTGACAGAAGTGGCTCAAGGGAAGATTGAGGTGTTGTATCACACGTTGACATGGCTCCAGCTTCTACTGTCGGCGGCAATGTCTTGCCATCATCGGATCCGGACACCTCCGTAGAGGTAACAGCGACAGATCAAACCGCCGATACACCTGGCTTGGAAGTAGATGCTGCAACCCCAGACAAACTAGCCACCTCTGACAATGTTCGAGATAGCCCATTTGGTGACGGAGGGGCCTTGACCCCAAATAGCACTACAATGAGCGCTTCACGCACACCAGGTAGTGATACCAACCGACGAAAGGACGCCGCACGGAAGCCTAGGCGTGTTCGGACCGGCTGTCTCACTTGCCGAGAGCGCCATCTGAAATGTGACGAGGCTTTGCACCAGTGCCAAAATTGCCGGAAATCAGGCAGATTATGCAGACGGGGAGTTCGCCTCAACTTCATCGATATACAAACGGTAGCCCCTCCTCATTATATTCATCCTTCTCCGGGATCCCGTGTGACGTTCCGTGATGAGTCTAGACACATAGCTTCTGAATACGTTGGAGGGTTTGAGAGATATCCTCCGCCAGTAGCGGACATTCCATTGAAGGTAGACGATCTTACAAGTCCCCCTTTACCGTCGGGGTATAATTCACATCCCGCTCCCCAATTTGTATCAGGCCCAGGGGCTCAGCCGGCGAGTATGAGTTCTACATTTGGTAGCCATCCTCAACCCACTTATCACCCTCTCCAAGATCAAAGCTCTTCATATGCCCCTTTCAATTCAGCAAAAGGGGATGTGGATTCTAATAGTTATCCATCTCTTCATGATCCAAACGACGTTTTCCTCATGCAAGTCTTTGTAGAAGAGGTCGGTCAATGGATGGACTCGATGAACGATGTAAAACACGTGAGTCTTCCTGTTTTCAGTAAAGGTTAATCGTCTCTGACTTTTTCAGTTCACGCATGTCTTGCCATTCCATGCGCTTAGAGAACCTATGCTTCTAAAGGCATTCATAGCATGCGGTGCCCGTCATGTACATCTCACAAACCCTTCTTATGGGGAAGAAAAAGCCTCGTATTTTCATGATGCAGCTTCCAGAGACCTCCTAAGTGCGCTACACGACCCAGACCGCGACTCAGCCTTATGTGCAACTACTGCTGTCGTCCTTAATGTTTATGAATTGATGTGTTCGAAGTCGTTTCCGTCAATCCATGGTATGAATCACATCGCCGGTGCACGAGCCCTCATCAAGGAGTGTCACTGGAATGCGAGGACCCCAGGCCTTGGTGGGGCTTGTTTCTGGCTTAACGTTAGTATGGAACTGCTAAGCTGTATGCATTTCAATTGGGCCTTAGCTTGGGATCCGGACACGTGGGGGGTTAACATGGACTTCGAGCAAGCTCAACCTAGTGTTGCTGGCAATGAGGAACTGTGGACCCACCGGATGGTCTATATCTGCGGCAAAGTTGCAAACCTTCGGTCGTCTATGTCCCAACACCAACCTCTAGATCGTTCGACAAACGATATGGAGATCAACCAGCGATGTCAGGAATGGACGATGTACAATGAGTGGTGCGATAAATGGGCGAAAGCCGTACCTCGCTCTATGATACCTCTTGCTTATCTCCCAGCGTGGCAGACCAATCCGAAATCATCCTTTCCAAACATATGGTAGGTCACCATTGGTCCTAGCAATCAGTCGTCCTGGTTAACCGTCGATAGGCTAATCAAACGGGCTTCAATTATTGCTCGGCTATTCTACCACACTACACGGATTCTTCTCACAAAGACACATCCATTAGAATCCGAGTTTAGCCCGGAGATGCAAAGCGTGCAACAAAGTCACGCTCATGACGTATGTGGGATTGTCGCGAATGTAAAGGACAGGTAAGTAGAGCTTATTATGCATCTATTGTTGCTGGTCCTAATGGTCGCACATAGAGGGTTTGCTAGTCTGTCTATTCGCTTTCTAGCCATCGCGGCAGAGTGTCTGGCGACGAGGGTGGCTCAAGAGGAGGTCTTTCGGATAATTGATAACATCGCCAAAGACACGGGCTGGAAATCAGACCAAGTTAAAGAAGGGCTTCAGCAAGCATGGGGCTGGCACCCAGCCCAGCAGCACCACCCAGTTTCTACAGATTCGAACGCGTTGTCTTTGCTCAATGATCACCATACATTCGACCTCGATCCTACTTCGACCCTTCTTAAGATGCCTCCCGGGGTTGTCAACCCCATCATGGCATTTGCGGATTTCTCTCTGGATAATCATCCGTACCAAGATCATTACGTTGCGCCGCATCAAATCAGTGAGTACCAATGTGGGAGCTTATAGATTTTTAAAAATGTACCGATACGATGGCGTTTGGTGGGATTTGTTGATTATTTGTGCGATACCCTTGGCAGGCGTTATCTTTCTACGATACCTTTCGCGATATTGTTTCTTTTCTCTTGCGCCATTGGACTTAAGGTGTCTACAACGGGATGTGTAATAGCGATATACAATATATAGATAAATTTCGGTTTTCGCAGTATAATATGAAATGAAAATGGTTGGCGGTCGTCACTCTCTACCCAAATTCTATAGCATTAGTCTCCACTGTCGCGGCATCTTAGGCCTTGTTTGTATACCTCCAGGTCGGTTTCAAATTCCAATGGCGATTTATGCCAAGACTTTGCCAGACATTTCAACATCCGCATAAATATTTAATCCTCTCATATTCTCAACGCCTTTCATTCGTCAATTAATATATTGACATAACATGAACTTAACGCAGTAAAGGCACCAGAATCCAAACTTAAAAGAAATTTGACATATACACCTATTCTACATATCTACGTAATTCAAATGAGCGCCCCCTCCACTCAGCCGCGGCCACCAGCAAGTCCAACTTATATCCTCCGCGGACATGCATCCCCGATCCACGGCCTACATATCTTCAGCCGAAACCTAAGGATCATCTCAGGCGATGCCGACGGCTGGATCATAGTATGGGACCTGGTATTCAAGCGCCCAGTCGCCGTCTGGAAAGCGCACGAAGGCGCCATCCTCGAAGTCAAAGCCTTCAGTCTCAACGACGGAAACCTAACAGAAGTATACACGTGCGTCACCCAATCCTCCCAGGAAAGAAACATAGTCTCTAACATACAAAACAGACACGGAAGAGACCACAAATTATGCGTGTGGCGATTCCGCATCCAGGATGAGGAATTCTTGGAGAAAACCCTCCCCGTGGACGTGGGCGAACAGCAGTCTCAAGCCAGCGCCGCAAGCCAAACTCAGCCCTGGCTCGTCCACTCACTCCCCGTTAATGCGCTGAATTTCTGCGCCTTTTCTATACTCTTTATCGATGACTGTGAAGATGCTCGACAAACAGAACGCTCACCCGCCGGAGACACGACGTCACCAGAGAACACGCAGCGCTCGTCGCTCATCGCCGTCCCGAACGCCCTTAATTCTGGCTCCATCGATATCTTCACTCTGCCTCGCGAGCGACGACTCTGTACCATCCCACCAGACACAACCCAGCAAGTCGGGATGGTCATGGCCGTAAACCTCTTCTACTCGTCTTCTGGGGACGTATACGTGGCTTCTGCGTACGAAGACGGCCATGTGATGGTTTTTGCTCGAAAAGGTCCGGTATCGACGAGTGATGTTTCTTGGAACTGGAAGTGGGAAAAGCTTTATGTCTCGCGTCCGCATTCGCAGCCGGCTTTGTCGATTGATGTTTTTTCTGCCGGTGGTTACTTTCTTTCGTCGTCTGCTGATGCGCTTTTGGTGAAGCATCCTGTTCCGGAGTTGGGGGCTTTTGAGGAGGCTCCAGTGAAGAGTGTTAATACGAAGCATGCGAGTCAGCAGGGTTTGCGGATACGGTCTGATGGGAAGGTGTTTTCGACTGCTGGGTGGGATTCGAGGGTGCGAGTTTATTCTTGTAAGACGATGAGGGAGTTGGCGGTTTTGAAGTGGCATAAGGAGGGGTGCTATGCTGTTACTTTTGCGGAGGTTTTTGCTTCTTTTGGTTCTGGTGGTGATACTACGGGAGATGAGGATGTTGGAAAGAGTTTGCAGATTGCAAGGCGTGAGAATGGGGATTTCTCACTTGCTAACGTTCAACGACAGCGGAATGAGAAGGTACAGAGTACGCATTGGTTGGCTGCCGGGTCAAAAGATGGAAAGATCTCATTGTGGGATATCTACTGAGGTCGCCAATTGCTATATACAAGAAATACACTAAGCTAGGTTGAATTCGCTGGCACCGGCGGCCATGTGCTGTTTCAACTTGGCTCTCATCATCTGGGCTGCAGAAGTTGTGTCGTTAGAAGGCACATCGCCGTCGTCTCGGCCACCACCTGGCGCCTTTCTCTTCTTTCCGGCGGTGTTCCTCTCTGCCTTGTAATCCTTCTTGGCATCGTCCTTTCCGGGCCGCAGTCCAGGGACATTGATTTTGCTGGGCCGGTCACGCAGTGCGAAACTCTTGGCAAGATGTCCGAGGTGGAGCTCCTTGATGTTGAACATGCTGCGCTCGCTGGCGATGTGGGTGGCATAAGCGCGGATATGGGATTGATACCCTCGTCGGGCCATTTCGAGATATTCCGGATTATCCACTGCCCATCGTTCAAGGTCCATTTGCCAATCGGTCGCTTTCTCTTCCCAGTCTTTGCCTGCAGACTGTAGGTTTCCGCCAAAGCTGCGCTTGAGAATATCCTCCGCAGTTGTACGCGTGAGTGTCTTTCCACCATCCCGGTACCCACGCTTGAGGATCTCCACGTAATTCTCTTCGCATCCGGGCATCAGGAAGATTAATGCTCGACCATCTCGCCCGAGACGTGCCGTACGTCCAATTCTGTGGGTGTGATCATCAGCGCTGAAAGCGGGGTCGTATTCGATGACCAGGTCGACATTTGGCAAATCCAATCCTCGGGATGCGACATCAGTGCAGACAAGTACGGACGGTTCAGTATTGCGGGCGAAGGCATTAAGGGTGGCTGTTCGGACGTGTTGAGGGAGTGACCCATGTAGCTTGTGCAAGGTAACAGGATTTGAAGGGTTGGAGAAGGCAGTGGCAGGAGCGATGGTTCTATGAGGAGAGGCTTCGGATTTTGTTTTCGCGGCATCTTCATTATCGTCTTCCTTTTCCTCCTCGCTCTGTTCTCTGTATTGGTTCTTTCTCGAGAATACCTCAAAATGGAAGTCGACTGAGTCAGCGCAAGATACGAATACGATTGCCTTCATGACGGAGCCTTTTCGCATAAATGTCCGTTTCAAGTAGGCAGTAAGAGTGACCAGCCTGAGCTTAGCCGCAACAATAGCATAAGATTGCTTGAGTTGAGCAGGCACCCTGAAGCCATCATCATCTTTCTTCCTAGGTTCACCATCCTCGTCTGCGGGGTCGGCTTTGATATGCACGGCATCCTTCAAACTGATCTCCCCCAGCTTCTGTACATTCATCTTTAATGTAGCGGAACAAAGGATCGTAGTTCTATTCGCAGGTACACCGGGGATCCGACTCGGCCGTTGCCTGGCAGTGAGTTTCTCAATGATCCCCTGTAGCTCTTTCTCGAAACCCAGTTCCATCAATCGATCACCTTCGTCCAGAACCAACCATCTCACATTACTCACGTCCAGCGCTTGTGTATTTTCAAGATGGTCAGCAAGTCTTCCCGGCGTAGCCACCAGAATATTCAATCCCTTCCTTAATCTCGCCTTCTCCGACTTCTTTTTCTCCCCACCAATAACTGTACCTGCCACAATCCAATGCGCGCACCGAAGCAACCCCTCTAAGACAACCGATATCTGTTTGCACAACTCACGCGTCGGTGCCAGGATAATAGCGAACAATCCACTATCGCGATGAACAACCGGCTCCCCTCTCGAATCCGTCACTCCACTCATATTCTTCGGATTCGAAAGTGCCATAATCCTCTGCACAAGTGGAAGCAAATAAGCCAAGGTCTTTCCGGAACCAGTCTCAGCCTGAATAAACGCATCACTATCCTCCTTCAACAGCTGCGAGATAGACGCCCTCTGAATCGCCGTCGGTGCCTTCAACTCCATCTTCGTCAGCAAATGCGCCGCCAAGCTCGGCGATAGACCCAAATTCGTAAATGTATCTAGCCCATCAATTAAAGGCGCATTAGTCGGCTTCGCATCCTCCATTGGGACATCCTCCACCACTTCCTCCGCATTACGAGGTTCAGGATTTTTCGAAAAAAGCGACGACACAAACGGCCGTGGATGTTGCTGGTTATGATGTTGCGATTTCTCGTGGCTGCCGTCTGCATCGGTCTTCTGTCTCTTCGAGGGTCGGGAGGAGGACACTTGGATGCGATTCGGGTTCTGGGGGCCCTTCGCCGAGGAGATTTTCTCGTCGCCAGGTTTCCGGGGGTTGTTGGAGCGGTGTTGGGCGATTTTCTTTGCGCTGAGTCTGTCGCGCCAAGTTCCACCTTTAAGTCTGGTTTCTGGTTTGATTATATTGGAGTCGCCGATGGCGAAGTTGAGGAGCAAACCGTCGTCTGCCATTTTGGGGTTATATGATGGACTGATGGTTTATTAGGCGTTCTGAGATTTTTTATTTGCTAGGATTCGAGCTCGGCATTGCTATCTTGTTTTTGGATGGGTCCCGCTGCGGAGGGAATTTTTCACGGCCCGCTTTGCTTCCGAGCCCTCTCTATGTGCCCTATTTTCCTTTTTGGGGGACGGATCTTGAGCTAGTAAGAGAGGTTGCTTGAGGTTTAGTGATCCGTTATTTTAAGGTGGTGAGTAGGAGGTATCAGTTTAGTAACTGCTACTGGATACTACATTGGATTCCACATATAAATTCGACGCAAATGTTGGGGCAGCGTTGGTCCGTTATATATTCAAGATATGTACATTGGCCATTGTTCTAGATACATATAGCTATATAAGCGCGTCTTTTGACACTGACCGGTATATTTCAGGAATGTATAATCCTTTTGCTGAAGGCTCAAGCCCGAGGTTTGAAGATAAGGTTGTCAATCAGTCGCACAGGGACTTGTCCATCGCCCAGGCCGCAGTCCTCGCCAGGCTTGGATTCTTCGAGGGGAGTCATCTTGATTGCACCACTGATGATGGCTCCCTTGGCGGGATCGATTGAGTCTACCTCATCGAGCGTATCAGGGTCAGCAAGAGAAATGTAGTCGACTTCATAGAGAGCCCTTGTAGATGGCGGCAAAGCCTGCTGCTCAGACAAAACTTGCGATGTCACACTATTTGCGGCATCAAGAATATCACTTCGAGCCACCTTGCCGGAGTCATATGCATTCTCAGCCGCTTTCAGGGCAGTATAGAGGACAAGGCCGACAGCACGTCTCCTCTGTCCCAAGTACACGTTTCTCGAACTCATCGCTAAGCCGTCATGTTCACGAACTGTCTCGCCAATCTTGATCTCAGTATCCACATGGAAGTCTTGCACCATGCGCTTGATAACCACCGTCTGTTGGACATCTTTCTGTCCGAAGTACGCGCGATCAGCTTGAACGAGGTTGAAAAGCTTCATGCAAACCGTCGCGACTCCCCGGAAGAAGACCGGACGGGAAGCGCCCTCCAGCTTCCTAGAAAGGGGAGTTATCGTAACGAAGGACCCATCGCCATCGATTTCCGATGAAGGCGGCAATGTCGGATACATGACCTTCGATGTAGGGGCCAGGAGGGCAGTAATGCGACCGGTTTCCCCTCCGAGACGGGCAAATTCATCGTTCAGTTGCTCCAGCTTTGCCACGTCGCTATCCCAGGTGCGAGGGTAGCTTGAGAGGTCTTCGGTAACCCCGAATTGGGTCGGATTGACGTAGATACTGACAAAGACATCGGTGTTCTCGGTCGCGGCCTGTCGGATCAAAGAGAGATGGCCCTCATGAAGAGCCCCCATGGTAGGAACAAACCCTACAGTCTTCTTATCCAGCACTAACTGCCGGCGCAATTGTCGGAGAGGGGGTACATCGCGGAAGACTTGGAATGAGTAGTGACGGAGGGATGAGGAAGCCATCGAGGCGTTTTTGAGAAAAGGCGAGGCCGCTGCCACAGTAATTATTGTCAGATGAATATCCGTTAGGATACGTTAGCGGTTTCCGAGGTCTTACTTGAAAATGTCCTCGCCCAGCAAAACATCTTGAAAAATTATTTATAATGTAGCAGGCTCGAAGATTTCCATGTAGTACTGAAGTGTGTTTCCTTCGTCCCACTGTGGAGCAAGGACGGGCTCAGGCACTAAACTGCGAAAGGAACATTGGCAGTCACACCGAAAGCTCTAAGCTAAAAAGTTTTACAACAGGACAGATCAGCCCATTGAGAAAGGCGTACATGCTCTCTGATTGCAGGAGGTGGTGGTTGATCGTCGTGCTCTCGGCTGCTGCGTGGAAATCATCCCTCGCGGGACTCGGGAAGAGGAGCTTGAACTAGTTCGGCCCCATCACGGTTGTTTTCTTTACGTACGGCCTTGGGTGCTTTCCCTGCCATGGTCGCATCCACGGTACCGTAATTTACGCCACAGGACCGTGTTATCTCACGTGATACTATCCGAGGTAGTATTCCGGGGTAAGACCGGGGGATGATCAGGCGGTTTCTGTTGGGAACTGCATCACAACAACAATCCTCCGCTGTCGTGGCGATGAAATCTCTTTTCTTTTGCTCCGGGGGACATTCCATGTTATGACAGCTGTTTATCCCCTGCTTTTGAAGTCAATGGCAGCCGAGCAGCTTACTATCTCCTTGATCGACTTCGTCCCCGCTCGTCCTTTACACCTCTACTTCTCCGCCTTCGTCCCGAGCCAAGATGCCGTCTGAAAAGGGCCCCGTGGGCCAATCGCCTCCTGACTTGGAAATCGTTGGAGACAAAGTTACTATACATCCTAGTGGTTTTACTGGAGGTCCAGAGCCTCAAGATGATGGAATTACCGAGCGGAACCTCGTCCATCATATGGCTCGCTTTCGCCAGAACCCTTTTGACTTTCTACGAGAAGTAAGCCTCTATATGTCAGGTACTGGCTGGCGTGCGTACGACAATGTGGTCGGACAACCTATATTCTACTCCGGTTTCACGGACAGGATGAAGACGAACATCCTCGCTAGCCCTCTTCTACAGGGTAAGGTGAAGGAGCTAGCGGAGGCGCGACTATCGGTCGAGGAGAAGGAGGGCCTTTTGGAGATAAGACCAGGCCCTTTACTGAAAAAGAAGGTTCATAGACGGAATGAGATCGAAGCTAACCTCAAGGAGGTGGTTGATTCTATGCTGGATAATATGATTTGCAAAATGGAGAGCAATCGGTTTATCCGAGGCGCATATTATCTCTGCACTCAGCTTCTCACGCGCGCTTATCACCAAGGTATGCCTGCGTTGGAGGCCTTGTGAGAAATTATCGCTAATGAGTGCATGCAGGAATTCACGTATCGAGTGAAGAAGTTTTGCGCCTGAGGTCCGTTGCCGAAGAGGCGGCCAAAAAGAAGCAGTCTATTGTTTTCCTGCCGTGCCATAAGTCGCATGTGGACTATGTATCTCTTCAACTCATCTGCTACCGCTTAGGGATCGGTTTACCTGTCGTCGTGGCTGGCGACAATCTAAACATCCCGTTACTGGGGCCTTTCTTACAGCATGCTGGTACGATATAATGTTCTATGCCCTTCGTCGTATCTTCGTATCTATGTTAACGACCTCAGGTGCCATGTGGATTAGGAGGAGCTTCGGAAACGACCCATTGTATCACACAGTTGTCCAAGCCTATATTGACACACTACTGCAGCAAGGTTTTAATTTCGAATGTTTCATCGAGGGCGGGAGGTCTCGAACCGGAAAGCTCTTATCTCCGAAATTTGGAATCCTTAGCTTCATTCTAGATAGTGTGCTATCAGGCCGTGTGGAAGATACAGTCATATGTCCCGTTAGCACACAGTACGATAAAGTCATCGAGACTGAGTACGGGAGTAACAGCTACCTTGCTAGGGTGGTACAGTCACTGACATTGCATATAGATCTTATATCAGCGAGCTTCTTGGTCAGCCGAAGCGGAAGGAGAATCTGGCAGATCTCCTCTCATCTTCGTCTGTCCTCTCCCTAAAACTAGGCCGAGTTGATGTTCGGTTCCACGAACCTTGGAGCATGAGAGAATTTATTACTCAGCAATTGACTCGATTACCAAGTCAGATCCACATAAACAGTGACAGGAAGCTGAATTATGAAGAACGGGGCCGGATTCTGAGGACTTTGGGTTATAGGGTTCTTTCAGAGATCAATGACGTCTCTGTGATGATGCCTACAGCTTTGGTCGGCACCGTTCTCTTAACGCTTCGCGGACGTGGTGTTGGGAAAGCTGAACTGGTACGTCGGGTTGAGTGGCTTTGTGAGCGTGTTCGCATGAAGGGTGGCCGAGTTGCGCACTTTTATAGGTATCCGACGGAAGTAGTTGTTGATCGTGCCCTTGAAGTCCTCGGGTCGAAACTCGTGGGTGTAGTAAGTGGCCTTGCTGAACCAACATACTACGCTGTGGATCGCTTCCAGCTCTCTTTCTACCGCAACATGACTATTCATCTCTTCATTACGGAAGCTTTAGTATCCGCGGCTATGTACACGAAGGTCAAACGAGGGGGTGGCCCGCCTCATCAACGGATCTCATTCACGGATCTCTTAAGCCAGGTTACTTTTCTTTCACAGGTATGATAGGACTTCCTAGAAAAACGTCATGTAAAGTAAAATTATTAACTTTCTGAAGCTTTTCCGCGGCGAATTCATCTTCCCGCCCGAAGGCTTGACTACCAATTTGGAGAAAACCCTCCAAGGTCTTGAGAAAGACGACGTTATCATTGTCTCTAGGGATGCTTCCGGTACACCTACCTCCGTTGAGCTAAGCGACGCGGAGCGCAAATGTGGCAGAGAAAATTATGACTTCTATTGCTTCCTGATCTGGCCGTTCATCGAGGCTTCATGGCTTGGCTCAGTGTCTCTGCTTGGTCTTACTCCGCCAGTCAATGAACATAAGGATATCTGGATTGACCTTAAAAAGGCACAGGATAGCGCGCAATTGGCAAGTCTATTCTAGGCGTATCTCCTCGATAGTATTACTAATTATACTCGCAGCTTGGCAAAACATTATACCATCAGGGCGATCTCTCCTATTTCGAAGCTGTGAACAAGGAGACCCTTAAGAACTCATATCAGCGTTTTGCAGAAGAAGGTATCATACTCGTCCGCAAGGGCAAAGAATTACGCGCATCGCCCGTGATGAAGCTCGCACCAGAATGGACACCCGAACGGGATCCATCAACCGGCAAATTGTTAGCTCGCGGACGCCTTTGGGATTTCACTGAGTTAATTGCTCAATCCAGACGCGAGGGGTGAGTCTAGCTCATGATTCTTCCCTCTGTTCTTTAGCAAAATTGTTTAAACTAATTCAAATAGCAAAAACCGTCGAGATGGTGCAACGGTTTCATCCCGCGTTCTGACCATGACCGACTTGGTTGGGCGTAAGCTGTTCGAAGGCGCAGCGAGCCCTGATCTCGGAGATAGCGTTGATGTTTCTTCTCGCCAACAGCGCCGAAAAGACATTACGACAAAGTCCAAGCTTTAGTATTGATATGTCTTGAATGTGCGTTTTTGTTACGGATCACTTGAAATAGTGTTTCTCACCCGCATACATTGTGAATACCCTTATTCTCTCATCTATGAATCCTTCGTATGTATTTATTCCCCTAATCTGCACATATCCATCACATTTGGTAGCCTACAAGATACTGTCTGTCCATGATCTGAAGAATAAACGTCTTTCCGAAGCCCTGTTATTACCCCTAGATATCAATTTGTATATAAAGTAATTAAACATCAAACCAAGTATAGCCCTAAATAGTGCATACAGATGAAGTACTCATACCGATAAGACATCTACAAACACTCAGCATCGGCTCAACAACCCTGTCCAACAACAATTTCCGATTTCATCCCATTGCCCACCCCGCCAACAGCCTCAACAACAGCCTTGTGCAACACCTTGTCTAAGACGGCCTTAGTCTCAAATCTATTGTTAAGTGCCTATGCTACTATCCTCATCGCATCCTTTTCCGATCCTCCCCGAAATCATCCACTCCCGCACAACCGTCGCTCCATTCCAACTAACATAAACCACTATACACCACCCATCTCTCCTTCAGGACAATCAACGGCATCGGGCTTCGCCCTTGGCCTCCCCGCCCGCGGGAACCGATACCCCCTATATGACACGGTTGATTTATGGAACCCAAACTGCGCCCCCAAAACCAGCGCTCCATGTTCATCATAATCCTCCAACTTTGGAACGACACCGTGCTGCATCAACACGTGTCCATTGCTGAAGTACTGATAACTATCCTAGGACTCGGCGAAGACGGGCTCCGCAAGGTCCTAGGGTCATGCCGGTTGTCTTTGTAGTCTGGGAGGTGATCTCGGCGTTTTCGTTGTGCAGGTGGAGGGTCATCCTTTCTTCCGCGTGGCTTTGGATTTGAGGGTTGTGTTGGTAGCAGAAGGTTGTGCCTGGCGAGAGAGTCGAGTCGGTGCCTTTTTGGCACTGTGGTCATAGTATCAGATGGGGTTGGGGGTGGGCGAGTATTGTGGTGGATGTGATTGATCGGCGTACGTGTAGATGCCAGGTTACGTTGCCGTGTTGATGCATGAGGAAGATACTGCACAAGAAGCGGAAGAAGATGAGGTATGAATCGCCGTATTTGGCTACAGCGTCCAGATGCCGATATTCGTATGGACTGGTCTTGCTTGTCCCCTTACCGAGGAGGGGGGTTTCGGGGAGATACTCGACGGTAATCCAGCGGAAGAGAGTTTCGTTTGTCTTGATGTCGATTTCGTAGAAGAGGCCGTCTTGAACCCAGCCGTCTTTGGGGCCTCCGATTGCTGAGAGGTCTACCTGCGTGACGTTTACGGCTGTTACGAGGACTGCCCCTTCGTTTATGGTCTGGTTTTCGTGGATGTCTTTGTAAGATGGGAACGTCTGGGGATCGAGGACAGTCACGAAGCTCTCTTCTGTACCTGGTAGTGTGAATTTTGTGTATCTCGTCATAGGGCTGTTTAGGATGCTGATGGAGCCGAATCCGGAACCTTTGTTTGATCTGGGCACCTCGCCGTTTAAGCATTTGTGGCTAGTAGGCGGAGGCGTTGGCCATTGGCCCTCGCCAGACGAGTTGTCCATCATCTGCATAGATGGCCGGGTAGCTCCAGGCGTGGGATTTTGGGGAGATGAACATGCATCCTAGTTCGCTTTTGCCGTTTTTGGTGACGTTCATGTATGGCGCTTGAATTGGGGCGCTCTTGAATGATTGTAGGGGTCATTCGGTAGATGATTGAGCGAAAGACTCAATAGCCCCGAGCAGAAAGGTAAAATGTCAAGAACGTTGAGCTGACATTTTCACCGCATGTTGTGATGCACTGATACGCAATGCTATGAGGGATTCTCTGCTTTTCCCACTCGACCAAGAAACAACGTCGGCTGAAGGTCTAACCTTGCACCTCAATATATTCACACACCCCTTAATTTGATCTCCTCTCCTTATATAAGGGATGTTTACCTCAGCGGGTTGTACAGCTGCTATCTGGGATTGGTTGAACCAACCTTCTAAAGGACCCTCTTCGGGTATGGTGACTTATCTTAGACAAAGAAGCTAACATAGAGGTGAATACACGCAGGAAAAGCCCGTACAACAGCGCCAGCCGATGAGCGAGAGCACAAGATATGACCCATCACCCTCACACTCGCTGGCCCCCTCAACTGACAGCTTCTTGCCACATAAAATGCTTTGCATCAGCACCCGCCCCTGGAGACTTGTTGATGTTTCAATAATCGGCCATGGAGCCTGAGCTCAGGACCACGGGGTGTTTTCATCTATGCGCGGTATATGTTCACAGTATGTGTTAATAGCATCGATGCGGAAATCTGCCGTTGAAGCTGAGGCGAGAAGATAGATCCGGTATATCAAGTAGAAAGACCCCACAGATTAGTGTAGTGCGTTGTGCCCGACACAGCTATCAGAGGCCACAATGACATTAAGTGAGCCATCAGCAGGCAAGAAGGCCAAAGCTTGGTCTCAAGAAGCTTCCCGTTGTCTCAATCGAACCAAACTGAGGACGGTAGCCGAGCCATAAGGCCAGTCTGTAAAGGATTAGTTACCTAGGATAACGCAGATGTGGCGCTCTCTTGTGTGACGGCAAATCTACTAGCAAGTAATATAAGCGAGGGTACAATGGTCGAATTATCCATTCCATAGTCTGAGCGTCTCCCCGTAGTGGGATGCGGGGACTAGAGTGGAGAATATTTCGAGGCTAAGATAAGTGTCGGTATTTGTCGACGGGATTAGATGGGTCTTGGAGATATCTAGCCCTGGTTACCTCAGGACAATAGAGATAGACTGGGTTCAATATATAGACGTACAAACCTCGTCCCTCAATTGATTGCAGAATTTGTCCAAAAGTATAGATGAAAACGTACCTATTCGTCATCAATCAAGACCCAGTCCATGCTTTATTAGTATTTTATCCTTGTCGATAACTCGCATTTCTTAATACTGCACCTAGGATCCATGATCCTTGGGGACTCCCCCAGTCAAATGGTCACCTGATTAAATCCATGTCCCCCTTCTATACCCTTATCAAGAAGATCCAATATATGCAAGATGATCGGAACTACCATATGAAGTGAGAGACGATAAGAGTTGTTCTGCACAGTAACCTCAGCCGCACGAGCAAGTTATCTCTCACCAATGATAATGATAATCTTTGTTTGCGCATTTGATTTCCCAAGGCAGCTAACATGAGCATCTCGCTCTATACCCCACAGGGTTGCTGGATCCGGGGGGTGAAGAAACAGAACCAATGGCAATCCGGTAAAAAGGCATGTCTTATCAGTGGCTGAGGGTATGTAGGTGGGATCGCCCATCCTGATAACGAAAGGCGCATACGGGAATGTCCATTTTAGGGTTGGGTTTGGTCCCGAACGGAGCCAATATATGTATGAGTCTCTTGGCTCTCATAGATAACGAGGCGATCCGTTCAGAACGAGCCCATTTCCCGACACTATGGCAATCTACGTCCAGCCAAGAGATATTGGAAACCAAGAGATAGTCAAGGGATGAATTATGGAGACCGACTATTTCTTCAAGTTTCGCTTGTTCGGCCAAGTTCAACTGCTTAAAACAAGAGAATACACGCGAAACAACGGTCGTTGTGTTTCTGGTTCCTCATAAGGATTGTTCGCTTGCTATGGCTGAGGTATGTATATCTTTCCTAGGGCGTCTCCAAAAGAAGGGCCTGGCTGATAGGGATTATACACGACTTGCAGCCGGTATACAATGCTTCGATCCCCCAAGGGGGTGATCCAATGAAAGTCGATGTCAACGCGCAATATGCAGGATACGAGTATAATTATGTGTATATTACCGCTTGCACTTTCATCGTCTTCCTGATCCTCCCTGGTATTGCCTTCCTCTACAGTGGATTAACTCGGCGAAAGTCCGCGCTGGCCCTCCTCTTCCAAGGCTTCATGATCCTTGCAGTGTAAGTGATGCAGAGAGCGCAATGGCATCTTAGTGCGGATATTAAAGAGACGATAGTATTACATTCCAATGGCTATTCTGGGGGTATTCTCTCGCGTATTCCAGAGATGGAGGGCCCTTCATTGGTACATTGCAGAATTTTGGCTTGATTAATGTTATGGTGGCGCCTTCTCCTGGTTCCGCCGTCCTCCCGGAAGTCGTTTTCTGTCTATTCCAGCTTCTGTTCTGCGCTTGCACGGTATGTCATCCTCTTCGAACCAACCCTTTAAGTTACTAAGATTGGCAGGTGATGATCATGGTTGGTGGCGCTTTTGAACGAGGCAACATCATGCCTTCTCTGATCTTCAGCTTTTTCTGGGCAACTATCGTCTACTGTCCCTTAGCTAGGTGGACATGGAGCAGCAATGGCTGGCTTTATAAGTTTGAAGCTATAGACTTCGCCGGTGGGGGTCCTGTCCATATTGCGTCGGGTTGTTCCGCTTTAGCATATGCGCTGGTTCTCGGAAAGCGGTTGCACCACGGAGAACCGTCGCTCCGCAAACCTCACAATACTACATTGGTTTTCCTCGGAACAGTTCTCATTTGGACAGGATGGCTCGGATTTAATGTATGTCTCGGCTAAGTATTCCCTTGGTTGCAAGATTCTCTTTCTGACTATGTGTGCAGGGTGGGTCAAGTCTTAATGCTAGTATGCGTGCGATGCTTGCCGTCTTCAACACTAACACGGCAGGATGCACGGGGATCCTGGGATGGGTCCTGATTGACATAGCCAAACACAAGGGTAAATTTTCCGTGGTTGGGGCTTGCGAAGGCGCAATCGCCGGTCTTGTAGGCATCACGCCAGCTGCCGGCTGTGTTTCTCTTTGGCTCGCGGCTTGCATTGGGTTCATTACTGGCATTGTATGCTCATTGCTCCAAAACATCAACGACTGGCTTCGGATCGATGAGGGAATGGATGTCTTCAAGCTCCACGGGATTGGGGGTATGGTCGGTGCCATTTTGACGGGACTCTTTGCTAGTGAATCCATTTCGGCCCTGGACGGTGTCAGCCTGGCTGGCGGAGCCATCGATGGCAACGGGGTTCAGGTGGGTCGGCAGCTGGCTGAGATCTGTGCTATCGCTGGGTATTCTTTCACTGTGTCTTACCTCTTGCTCTTCATCCTCAAGTATATACCTGGGATGCGTCTCCGCGTGGACAAAGAATCCGAGATGATGGGCCTCGACCAGGCACAGTTCTTGGATGAGCAGATCGGAGACTGGTCAATCGCGCATGTCATGAACAGTCCGATGCTGATGGGGGTTTCCGCGGCGCCCGTCGAGTCTCGAGATGAGCCGAAAGAGAAGGCATTAGGGGCTTAATGGGGAGTATACCAGTTGTGCATATGACTTTACGATCGTTATGGAGTATATACGGTCTAGAAGTATGGTCAGTTAAAGCGGCAATCCGAATGACAGGTCACAGGTCGATAGTACTTAGTAGTAATTAGTAACATTGCTGGTACACAGACAGGTACATTCCATCAATAGGGTTCATGTACTCCGCACCTTGGCAATCCGGGGAGTTCAGTGGTAATCAATCAGAGAGTCCCCATCTTGAATCCTCCATTGTTCATATTGACGGGATCATCCAAGGGTAAGATGTCGACATTCCTCGATCTCGAACGTCATGAGGGGAAGTGTTTTAAGACGTTCTCAAGAGGTGATGACGAATCCTCGATGCTTGGCTTTTAAGCAGTTGGCCTTTCCACCAATCAGACGGGCGGATAAGGCCCTCCCGCATGACAGGGTCGAGGCTTACGTCAATGCCTACAGGGATTTATTTTAGTCTCTTGAAGTCCCTTCTGCAGACTAGACCCTTTAGATCCTATCTAATAACACCCTTTTAATTAATCCAAGAAGAGTAGTAATTTTACAAAGTTTCTAGATTATTCCCCCCCCCCTCTCCTTTCGGTCTTCTTAGCCTTGTCCAACCTTAGAAATCATATGACAATCCTCTCAATAAAAATTACATTTTTTACAAGATTCTATATTTGTATTCTACAGCAAATTCGGTGGCAAAGATAAGAATTATATTATCCAGTAGTAGTTCAGCCTCCTTCAAGTAGTTAAGAAAGGCTGGGCTTCAAGGCTGGTTCCGATCTAGACCTAACCGGGCAAATGTGGGCCTCAGGCCGGGGATCGGCAGCGTCGCGTCCTGTCGCCATCCGTTCCCGTCTTATCGTTACCATTTCCTTTCGTTTCATTTATCCAATGTCACTCTGTTTTTTTTTTCCCGTCTTTTCCTTCCGTTCTTTCTTGTCCCTCCCACCCTTCTGCCACAGGAACGATATTAATCGCATTCCGTTCTTCCTGTTCTTGCTTCTTTTCGTTACACTTTCATTTTGCTGTTCTTCAGCAAGGCCATTCGTTTGGTTTCAACACTCTTATCTTTCTCGTCTTCCCTGACTCTTCCCCCATGATTTGATCTCGCCGCTTTTATCGTACCCTTATCTTCCCCCCTCGAAGCTCGCAATCGACTGACCTGTACTGTTCCCCTTCCACTCGCTGATCTATTTCGCCCGTGGGTGGTCATGCTTGACGGATAGCTGCTCTTATAATCTCTAATCATCAGTTCCAATGGGCAAATGTAAGCTTCTTTGTTCCCATTGTGGCACATATCCGGGACGCTGACCATGGTGCTATAACAGGGCATTACGGAGTCGTCCTCGACGCAGGCTCGTCTGTAAGTTACAACACACCATATCATACGCCTTCGCGCCTCTAATACCTCCGACAGGGGACTAGAGTCTACGTTTACCGATGGTTAAATAATGCTGCTGCGCGCAAAGCGGCGGATTCGAAGGATCTGAAGTCTTTGCCGGAAATTAAAACGAAACCAGAATGGACGAAAAAGATACATCCAGGTAAATATCTAACATTGTGGGGGGACGAGGGAATACCACGTATTCTGACCGTACTGTTCTTTTAGGCGTGTCTTCATTTGCCGACAAGCCGGAGGATGTTGGATCGCAACATCTCGCCGAACTTTTGGAACATGCTCAGAAAATCGTACCTAGCGATGCGATCAAGGACACTCCGATCTTCCTTCTTGCGACTGCGGGAATGCGGCTACTGGGTGACGTGGAAAGGAATCTACTCTTAGGTGAAATTTGTTCCTATGCGCGTGCCAATACCGACTTCTTACTTCCCGATTGCGACGTCCACATTCAAGTGATTCCTGGAGTGACCGAAGGGCTGTATGGATGGATTGCCGCCAATTATCTTCTGGGTAGTTTTAATGCACCAGAACACCATGACCATGGCAAAGGCCACCATACATATGGTTTCTTGGACATGGGCGGGGCCTCGGCCCAGATCGCATTCGCCCCGAATTCGACGGAAACGGAAAAGCACGCCAATGACTTGACGCTGTTGCGCCTGCGCAATGTAGACGGATCGACGCAAGAGCATAAAGTTTTTGTTACATCGTGGCTCGAATTCGGCGTACATGAGGCGCGAAGGCGTTATTTGGAGTCTATGCAAGCAGCCAGTGCGGTGGATAGCGCAAAGGAACTTCCCGATCCCTGTCTTCCCAGTGGCCTCCGAACTGCGTTTGATGGCAAGCCCCTAGCATCGGGACAAGAAGGTGGGATGCAGCTTCTTGGAACAGGGAAATTCGACGAATGCTTGCGACAGACTTATCCTTTGTTAGACAAGGATGCTCCCTGCCTAGATCAGCCCTGTCTCCTCCATGGCACCCACGCTCCCGCCATTGATTTTGACGTCAACCATTTCATCGGCATCAGCGAGTATTGGCATACGACGCACGACGTATTTGAAATGGGTCATAAGGACAAGGCGTACGATTTCAACGCTTACCAGCAGCGTGTGGAATCGTTTTGCTCGCAGGACTGGGAAACTATATCGAAAGGTATCGACGAGCATAAATGGAAAAAGCTCAATCATGAGAAGGCTTTTGAGATTTGCTTCAAGGCTTCCTGGATTATCAATGTTCTGCACAGTGGCATTGGGGTTCCTCGTGTGGGGCTGGAGGAAACAATAGGCTCCGGCCACAACGGCACGAAGGAGGTGATTTCACATGTGCAAAGCAAAGGCTTCCTCGATCCCTTCCAGGCAGTGAACAAAATCGATTCTACCGAAGTCAGCTGGACCCTAGGCAAAATGGTGTTGTACGCGTCTTCCCAGGTTCCGGTGGAGATCGAGGAGAAGACCCTCCCCGTTGGATTCGGTAGCAATGTTGCCGGCATTCCTAACGATTTCCAATATCCTAGCACTGAGCTACTGCCAAAGCCTGAGGGCCTGCATGGTGCGGATTGGCACGATGCTCTTCTTCACGCGAGATCGTCCCGCAGAGTCCCAGGGCTTGTGCTTTTCCTACTCATAATCATCGTGGCGATGTTCTTCCTTTGTGGACGAAGTCGTCGGTCGAGAATGTGCCACAAGATCAGCAACTTATTCTATGGAGGACGGTCGCACCCGAGTTACCCCAAAAAGCGGAAGTTCTTCGGTGGCAAGTTTCCATTCTTTGGCCCTAAGAGCCCCTCGTATGAGCGTGTTCTTGAGGACGGCGCCCATGAACTTGACCTGGGTGGGATAGTTTCTGGACGGAGTTCGCTGGATGTTGGCCGCTTGTCTGATGCTGATTCAGCGAGCTTCCAGCCACCTAAGCGAGCTTCAAGTTGGAGCAGCAGCAACACACCTAGTCTAAAATTCGGGCTGGATAATTCCTCATCCGGCACTATCGGGCTTGGAATCACCGCTGGCTCCGGGATTAACGCAATGGATCGCGCGGGCCTAGTGGTGAGAACTGAAAGCAGGGACCACCTAGCTCCTATAGCACTGGGCCCGACATCTAATGGCCGGCGGTCCAGGACAGGCAGCCCGTCGAGATCCCATCCACATAGATCACCCATCATGACGCCGCTGTCACATGATGATTGATGCTGCTGCATGACAATAATCGCATTCTTCTTCTTCTTCTCTCTCTTCTTCTTTCTATTAGCATTATATCAAGGAGTTCCTGGTTTTGGTGTCGGTACGGCTTTTAGGAAAGAACCGCTTTCCAACAAGTCCAGGCCTCGAACGCCGAAAAGCCTGAATTATGGCGGCGATTTTTTTTTGGTTACTTTCTTAGTGTGATATTGGCGGCGAGCACTTTTGCTCCACAGTACATAACTGCTGCTTTCTTACTTCTCTGCCCTCCTCCACCCATACCTGTCTCACCAAGCTCGTTCATTGGATTTGACTTGGCGATCTATACTTTTTAATGACGCTGCATGTATCAATAGACTTACGCTACCTAGCCTGAACCAACCTGGCTACCTATACCAAAGGGCTATGTGCTCTAATTCAATTACTTGAATGAACACTCGATACTTCATGACTTTCTTTTCTATAGATACTGTGAAATGGTGTAGTAGACATACTAGATAGAAGCTATCACGTGCCACACAATGCCAAGGTGATTCATATGTTCACCGCCCTGGCAAAACCCTTCAAGGTAACCGCGTAGATAATTCGATATGCGCAGAGCTCTAGCTGCTCTCCGCATACTTCTTCTCCTTAGACTATCAACCTACTATCCTTTCCTGCTTCACCGGTCGGGTTTTGAATTTTTACAGTACTGAATTTCTCTTCCTTTCCCTCAATACTCGCACGATACCCGATAGAACAACCTATAGAGAAGCACCGCCGCAATGCGATTGACCGTCGAACTTATCCAAAATTCGCTTTCGTACATCAACCCGCTAAAGGATCGCGAACTAGATCTCCGAGGTGCGTTCTACACAATGACCTGAGAAGGGCAGATATTACACTTTTTAAAGAGCTGGATTGATATCGTTTTTCTTTTTGAGTCGTATAGGGCACAGGATACCCGCGATTGAGAACTTGGGTATTGCAAAGGTATGGCCTCTTTTCTCCCGCTATCTCATTTCGATGCTTAGTTTGTGTCAGGACCAAGATGCAATCGACTTCACAGATAACGACATCTCTTCCCTTGGAAACTTCCCTTACTTTCCTCGCCTACACACCCTTCTCCTCGCCCGCAATCGAGTCAAGCACATCCAGCCTACGCTAGCAACCTCCGTGCCGAACCTGTCCACCCTCATGTTGACAGCGAATAATATGTCAGAGCTTGCGGACTTGGACCCTCTACGCCACTTAACAAAGTTAACGCATTTGGTGCTGATGGAGAACCCTGTTACCAGGAAAGAGGTAAGCATTCCATGCCCTTTGTCGCTTTGCTTCTGTCTCGCATGCCGTCGGAGATTCTCATATGCAGTCTTTTTTTCCACTTGACTAATATACATGTGGGGGCGCTTACTGATATTTCATAGCACTACCGTTACTGGGTTATCTGGAGGATCCCTAGTGTCCGCTTCTTGGACTACCAGAAGGTGAAAGATGCCGAGCGCGAAAAAGCCCAGGAACTCTTCGGTACCGCTGAAGAACCATCTACACTCGCTTCCAAGATCATCGGCATCAAGTCCCGCACATTCGACGTCCCATCGGGAGTAGCAGACCGCGCACCCGCAGACAAGGCCGTCCGCGTTAAGTTGACCGAGACTGAGAGGAAACGTGTCGAGAAATTGATCCGCGAGGCAAGGAGCTTACAAGAGATCGCCCGACTAGAGAAGGAATTGAACGAAGGTCGGATACCTGGAGGTGCGCTCGATGCGGCCGAGGACCCCGATCAAATGCAGACGTAATATATATCACAACAGTTCCATTCTTTTCTTATTCTTATGGTGCAAAGCTTTGTCATGGGTCTTCCTTTTGCATAAAAGATGCGACGTCTTCAAGTGTCCAGGCTTAATTTTCCCTTCATCTTCGGTACAATTCAGAAAAGCTTTCGTTTGGCTGTGGTCGGTCGGTGTTTGTGGATGTTTATAGTTAGTGGAATTGAAGGATCTTCCGTTACTTTACTCTCTTCAAATCTCCTTTCCCCTCCATGTTCGCTCTAGTCTTTTCTTCACGGTGCCTGTCAGGGCTTGGTCGGTTCTGTGGGGTGTGATCTGCCACCTGATTGTTGCAACATATGCGCTTGATTATCGCAAACTTTCCCTTTTGATCAGGATATGGGCTATCAGAAGTCCATATAGGCTATGATGAAGCAATACCCTAGCATCCTTTGCCCTGAGACCAGAAGTAAGATGCTCAGATTTATGATATCAAATATCAATTTTCCAGATGGCTGGTTAGTTATGAATCAATTTGATCAGATAAGATAACAGCACGTGCCGACGTCATGTCATCATGTCATGTCAGGTGGTATTGAAACCCAACCCCCATTTGGAGCGATTTCAATAAATTACGGTATTAAGGCTGCCTCAATTGATGCATTATTGCCATAATTAGAGCTATTCTCTCTAAAGAGGAGACTCCTGAACTATCTCATTCTGGCCCACCGCAAATACAGCAAGCTTCAGCGCACAATTATCTCCATCCCGCATCACACTCAAAACTGGCTTCAAGAACCTGCCACAGGAGAGTTTCCTCCCTTGCTACCCAGCTCCAACATTCTCAGCCCAGCATCCTTCAAAGGCTCACTACGTATTATTCTACGTCTGCATCTACATCACCCTCAACAATGGCTGCTCGAGCCCCGTGGCGCTCCCTCTTCCAATCCCATCTGACTCAAAACTCCTCTACCTCATTTACGCTATCGACCGTCGGGTATGACTCTCAGAGCAGGCCAGTTCCGCGCTCTCGGACCTGTGAATTTCGCGGTTTCTGGCCGAGCCCAAAACTCCATGAAAGCGCAGCCGAGGCGCTAACGAACCAGGGCGTGGGGCAGAACCCTGCGGTGTACGACAGCGACATGATCTCTCTGACGACCGATATTCGGATGGAGAAAGTCAGTCAGATCAATTCATCTGGGAATATCGTTGAGGGTGTGTTCTGGTTGACGGATGTTGGGAATCAGTGGCGGGTGAAGGGGGAGGCGTTTGTGGTTGGGGACCCGAGTGGTGGGACGCATGAGGAGGCGGCCAGGAAGGAGATCCAGAAGGGAGTGAGACGACAAGGAAATGATGGAGATGCGAGTGATTGGGACTGGGAAAGGCAGGTAACGACGTATTTTGCGAACCATTCGCCTGCTATGAGAGGTTTGTTTGTCCTTGGTTTTCTAGCCCTGTGAAATCAAGAGTTTTGGCTAATCGATATAGGCACGTTCAAGAATCCTCCACCTGGTCAGCCTAGGTCCCAGGAGCCCGCTGATCCCAGTTTGAGATTGGGCCAAGAGGTGGAGGATCTTCAAGATCCTGTTGCGCGTGGCAACTTCAGGGTGGTTATTATTCGTCCGAATGAGGTTGAGCGTCTAGACATATCGGATCTTCAGAATGTGCGGCGCGTGAGATGGACTTTTGTCCCGGCGGACAATCAAGACGAACAGGGAGAGTGGGTTGAAATGGAAGTGTGGCCGTGAGCGCTGTGCGCGTCCGTCGGTATGCTGTCTTGGTTCTTCTAGACATGTTTTAGTATTCTTTTTGTGGCTTTCACGGAAATCATATAAAGGAGACAATGAGAGTACAATCGTCCCGTTTGGATATACAAAACATCGCTTTTTAAAATGCGACGAAATGGAGGCTGGAGAAAGGAGAGTGCAATGAATGGCTTTGTCCGGGAACAATGAGGCTGCACACTGTTCATATCACTTTCCATGGGAGGACAACTTGCTTATTCCGGCCAGACGCTTCTCATGCAACAAAGGAAAGATAAAGACATGACTATATGGTGGGGGTGCAACTAATCCAGGAGTTGTGGTAGAATGAGGGTCTTTAAAACGCGCTCCTTTCTTTTCCTCCAACCATAACAGTGTTCCAAATATCCTCTTCATTTATTCACACACACTCTCACTCTTCAAACCCCGTCAAACCTTTACTTGGCTCCTCCCATACATTCTTCCCTCGCTGCTTTTATATTTCTTGACTACCCGTAGCGGTTCAAGGTAATTTGCCTTCGCAAATCCAGCGTGCACATAGAACCCCAACGCAGGAATACGAGCCATTACAGGTCATTAACCTGCCGACGCTCTTTTTATCTTTCTTGTTGACTTCGTTGAGTTCGCAAATATCCACTTTGCTTGAACGGGACCATTCGCGATGTCTCTCCCTTTGGAACCCGTGAAATCTCTTAAGCCTTGCCATTATTGTGGCTCTAATCTCCCGGAAGATGGGCCGTGTGAGCGATGCGATGGGTCGCCGGCTGAACCCAATACACCAGTCCCAGTTCCTCTGCCTGGGAGTCCCCATTCTGGGCGGGAGAAAGAAGCTACTGATCTGGACACAACTGTCGTAGTCTCTCATCCTGGAGGCGCTTTGGATGAAGTCAATCACTTCCAGGCTCAGATAAGCACTAGAGCTATCGAACCGACACCTACGACTCAGCATGACAATCCCTCGAGTGGCAATAACCTTTTGGAACTTAAAAAGATAGATTCAGATAACGATGGGTCAATTTCAGGTGTCCAGTCTAATAACGCTGAAGAGGGTAATAGTCCAAAGGAAACCAAGCCTCAAGGTCACTCTGCTCCTCAGGTTTGTAGCCTCCTTATGTATGTATTCCTGATGCAGCTTTGCGCTAACTTATACCCTAGTCAGCATCCAGTACAATAGCACCCAATCCGGCCAAGAAGGTTAAAATGGAGCCAGCCTGTGGTTCTTGCAGGAGGTCCAAGATTCGTTGTACGCATCGCAAGCCCATAACCGACCCAAGGGAAGGTAAGCCCCAAACACATTATCACCCAGATAGGTTGGTCCTTGTAGCACAGGCTAAACTCTTGTTGGACCGCGTGTCTAGCCTCAACTGGCCGTCAACCTGAGGCTCAAAGGCCTATTCAACCCAAGAGGGATGTCCAGGCTTCGCAAGGCAGCTCAGGAGAGCAGGCTTCCTCACCAGGCATGGAGGCCCGGCTTCGACCCAAGAAGCAGGGACCCACGACCGCTCGGAAGGAACCTAAAACCCGCTCTACATCGGGTTCCGGCCGGCCAAGAGGTAGACCACCAAAGCGCAAGGTTGAGGAGACCAAGGCTTTAATGGAAGGGGCTGATGAGGGGAATGCTACCGTGGAGCCAGAATCTCCACCTAAGCGAGCCAGACGCGGGTGTAAGCCTGGCCAACGCAGCGGAATGAGTGCTGAAGGTAAGCTTGAACAGGCTAAAGGCCCCGAGCCGCCGGTTGCAACAATATCAGCTGAACAGATGGCAGAGAATCTTACAATTGCCTCGCGCGTGGCTTTGGGCAATGTCCTGGCGGAAGAGGTTGAGGCCAAAGTACGTGAGTGTGAGGCGAAGTGGGAAGCAGTGTCCAATGCACTTGAGGCAGCCATTCTATGCTTTCGAGAGGCTAAGCAGTTGGTGGATCCGTATGTTGCTATGTGGAGAAGAGGTGAGATTTAGAAAGGATGTATTGCAACCTTGGGTGGGCTGATCTTGACTAATAGGACCAAGGTGACGCATGTGGATAAAGAGCTTCCCACATGTGAGGTGAAGATTGGAGATACATACTGTATAGCGGAAATTGGTGAAGGAAAATTGTTCAGCGTACCATCTGTGTTCGCTGACTGGTTTGTTCACTAGATCTAATGTACAATACTATGAACACATGGCATGTTCAGTGAAAGATCTGATGATTTGTCACTGAAATTGGAATACATTGGCCCAAAGGATCCTTGTCATTTCTAAGTTGATTGTACCGCTCTTCATGGTAATGTATACTACTACACCAACCGCGATCCTGAGGCTAGTCGGACTCGCATTTTTATTCCATCAATCGGCTTAGCAGTCACTTGCATTATCTGTTCACGGGCCAGTTAGCATTTGTAAAAGTAAAGAAGCGGGAACAGGAAAAACGTTCATACATCATAAAGCTCTATTCGAACATCATATTGGCCCTTTGAATTCAGAGCAGCCTCCCCCGGCCAGTCACGAACCACCTCCCCAAGACCTACTTTAACAAAGTCATATCTCCGTACAGCACAAGCCAGAATGACACGCACCTCCCCATTAGCCAGCTCCTGTCCGGTACAACAGCGCAGACCGCGCTCAAACGGCCACCAGGCACCTGCCGGCACTCGAGCAGACTCATCGGCTCCAGCCAACGCTCAGGCACAAAATCATCTTTGGTGGATCCATACACGGCCTCATCCCGCTGGATGCTCGCCAGGCAGTTGTACACAACCCTCCCGTCGATGCAAACCGTCTCCCCTTCTCCCATCTGCACGCAAAACTCCGATCCGGGAGGCTGATACCGTGCCATCCCAGACGGCGGATAAAGACACAAATATCTCCTTAATCCCAGCAGGAACATTCGATGTCTGCGAGATCCGACGTTCCCCACCGGGAGAGAGCAGCAGGTCCCGTACGACCCGCGGGCGAGGTCTCCGGTCCGAAAAGGTCATCCAGCTCGCGCCGAATGGTATCCAGTGCGCGCGGCATGCGACTGAGCTCGTCGAATGCCCAGGCAACCTGGAGACATGAAGCCATTTCCAGACCCACTCCACCATTACCAGAAAAGGAAATTTAGGAGTATCTGGTTTTTGGCCATGACGCCACCTTGGAAACGACAAAATGTTAGCCTGAAGCTAGAGAATTATGCCCGGTAGTATGATTATGCTAGTCTACATATCTCCTAGCGGTGTAGTGTGAGAAGTTGCTACACTACAATATAATATGTATGATAGGTTAAAAGTGTCAGAAATTCTATTCGCAATTCGAAACCTATATCTTAAATATCTATTGTATGTGAAAAGCCTCTAAGGAAGGGCATAACCACCATCAATAACAATATTCGTTCTAGTCATGTAGCAGTAAGCGTCACTTGCAAGGAATACATAAGCCTAAATCAATGATCAGTACGAGAAATTCAGATGACGAGCAAGCCCACTAGATAGAGATGGACATATCCTCTTCGGCTGAGCTGGGTCACAGATTTTCCGTCCCGGAATCATACTTGGCCATTTCTCCATAAACTGCTTTGGTTGCTGGGTTAGCACTGCGATATCTTTAGCTCCATCTTCACATACCCACCCAACTAGGCGACCTTACTCTTCGTCATAATAAATCCGGGGGAGATGCAGTTCACACGAGCGAAATCGGACCACTCCACGGGCAAGCTCTTTGTCAAATGCACTACAGCGGCCTTGGAGGCATTGTATGCAACTGGGGTCTGAGGGATAGTCACCAGAATGGAGCTCACTGACGCAGTGATGATAAGGTTTCCTTTACCCTGCCTCTTGAAGATCTTTCCGGCTGCCTGGGCTGTCCACATCGCACCAACGTAGTTTGCACTACTATCTCTCCGCCAGGTCTCCTCGGAGTACTCCAGGTTTGGTGAGTTGGTGCAGACACCGGCGTTGGCAACAACAACATCCAATCGGCCGTGACCAAACTCCTCGCGTGATCTGATTGATCGTCGCAGCAATAGTGTCCCGAGAGGTGACGTCGGATTGATATGCTTGCACTCTTACCCCGTTCTCTGCAGCAAGATTTGCCGTCGTTTCGGGTGCGTCCGAGTCGGAGTAGATCAAGGCAACGTCGGCACTGGCTTCAGCCAGGCCTCCAAACCGATGCCCCGAGCGCCCCCCGTCAAGGCAACAATTTTGCCTTTGAGGGAAGATTGCGAAAGCACATTGTCGTGCATGTTTGGCGATTGATAGAGACGCATGATGTATGTATTTTGTGCTGTTTCGGGGTGTTGCGAACGGAGATTCAATGGGAGCAAAATTCACCTGATCGTAGTCCTTGATTGGATGGTAGACTCGTGAAGGTCAGTGGGCGAATGGAAACTCTGCTAAATAATGTCGTGAGACCCATAATGGATTCTCGGTTGTTGAGAACCAAGTTTCACAGCGTGAAGACTCTGAAGAGTCCAAAAGAATGAGAGTAGAATGGAACTATTAAAGCGGCAGTATAGCCGAACTGAGGGATTGCCTTATATAGCAAATCTCGCGACCCCGCAAAAAGACGGAGAACTTCTAGCTATGTCTTGATACTACCACGCATGATACTATCCTTGCTCACATTCCTGCAAGCATCATCGCGTGCTTCAATCACCTATTCCAGTAATACAGCCGGTCCCTCATTTCCTCTCGGATGACACGTCAACAGTCCGCACAGTGTAGGCGCACTCGTGCTTCTTCTCAGGGCATCCCCCACAATCCCAGAAGAGAGCCTCAGAGATCCCGAAAGGGCTAGTATGTTGGACTCCGACTCGCAGTTATTCGCCACCTGACGAAATAATCCTGAGTGCCGTAAACGGAAGATCAAGTGCGATGAACAGCAGCCCGAGTGTGGTCAATGCCGTCGAGGTGGCCGTACATGTCATATCATCGATAGCCTGTTCAAGCCACATTCTTATTCTTTCATAACTTCACCGCAGCAGCACAGTCATTCCTCCCCCGGTAATGGAACAGAGTCGTCCCAAACTCCGCATGTAACTGCCACCGGGTCAAGGACTTCCAAAAAGGCAAGACATTTGCTATCTTAACTACCGGATAACGAGGCTAGTTCGATGAATTAGACTAATGAGCGAATCGATACCCCGAGGTCCCCAGGAAAGGGGAGAGTCGTCTGCAACGCCATGTGATGGCCTAGATACACTTTCTTCTGTAATTGAGAGGAGCGCAGCAGCTGTGAGCGACTACCTTCGAGACAAGGAGAGTGTTCCTCCGGTTCTCTCACCTCCACTGTTAAGCGACCCATCAGTAGAAAATCATAATCTTCCAGAAACCAGAACTCCTATTGAGCCCCCTAGTCTTCCGGGTGACCTTCCTCAAGAGACTCACCAGGATCAATGCGAGGTTGCATTCTTTCTGCGTTACTACTGTGAATTTCCAGGCCAGTGGATGGACTTGTGGAGCAGCCAACCGTCATACTTTGCCCAACATGTCGTATCGTTGTCACGCATCAGTTCTGTTGTGAGATACGCTGCGTGTGCCCTTGCTGCTAAACAGTTGGGTCAGCTGAAAGATTATAAATCCAGGATTCAGCATACATTGGCTAGAAATGTAATGCTGGATGTATTTGCGGACTCCAAATTAGATTTCCTATGGTACGGCGCCAAGTACTATGAAAAGCTATTCGATTACTTTCTCAACAGATATCAAATAAGGATCACTCTTCCAGCCAGTTTTCTCCCGACTGCATCCGTCAGCCTGGGCTAACCCCAGAAGGCAGCGATGATAATTTCCTAGGTGAATATGATAGCACAACAGCGTTGCAAATTTTAACGGCTTGCATACTTTGCCAATATGAGGACCCCAGCCTCACGGTGACAGCAAGAGCATGGTCGGGCCATTTAGATGGCATCTTCAAGCTGCTTCGATCATATCTAAACCATAATGGTTCTTCCCACCTGCTTCTCCAAATCCCAGACCCTTTGAAAGGGATAGATGCGATGCTCTGGTACTTTGCCTTCAATGACATGCTCGATGCTTGTGAGTATTGTGTACATAATTTATCATGAGAGCACAAATCCAGCTAACCTATCCCTGTTCCTCCCCAGATATGTCCCGAAAATGAACTAGACTCGACCCAGACGATCTGTCAATGTGGCAGAAAGTGGGTCTTCCACTGGATAGCAATGGACAATTAGCGATAGTGAACGCCCAGGGCACGTATATAGAGGGCGTCATGCTCAAAGCTCTGACTCGACTGCTATGTCTACTTCTCAACTCTCAGTTGAATGATATCATCCAATGGAATCATATCGATAGAGAATTAGACCAGTGGCATGATATTCTCCCCGCCTCCTTCCTATCTCCTATCACTTGGCCCCCCAGCAAATGCGAAGATGAGACACGAGATTCCACTTTTCCAAGCCTATTCAGTTTCGAAGTATGGTATTCCAAAGATATCTGCGCCATTTCCATGGCATTCTATTATATGGCCCGCATTCTCATGCTGATAAGCCAACCAGTAGGGCTTTTCCTTCGACAATCCCATAATCAATCAGATATTTTGGTCAGCTACCAAAAGTCTACAGCAGGACCTTCGCCAACACGCCTCCAAGATCATCCCTATTGCGTTTGGGGATCCTAAAAATAGAGTGAGGAAGTACATACTGCAGCCTCTCTACGTCACGGGGCGATGCCTGGTGGACGCTAAGGAGAGAAAGCATCTACTGCATGTGATTGCCGGTATAGATGATGACTTGGGTGTCTTTACTGGGTATCGCCAAAAGGATCTCTCTGAGGAATGGGGTATCCCTTACGATGCAGTGGAGAGCCGTGTGTGCTTATGAAATCATATAGATAGCACTGTAATCAGGTGGTTATTTGGAAAGTGGTTTGGAAGGACTCCGGTGGCTCTGCAAGCTTCTGCAGAATGGCGGGTTATAGAGAAGCTTCCCTCGCAACAATGAGAAATACGCATATAGACATGGTGATTGTATGTTACGTTATGGTTGATGAGACCAACTCCAGTTGAGTTTATGAATGACATCTATTTGTCCTCGAACTAATCTCTAGTTATCGTCGTACAATATATATGAACGGACATTAATATAGGCTTGAAAAGAACACGTGTAACCCACTAAGAGTAGTAAAAGGAAAACGTAAATACATATAATATCCTTACAGATACATTCGATCAAGTCCGTGCACGCGCTCTCAAGGCCCATCTAGAGCTCATCGCCAGTGGGAAAACGGTCTCGGACTAGATAAGTATCTTCTTCATAGGGCCAGCTGGTAATTCCGCAACAGCCTTAGTAAACCTATTCTTCAGATCCTCGGCTGTGCCAGGGTGGATCTTTCTGCTTGAGCCACCCAGCATGGCCATAAGTCTATCTCCTTAAAGATAAGTTACAATATCAGTGTGCAAGGGCATCCTGATATCCAGTTTCCATTGTGCCTCAACTCCGCCGATAGGGCATGGAATTCCAGCACAGCATTCTGGTGGGTGGACACAGTCCCGAAGTCCGTTCCGGGCGGCCGTCTCGTTGCATGTGACACAATATCCCTCTGATCCATATCAGCGTATGGAAGGGTCTAGGTATACTGTGATTGCACATGGTGAAGGAGATCCTGTACACTTCAACCAGACTAGAGAGAGACCCGGAAGGGAAAGAAGGTGATACAAGAACCGGAGACGACGTCGACGACTTGGAGAGGCGTGTCTCGACCACTGACTACTTGTCTGTAGACAATGTCTTTTGACTGGCTTGTTTGGAGCAAAGCCAGTGACCAGGCTGCTTTGAGGAGTGATGCCATCGTGGTGCCTTGTGGCATGGTGGGTAAGGGCATGTCTGTAATCATCTTTACCATGACCTCTGGGCCTTGAGTATCTGGTGGAGTCTGAGAGGGTCCGTTGATTTGGGCCATCTGTGCATGGTCAAGGTACTTGCGCCAGAAGTCCATCACTTCTGGAGAGCGCTGGGCAAAGCGGTACTACAGATAGATTGGGAAAGGGAGTCGCGTTGAATTGAGCTCATGGCCCTTGTATGCATCTGCCAGATCGGAAGAAAGGAACCGTAATGATGCACCATCGTATTGAGCACGACTCATACGGATTATGAGGATGTGCTCTGGGCGGGATCGTGACATGAGGAAGGGTTTGAAGTGAGGAGCTCCCAGTAGAATAGGCGAAGGAGTATCCTGGGCACACGCCTCATCTGCCGACTGGAAGAGGTCCTCGTCACTAGAGAGTCTGACCAAAGAGAAGTTCAAGTCACGGAGAACCACCTGAATGACACTGTCCTAGTAAGGAACGAACACTGTGCGAAGAATGGCATGCCTGTGAACGAGAGTCCGGCAACTAGCCTCAACTCGCTCTGGATCAACGAAACGTCGTAGATAAAGTTGGGTATAAGTGACATCATCCTCCCTCATCAAACGTTCTTGGAACTCGGTTGTAGGGATGGCATCTATTACATCTCCCTGGTAGAACTGCCCTTTAGGAAGTTGAGCAATGAAGTAGTTGAGATCGGCGACGCCCAACAGGTTTCCAGGGTGATACTCGTTATGATGCGACTGTTAGATTTCACGTCGCTAACGAGCTTTGCGAGATCTGAAAAGAACTGGATAGTAAAAGATATCGGGCACTGAAACAAGTAGTCCTTGTCGCCGGGCAAGGGCTTCCAGTTTGATTGCGGCAAAAGAATCTTCCCCCAGTTGGAAGAAGTCATCGTCGGCCCCGATGCGGTCGATTGGACGTTGGAAGATCTGTGCCCACAGGTATTGAACGGTACTGGAGGCAGTCGACTGAGGACATTACAGATGGTTGTCTCGGCGGGTGAATAGGCGTTCACAAGATTGATTTTGGAAGTCCAGATGGCAATGCTCTCCTGGGTCACCGGTTCTCCCCGTGTTTCTGCATGTTGAAATGGCGGGGTTATTCATTTGATACACTTGTTCAGTATATATTCAAGAGCGATCTTTCCTAGGCATACTCAGGTGGGTGAGCCGCATTGGTGCCGGGCTTAGGAAAAGCACTTCCAATTATAATTCACGATTGAACGAAAGACAAGACTACAGGATCTACTTGCGCAAGGTGTTTACATAGTCCTTCAGCTTGAGACATGCAAACCTCCTTGTTTCTAATTATTTTATTTTTTTCACCTCTCATTCAGATTGATGTTAATCCTTGTTCCTGATCTGCATAGTACCTGCATTAAGACCCTTCCTATATTAAATGTAGCATTTGCCACAATCATTCACTGGAGGATCAAATTACGGAATTAAAAGAAGTTAGGAGGTTAAGAGAGCCATCTTTGTAGAGAAGGGCTACAAGGCAATTTTCAAATTAATTTTCTCTTATTATGTAGATCGGAGTGAACTTATACTATCTCCAAAATCTAATCTAGCCAGGTACTGACAGGCAGAATAAATTGAGCCGCCAAAGTCACCGCCCTCAACCATATCAGCCTGCCTACTTCCTACCTTAATGTATCTTTATGAGAGTATCTCCTAGAGAGCCAGAGAATGAAAAAACGAGTTTGATTGCTGCCTATGAACATCAGAGCCCTGGTAGCGGTTTTCAGTACTAAATTGATCCCCCGCGGGTACACCCGCACCAGCAACAACCCCACGGAGCTGAAACGCATCCGCTCAGCCGCCAAGTCCACAGAAGTACAACGCAAAGTATTTTAGATGGCGTACGGAGATCTCTGAGTTACGCAATCAGCTACATGAATCATGATGTTGATTAATTTAAGAGGAAGTGGACTGAGTAGCTGGATTCTATTGGCGTTCTAGATCTGGTGATATGTAAGTAAACAATGATTACTTGGTTACGTGGCCAGTTCAAAAACAACCCTTCCAAGGCCTTTACCACATCTGCGAGCTCTAATTATTGGTCTCTTTGTAATAAATAATATTGAAGCCTCATCATTTGGGATCATCCTTTGGCCAGGTCTGCATACTTTTGCTATCATTCAGTGAAGAGATATGAGTACCTCTATATCGCAAGCTCATATAAGATGAACTATGCTGGCGGATATATATATATAGTAGTATCCGGAGCGAGGTAATTCTCTTTTAAAAAAAATCCTAACAAAAACCCAGAAATATCAGTATCAAAATTCAAAATACTACTTAAATATCTAGTTTTGATTTCATATATATAATAAGAGCTGAATAAAGACTTGGCCCCACAAATTTGTGGGAGCAACAACACTGAACATAAAGATAGAAATGAAAGTTAATTTTATGAATACAAAATAGGAACCCGATTATCAACTATTGGGGCGGTAGCTCAGTGGATAGAGTGGAAGATTGCAATTAACCTGACTGGTTGCTACAATTGCAGACTATCTTTAGGTCGCCGGTTCAATCCCGGCCCGTCCCTCGATTCTTTTTCCTTTTTGTTTTCTAACTTCACCAGTCTTTTTTCTTTTTTCTTTTTTTTTTTTTTTCTCTCATGTTTATTTATTCTTCACCCTTCTACTTGGCTAATTTCTCGTGACCAATTTTGGCTCGAACCAAATGGAGAAACCTTGTACAAATAGAATGAACGTGAGGGCCTATGGAAATGATGCTGAAAATGACCGCTACTGTATTCTTAACCTATAATTCTGATCAGCGAGCTATTGCTTCTGTGCTCCTCTCCTTTATATGCTTCACAAGACTATACTGTACCTGTCAAGTATTATTTAGTCAGTGTCCTGGGGACCCAACTTCAGTAAGTATTCACATTGTTTTAACTCACAACTAAAGTGACCAAATCTAACTTCCTCTGCAGTTAGATTTAGCTCTCCCCAATTGTAACTAGCCTCCCCCGGCACTGTACAGATGCCACTGCTCTACACTCGTCCTTTAACTCCTCGCGCCCTCCCATCCTCATCCTTATTCAATCCCTATTTCAGATGGATCGCGAATCACTTCAGAACAGTCCCATCTCCTTTGTGTTCATTCATACTTAAACTTCTAGATAGCACTTACTGTCCTTCTCCCTGCAAATCCTAATAAACACCAGTATTAGACTGACTGATCCTATTTTATATAGGGAGACTCAAGGCTGGTTCAAAGTATTTCCAGAGCCATAGATGGATATGCTGGAGTATCTCAATGTTCCAAGAATGGTTCTCATAACTTTCGGGGTATTTGAAGGAACGAAGTTCATCTAGCAGGACCTGAAGCTCCGGAACGAATTCTAGCAGCTGGAACAGCAACGATCGGTACATCCCCGGTGTCGTCTTCTCCAGTTCCTCGCCTCTTGCGTTGAAGAAAAATGAGATGTTTACGTCTCTCCCATCTTTTGATGTAAGAGTCTGTTGGAAAACGAATTTCATTATCGTTGACTTGCCACTTCCCGCTTTACCCTTGATCCAAAAGAAAACCATGGTGTTTGGAAAGCTGTTCGGTATCAAGCCAGTCAATATATCCCTTTTTACTCAGCAGCCACTTGCAAGTTTTTTGCATGAGCAGTCTTGATTGTCGCTTGCCGGCTCTCAAGCTGATCAAACCGTAAAGCCTCCATGATCCGCTTGCGTTGCTCTGCGTTTTTGTCTCCCGAGGCAACCACAACATCGGACCTGGATAGACTAACACTGGTGCTGATGATAGAAAGGAGTTCCTTTGCATACGAAGCCGCTGTCGCAGCGGCGTAGCCCTGCCACTCCTTGTTCTTTTGCGAGTCAGAATAGTCAGAGATTCCACGGGTAACCAGACAAGGGGAATTTATCCATTAGCCCAGCCGCTTCCATCTCGAAACATAGAATCTTTAGTTCCGCTGCTAATCTATCTCTCGTCTTTACATGCTTTATTGCTTGGTTTCCGGAGGCTATCGAGCCGTAGTGAACTATCCGCTGATTGTCAACACGAACTGACCGGGTCACGAGTCTCTGCCGGTCGCAGTTTTCGCAGGTTTATTTGGATTCATCATGGTCGTAGTCTGGTTCAAAAAGAAATTCCTTGTGCGGGCCGGGGTATTGGTAGTACTGTATCATTTGTGGGTGTTTCGCTGACATCTCCGACATGATGGTCGATATTTGGTTGCCTCTGCAATAGTATTCCGCTCGTAAACAGCTCACCGCCGTTAGGAGGGCCGTTGATGACTTGTTCAATGTCCCCGTTCGCTCGAATCGCCCCTCCTGGATGGTTTTGTCGTAGTCGTATTGTACAACGCCTTCGAATCCGCGGTGTTGGAACGCCAACCACCATGTCACCTAGCCAGATATCCTCTGACTTGGAAGGTACTCCTCCACCAATGCCGACCATGAGCAGGTGGCGTATTGACCCAAAGCTGGAGTACATATTGCTGGCCACTGTAGCTGCAGAGGTAGTGCCCTATACGCCGGATGGGAGACAAGCGATAACCACATTGTGGTTCCCGATCATTCCAAGGATATACGACTAGCTGTCACGCGGGGTGGGTAGTTAAAGTAGGGTGGATATCGTCCAGCATCGCCTTTGCCGCTGCGGCTTCCAGTGGTAGTGCACAGACCCAACCGATACTGTAGTCGTCGTGAAAGTACTGAACCTGGTTTAATTTTCTCCTCTTGGAGGCACCTGGAGTGTGGTCGTCTGGATTCTCCATGTTAGAAAAGGTATATTTGGAGTGTCTTCATTCATGGAAGAAAATTGGAAGAAAGGGGGAAGTGTGATAGAAGAAGATTGCAGTGGCTTTCGATGCTCAGCCTCAACCCATTGATATGCTGGCAAGGCTGACCGGAAAGGCGGGGGCTGTTTAATGGTATATTTGCTTTCCTCTATGCCATATTATATCTAAAGACCCTGAAAATCTTTACAGTAACCTTGTGCGCTCTTAGAAAATGAACTAGCACTCTGACACGAAAATGGCAACTTTTTTACGTACCCAAAATCACCCAGTGATATGCTATGTGTGCACTGTAGATAGCATAAACCCCGTGCAGACCTTAGGGTAACCCACCAACATCCTAAATAGAGACATGCCGCAACCATAAGAGAAATCCCTATGTAGTAACTATTCTAGGGAATCATCCATGTCGCGCCTGTCATCTACCAAAGCATCCGCGTGCTCTTGTGCCCAGCCAGATCGCGTGTTCTGGGATTGAATTGTAGGCGAAGAACGACACACTATGGGAGCCGAGCCCAATAAAAAAAGAGGCAAACGTATATTAGGAAAGTATCTAAGAAAAAAAAAAGCCACGAGGGTTCCAATAAAGGCGAACTTTCAAAGCACTGTAGTTCCTGATTTATAGATTGATGGATTACAACTATTAGTTACCTTGAGTGGCCTAGAGGACGATCTTACATCAAAAATATCATTTTTAGGATATGCTTCCTCAATTGATATTAGATAGTGAAACAGCACACTCATCCCTGAGTTTCAAAGCAAGCAGTGTATTTCTTCATGTTTGTACTCACTGACAAGCTGTCAGGATGTACATCTTGAAGACTTCCGGCATCTCTCGAGACGCGACATAAGTAACCGTAAATCCCTTAGATTCCAGCAACTGCCTCGCCGCTTCAAGACTCCCCTCCAAATCACTCACCTCCATCACAATATTCCGTACTTTTTTCCAGTCCGCATCATCAAGACCACCTAACACTTCCAACTCAGTACCCTCGACGTCAATCTTGAGAAGGTCAATTGCCGCGACATCGCTATGGTCGCGATTGAGAAAATACGACAACCGATTAACCGGAACCGTGATCTCAGCAGCACCCTCGAACACATCGTCTGACAATATGTCGCTGCAATTTTCCTGAAAGAGCTGAATCTGATGCCTCTTCTCTTCCATATTCAATGTAGAGTTGCCAGGTACATTCGGAAAGTACGTGAATGCCGCAGTGCAGGCCTGAGTGCCCAGGGCGTAAGGGTATGCTACAACATCCGAGACATTATGCAAAGCCAGATTCTTCTTCAACGTCTCAAAGGATTCTGGTGCCGGTTCGAAGGCAAGGATCCGGGCAAGAGGATGCTTTTCCTTCATGTATAGAGAGAAAAGCCCGATGTTGGCACCTGCATCAACGATGAATGGCGCGTCCGGGAGCACGGGTCCGTCATAGCCATGATGCTCGAAGATCTCCTGGTAAATGAATTGTGCTTCGTGCTCTCCGCTGGTATAGCAGGAGAAGTTGTCTGCTAGTTTCACGAGGCGGGGAGCCATGTTTACCACAGCTGGACGAGGTAGGTCCTGACAGCGGCGTGATGGTGCTTTGAGGTTGTTTTGGGGAGGGGATAGGCGTACTATCCGGAGTTGATTTTCACAATATCTTGGACTGAGGAGGGGCATTCCCTCACAGGATGGTGTTCGGTGTCACAAAACCTTCACGGCATTTAAATACTCCGGATTAAACCGAAGTGAATGTGTTTTGTTCATTCATCATGCCACGGTAAATGGATTAGTTAAGAGGCTTTCCGGGTGGTTCGCTCCTAATGGCGAGTCATTTTTATGGAATGAATATTTCTTAGCTATTAATGTATCATCGGAGTATAGGTATTCACTCTAAAATCATGAGTTTGGTTACACTGACGTTCTAGGTTATGGAGATGAAACTGCCGACATATACCCTTAGTTCATGTTAATTATCACTTAAACCATAAGGGCCTGTTAATTCCGCCGAACTTTTGCCTCAACTTCAAAAGTTTAGGGAATGGCTCTATTCAAGAGCTAAACTATGTTCTTCTAGGATGAAGGGATGTATATATCTATCATTTCAAGATCTTGCCAAAGATGCTAAGCTTTCGATCCTTGGAGCCACTATTATATCGTCTCATCACGATGCCGCGCGAACCCCGATGATGTCACCGTCCAATATCGACTATACTATTTAGTATCATATTTTGGCTATCTGATCCTTTGTAGCCCTCAAATATCATGAATTAAAAAGACAAAGTCTCAACTGACAAATATTTGATATAACTATTCAATTTTTTCTACCTCAACAATTGCAGTCGTCCAACATGCCCGCCCAAGACAACTACACCGACCCCGAACTGCGGGAACAAGTCAAAGCAGAGGTCAAGCAAAGCGACAAAGGTGGAAAGCCAGGACAATGGTCTGCTAGGAGGGTACGCCATGAGAATCGACTCCCTTTAATTTCGCTCTCTATTTGGTCCGAAAAGAAGGCGAGAGTTTGGTATTTACGTAATCTACGGGACAGGCCCAGCTTATGGCGTCTAAATACAAGAAGCGGGGCGGAGATTATGCCACCTCCAAAGAGGAGGGACAAGATGAATCTCAGAAGAGTCTCGACCAATGGGGCAAAGAAGAGTGGCAAACGAAAGAAGGGTCGGGCACAGCCAAACAGGATGATGGGACGAGAAAACGATATCTGCCGAAGGCGGCGTGGGAGAAGATGAGTGATCGGGAGAAAGAAGAGACGGAAAAAGAGGAAACAGAAGGGATCCAAGAAAGGCAAGCAGTTTGTGTCAAACACCGGTAAGGCGAAGAAGGGGAGAAAGGAGGCAGCGGAAGAAAGGAAGAAAGAGGATCAGCAGGAAGAAGGTCAAGGATCGGAATCAGAGGAGTCAGAACTTGACAGGTCCGACGAATCTGAAGAAGTTGGCGGAATTGATGAGGGAGAAGAAGATGGCCGACAAGACGACGAGTCTCAGAACTCTGGGGACTAGAGCGAGCAAAATGCGCAGGCTGGGAAGAAGCGCAGTGCAGCCCAAGAGGACGGCGCAAATAAGAAGAAACCCAGAACACATCAGGACAGTAAAGTAGGTCAGGATGAGGAAAGTGAGCCTTGATTTCATGGAAACTCTGGAACCTCCTTGGTAGTCCCTACACGGGGTATGATGTGGCCTCCATGATAAGAGCTATAAAATGTGTGTAGTATGCGAAAAGCTAGACAACTAAATACAATGCTGTGTACCATATCAAGAATATCACCTGTTGAATTGATAACCACGACTGCAAAGCCCCCGATAGGCTCGGTGATAACCCTAGACCAGTATCTGGGAAAGACTTAGGCTATGGTGTTTGTCTGCAAAGACTGCAAGTTAAGCCACGTTCAGCAAGGAAGAAAAGACACATGTAGAATTTTATCACTAACAATCGAATTAAATAGGAAGGATATACCGCACGGGTCATCGCAGCCATGTCCTTTCGACCACTCCATCTGGGCTCGCGCTAAGTGGTCGATCCTCTACGTCCTGCTCGATCGCGGTACGCACGGTGATTCCACGCAGATCAACATCCGAACTGCATCTCCCAGTACCTTCTGCTGTCACCACTACATTTTTATTCGCACCCAGACCGTGGGGATAGCTAATCTTATGGAATCCATCGGGATCTTGGCTAGCGCTGGTGACGTAGTGTGGCATGCGTGTAGAATAGGTCGACTGACCGTTGGCCTTTCCTAGAAATCTTTGGATCAGAGGCTTTAAGAGGGGAAGACAGCCACATATAATGGCGACGTTGAGTTCGAGGGTGGTCCAGATGGACTCTTTGGCGCTGGACACTGGATATCAAATACCGTTAGCTGACGGAAACTATAACGGGAGATCGAAAGCCTACAGGCGAGGTCGTTGGTGTCAAAGTGGTTGAATTCGATCACTCGCAGCAAGCTAAAGATGCAGACCCTGAGATAGTCAGCTCGTACTCCGGTTCATGAATCCTGCTTTGCTTTGAGAAACACATACAATGTACCCAGAGAGGAAACAAATGTAAAAGCAATTTTCTCTCGAAATGTAATTCCCAAGCGCCAAACCACCGGCATTGGCAGGAACAAAATGACCACGTCTTCCACTAGAGATAAGCATGCCGTCGTTTGGAATAGTTTGGTCTGACCTGGCATACAGTGCCCGTCTAGTGAGGTGTCATAGTAATAGTGAACTGGGTGACATTGAAATATATTCCCCATGAGCTCGGTAAAGGCCCACATGATGGTAAAGATGATAAGACAAGTCACTATCACACGGATCCTCTTCACGGTACTGAAAAGCCGTTTCAAGAAGAGTAAAATAGAAATCCTCACAAATGCCATGGATGGCGGCCAGAACTTCTGGATCATCCACGACCCCTAGGGGGATATGATTAACAAAGCCCAGTAACTAGATAAGACGTGACACGACCTACAAACTGTAGGCGAATCCGTTCATCCTGCGGTATTTCGTTTCCTGGAACTCCTAAACCATTGAGGGCGGCTGTTGACACGTCGTGAGAAAGAGAAATCCGAGAATATTTTATACTCACTATAGACAACAAAGGCCGTGGCCCCGTATGAGAGGACCAGACCGATGCCCATCAACCAATCCTCCAACTGGCATCCGACCGTGTACTTGCGACATGCCACCAGTCGTAGGATATAGATGAGCGTCGCGGTCGCTGCCCCGATCGTAGGGACGATTGTGACGACATCTCCCCAGTATTCGTTCCGGATGGCCATAGAGCATCACAGCTGAAGGAAATATTGCTTCGAAGGAAACATCTGCGAAAAGAAAGACAAGAATCTTCCTAATTCTGCCCCCACTCCGAGTCAAGTAACCCACCATGCAGGATAAGCACTGAGAATAAGCCAATGCAACCCCAGTCAAGGTTCCAATTCCCGAGGGGGAACGTGCCGCGCCGATTCATCCTTTGAAGCCTACTCTTCCCTTTCCGTGAAACCTCCCCTCAGCCTTATCTGGGTTGTCCTCACTGTCGAAATCGGGTTCCAAGTGCTGTATCGTCTTGTTGGCTGTTCATCTTGACGTCGCCGGAGGGGACAGCTGCACATTAGACGGCTTCAATGCGACACTCAACCGTCGGGCGTATTCTAGAAAACCGTTCTCATCGCTATGGTTTTCTCATTAGAATGGTATGACCGTGGCTTCGGATGAAGTAGCATACAAGTAATCCGAAGAATTTGCAGCGACCCTTTCCTGGGCGCCAATACCGTCAATGGCCTAAATATGCGCATCCGATCCCAGCAACCAATGCCTACTCAACAACTCAGATCCGGCCAACCCGCTGACCCTCAACGCCTCCCGTAATCAGGGAAATATCCCTTCCTTCTCGCTGGAGGTACGGCGACCAAGTGATGCGATGGAGGCGTCCAAGTTTACCAACTACTTTAGGACCCCGTCTTTCGATCAAGAACAGCGGCCATGACTTTCTGAACCGGGGGTAGTGGCCGAGGTACTCTCTCTATGGACTCGACACCTAGCATCTGTGTATTATAGCTCTATATTTATTCCTACCGGTTGTGACCTCAACACTGCCTCCAGATGCAACAGCACCATTGCCGTTCAAGCAGGAGTGAGCTTTGATGAGGTCTTTAAATTTGCCAATGCTCACAACGTCACTTTCATCTGTGGCTATTTGCCCACATTAGGTGTTTACGGGGGCTGCTCGCCTCGTCCCAAAGACTATATTTGAGACGGCCAAAAGTTGTGCGGGCCTCATGGACTTTTCCTCAGTGCTCCTATCTAAGGGCAGAAGCATATAATTCCTGTAGTTGGGTCCCTGCTATACCATGACATCTAGCCCACCTCTGTGAGCACAGCCAGGACAGGGGGTCATCGGGTCTGTCGGAGCTTCTGGGCATGGAGCAGCTCCCTCCAAACACGCAAGCAAAAGATCTCTGAAATGCACGGCATGAATGCACTCCTTGAGGATATTACTTCTGGCAGCGGTGCTTCCAGAGCTGAGGCCAACCCTTTCACCAAGGATTGGCAGGCCCCGTTTAGAGGTAGTCCTATACCCAGCACAATAGTCACAGCCGACGGTCACAACAACGGTTATAATAGTGTCCATAGCAACAACGATTATAGTAACAACGGTCACAACCCTGCTAGGGTAGGGAAGATTATCACAGATTACTGAAGATAAAGCAGAAGTATGGCCCCAAATGTCTGCTGGGCTAAGAGTGTTGGCTGGAAGGAATGCTTTGCGGCGTTCAACTAGTAGTGCCACTACATGAATGCTATGCACTGTTCTACTTTAACCATAAATTGTCTGAGATAGGCCAAAAATTATTTCCTTTCTTCTTCTTTTTCCTCTCTGATATATCGCTTTTCTCTTTCCGGCCGTTAGGAATACTACGTTGGTGTAGATTAGCAAATTTATCTTCCACAAACTCCGAACGCCAACATGGCCCGAATCAGGCCATTCTGTAGACATTGATACTAGATGATTAGTGCTTATGCGTGGATCCACTGATCTAATTTCAGAACCCCCGCTCCGTGCTTACAGTTCTAAGCCAGAAGACTGCAGGGCTAGTTTCCCTATCCTCGCAGGGCAATTCATTCAGCACCGCTTCTTGACTCACAGATGCAACCTTGTCAGCAACTGAATCCCCACCTGACAGACCCTGACTGGTTCCTCTTCATTTCTGCTGATTGGCCCTTAATCGGCGGGGCTGGAGTTCCGCGTGTTTCCAGGATGAATGTCGGGCCCACATGGTCTGGGGGCCAACGCTTTCAGAATATGGTCTGCAGCACATTCTTAGCGTGGTTGATCCTTGCTCCAGTCCGTTTATAAAAGGTACACATACATAGTTCCCAAGGGACCAGGGAGCCGCTTCGGGCCGCAGGAATCACTTTAAATGGCTGGTATGAATTACTTGTTCCTGGTGAGTATTTTATGCTTGCATCTCTATCTGTACCATGATATAGACCGCTACGCTGGTATCAGAATGACAACACACCTCAGTAAGAGAGACCACTTAAGTAGGTTGAAAGATTAGCCATATCTAGGTTTTATATTCCAGCTGAAGCCCTAAGTCAATTCCTTATATCAGTAGATCTCTGGCCATTGTAATACCTACATACATGCCCCGAGTCCTGTTTTTCAAGGAGTAGGACATAATCTCCCCAAAATCCCTTAGGAATGAAATTAGGAATACCACTGAACCACTTAATGGAGGATACATAAAGACTGGTAACACCTGAGAGGAGTTCTGGACAGAAAGACACGCTTTCAAGGGTAAAAAGTTCAAGAAGCCTTGCTTTACTTGGAACAGAATCAGAAACTCGAGGGTTGGTGTATGTCTCGACATTAAAACAATTCCAGGCAATGCTGAACATAAAATCAGCATTGATAAAGCATCTGTACTGACGCGACGATGATTTGATAAACACTGGTGGAAACAAGGTTACTCGAGACGAAGAGGTGGGATTAGCAGATGGTTGTTATTGGGAACTAAACCGAGGTCATGGGAGATTGAATCTTTAAGAACAGAACGACACAAAGCCAAATCTGATTCCGCTTACCTCAGTTATTTCTTATAAAGATTGTTCTGGTTAAACCAGAACCAAACAAGGAACTAGTTACCAGTAAATAGAAATAGAAATCGGAATGGGGAAACCGAGGCAGGAAATAAATACTATCAACCAGAAACAAGAAAACCCTAACTAGAAATAGAAATGGGCAATTAAAAAACTAAAGAAAACGAAAGCAAACAAGACCCAGACATCCTAGGTGTCGTCGACCTGCCCGCTGTTACCCTCGCGGTTGGTAACCTCCTTGTTCATATTCTTTCCGACTGATTCTTTTCTGATTACGTCCCTAGTAACTTTATTTTCGGCGAGCTATGGTCCGGTTTTCGAAGTTGTCATTGCCAACAAATAGATCGGAGACCCTGGTCTAGGGACAGGTCCTTGGTAGTTTGGAATATCCCCAGCGCAGTAATGGTATTTTGACTCCGTCGTTGGAGCTGTTGGAGGGGAGGTGGAGGGTCCTTCGTCGTCCTCGTCGTAGAACCACTCAATCAGTGCACCTTTCTGTTGGATTCGGGCCTCCTGGGAACACTTGCTGCCAAAGAATGGATGAGTATATGGGCCAAGCGAGGTATTGGCAGAGCCACTTTACATCTGAGGCTTTACATGTCAGATCACAATTGGCTGTTTACCTGTCCCATGTCTGCGGCTTAGCATATAGTATATTGTTCCCACCACTCACTCGATTATGAACTTTGGATTTCACTCTACGAAAGAGAATTTACCATAGACTAGCACCCATCTACAACGAATCCTCAACAGATTGAACAAGGAAAAAGGGGGTTATCATATTGAATCTAAGATAAAAATTCGCAGAGATAGCTCAGCTCAAGCTCATGCCTAAAATATATGTGTCAGCATCCTCGTCAACCACAGAGCCGGCTAAAGCTTCACATACCCTGAAGTGCAGCTGTCCATCGTTGTTCTCGATTCTATCGCCCAGGAGCAGACCCTGATCACCACGGTCACCGCCATCGTTGGTGGACATCACGGCGACGAGCTTGGGGCCCCACTCAGTATCTTCGAGACGGATGTTTCTGGCGGTGTTGGTGAAGCCGTTTCCGCCCCAGATGAACCAGCCTGTATATATCATATAGTAGTTAGACATATGTGCTTTTCGAGGTATGAAGGTGGTGGAGGATAGGGGAGGGTGGGAACAACGTACCATCAGTGTTGCCGATGTGGTCGTCTAGACGGATTGTCCGCTCGTGCCAGTCGCCGTTACGATCGCGGACCTCACATCTGAACAGGGTTTCGCCGTTGTCGACACGGACGCGCCAGTTGCGGGCAGAGTGGTGGAAAGACATGGTGACGGGTGATTTGGTGAGGTCTGGAGAGAGAGAGAGAGAGAGAGAGAGATAAATGAGCTGATTGTTTGCAGCTGGGAAGACGTGACGTTCAGACAGTATTTATATCCCACTATCCTATTCCCCCCGTGCCCAGCTGGCAGCCTACCGCATTGCTGCCCTAAGGCTCCATTCCCCAATTAAGTAGCGACTAATGATGCAGGGTGACATAGAAGGTGGACCGACATTGAGTCCATTGGAGGGCGAGGCGGTGGCCATGTGGGGTTGGAGGGGCTTAGCGAGGGGCATTTCTCCCCTTTATTTATAGCCAGAGCCTACCAGCTCGTTCAATTGATTTGTCGGTGAAACATAGAGCATCGTTAGGCTAATTTATGAGAGAATGAAGATTAGTCCAGCTGTCGCGTGATAATTGGGGCAGAAGTAAACAAAAGGTGAGAACGTTTGAGGATCGACGCCGGGATCCTTGGGTCTTCGATTAAATGTGGGTCGGATCGTGTACCACAATGGCTTTTCTTACCTTTCTTACCTGTGCGATCGAAAAGGCAACGTTTCGGTAGAATTCGTCATCGCTGAGGCATATTGCTCTCCTCCAGCTGCACCTTTGTCCGGTTGCCCAGACATGTAACATGCAGTGTGAACGACAAGCATGCATACATACAGGAATGGCAATTCCCGTGTCGCCGGGACCGATTTACCCCGCTATATCCAGTTGTTCACCTTGCACAAAGAGGGCTATATATGGAACTTGTGGCACTCTGTGAAACCACCCTTGGAGCGCTTTGGAATGATCGGCTTGTTGCCTATTTGGGAGTTGTGATTCCCCTCTATTGCACCGATACGAAAGCCTCATTGGTAACCTAACACAACTCGTCGCACAAGGAATGTTCCCCCTCTTCTAGACGGTTCTGGAGTTCCTAGAGCGACGTGAGTGGGTAAATTCGACGGTGGCTGGCTATCCTACCAAAGAGAGGCTGAGCGTTACTAGTTGGTACTTCTGGTGAGGTGGTGATGTCTATCTTGCGGGTATCCTGCAAGTAACCTATATCAGCATTTCGGTACAATAGCAGAGAGGAGAATAAAAAGTGAGATGGGGTAAACATGTCGCAGTTACATTCATTGGGGACAAAAACGCTAAATCAATAAAGAACTCCTCGTAGTCGAAGTCAAAAAACATATATACCCGAAAACTTGTGGAGCAATTCTTCTTGGATTTAATCGAGGTGAAAACAAACCATTGCTGTGGTAAAATCCAAAAGCTCTTGTATCATCTCAGCCTGATAGGGGCATCATCCACTATTGGCAATAAACAGCTTCATGAAGCGCAAACAGACATCGCTTCGATCAATGACAGGAACGATAGATCAAGGGTAAATCACCAACCACATTAGCATCCGAACTAGCGATAAGCAGATACCCATGCGCCCATTATATAGCAGATCATGTGAACCAGCGTTTAGTCGTCTTCCCAATCCCCTCAGCATGCGATGCGCGCAAAGGTTCCACTGGTCGAGAGTCAGTATACTGGTTGTGGTAATATTGTGATACCAAGGAATACGTACTCCCAATCCCCTTCAGGAATGTATTTCATATCGGCTGTGCATTAAATCAGCAACTTTTAGGCTAAGTCGTTCAGACCATACATTTTGCTTGGAGAGAAGGCTGAACGTTAGTTAGTGTTGATGGTCTTTTCAGCATTGAAAGCGATAAGAGGGCTTCCCGGCCGGATAGCATTCGAAGTTTGACTTTTTGATTGCACCGCACATTTCGGAAGTGTGTTGGGTGGTTTATCTTGTAATCATTGAGGTAACTGGTGTCGATATAGAGGATACTGCAGCCATCAAGGTAAGAGGGTAACGGAATTCACCTCTCAACATGCCGGAGACGATGATTAGGGGACATATGGAATGATGGACTTGATGGCTCGAGTAATCGAAACAATATTAGTGGCCGGTGTCTGGGCGATTGACTGTATAGATTTCTAGCTAGACATATATCGATGAACACAGGGTAATAGGAGGTTGAGGGTAGAAGTATGCTAGCTAGAACGAAGTTGGTGAGGAATAGGTGACCTGAGCGGCTACTAACGCTAGTAGGGACAGCTACAGGATGGAAGTCCTCCAGATAAACATCAGTTGCTGTCACTCGCACGTTTGGGTGATGATTATGTTCTAAAGCACTGAGAGTCTATAAGTAGGAAATGTCTCTCACCTGGGACAAATTCTCTCACTTCGTTTCCATCACTCGAAGGTATTTTATGGTTGGATCCCCTCCATACACTACTGCCCCCGCGACGTTAGTTAAAAAGAAGGTCAGTTATGGAAACGAAGATCTCTATCATTATGATGATCAGCTCTAGGATATATGTGCATAGCCAAGGTAGATCACCAGAACCTTTTAGTCCCTATCTGACGTGATATGTGATTATCACCTGATATCAGATTTTTCATTATATGGGACCGAGATCATGCTGTTCACCCTCTTCCGATGACAGAATGTACTCGCATGACATTCACAAATGTATTGTTGACTTACGTCCCATTGACTCAATTCAGTCACTAAGGGACGAGGCACCGGGGGACTTTAAGTTTTGCGCTATATAAGAGGCCCTGGGAAGGAGAGGTCACACCATAATCCCCACGTCAGTTACACGTAGCTGGCAGACCTCGCCATGGCGCCCCATCACGATTTGTAGAGTCACATTCGAATAAATAACGAGTCGAATCCACGTCGGCCCCTGTTTCACACAAACAAAAGCCAGAGGTAACTGGTGGCAAGTAGGAAATGAAATTAATGTCTTGGAATAAAGATCATAGAGGTTCTACGTTAACCCCACGCCGGTTCAAGGGTTGGGTACAGGTTACCGAGTCGTCGGTACGAACTCGGCGGTCGAGCATGTCCTACCAACGGAGATTATATCAAGGCTCCTGGAAATTGACACGGACGGACCGACGAATGGTAGAGAACCCTGGTTTTCTGATCCCGTCGAGAATCACACACCCCGTGCACTGCAGGTCATGCAAAGTTTAATAGATAAACCACTTGTCCCGTTCCGGGATAGAATGCAGAAAGGTTTGACAGAAGCAAGTCGCCTTCTTTCCTCTGTCCGGGGTAGCTAACGCAAAAGACTCACCGGATTGGAGCCATGGCCCCAAGACTGGGAATCCCCGCATGTTTACCCGGCTGGGAAAATGATGATGCCCAAGGCTTCTTCTGACTTAGAGACTCCTTTCTTTTTCGGAATTGTTGCAACCACGGAAAAGGTCTCACCAAGTCGGTTGCCTCAACCCTAATGATTGGTGGCGATTCACACTAGTGGGATAGCCTAAACATCGGCTAGAGAAAAGCAATCCATGAAATCCTTCCATTTGGAAAGGTGTAAATTGAACCGAGTAAGTTATGACAAGAAGAAGAGGGGGGGGGGAAGACGCTATTGAGAGGCGACTAGGCAGGTTTGGGTTTAGCCTCTACGATACCAAGACTGCTGGCCAGCAAACATTTTGAATTGAAGAATTAGAGACAGGAGTGTAAAGGAATCGAAAAGAAGCCAAACAGAAAATATTCTAAGGTTGAAACGGTCAGTCAGCGTGACCACCTTTAGTAAGAAAGTAATAATACTAGCAATACCTGTTGTTTTCATAATAGAAGCCCCATATCAGGGGTCAAGTGACTCTTCCATGCCCTCGGTCCTCATTGCATTGTCGAACAAAGAGCCAACGGGTGAACGCCACATCCTTGACTAGTGGCTTTCAGCCTTGGTCGGTCTCTTTCCTGAGGGGATTTCACTGCTACAGTTGTAGTGGCGTCTCACTCATCTCATTCTCTCGGATAGGGGAACCGAACAATCAAGCATCTCTTGGGGCTTGAGGTTACATTGTATCTTATACAAGTCAGACAAGGTTTCAGTTGGTTCTTTGTTACAAAAGAAAGAAAAAACATATCATGATGCGGTGGTTTCATAGTTCTGTTCTGTTGTCTCCCTAAAATGAAATGAAAAAAGAAAAAGAAAATCTTTTGACCGCTGATCCTCCACAAACAGAGACAGCCGACCAGTTTTCCCCGGACATCTTCTTAGTAGAGGTAGATATCCCCGATACTACTACTAGTAAGAACCAGCCTTAGCTGGCATTGCATATGAATATTCTCTCTCTAACAGGATTAGTTCAAGCCCATCCAGAGGGGCCAAAACAAAATTTAAAAAAAGTAAAAAAAAAAAAAAAAACCCGGCATCCCCAGGTTGACCGCACGTGGTAGGTTAAAATTTCCGACCCCGGTCCGTGGCAACCAATAAAGTATACTTTCACCAACCAGGAACGGTCATACGGCCGGACCTCTCACTCGATGAATGGATCCATCCAAAAGCCGACTGGCCGTCCCGACCCTCTGTTTGGCTAGTTCTAGCCATCAGCTCTCAGTCCCTCTTCCCAATTTAGTGCCATAGCCGACGATTTGACTCGCCATCTTTACGGAAAAGTGGTAGGTGCTCGCATGGGCCGATGTCAGCTCCATGGATCTGGACCTGGTCCCGCTAAATTTCATCTGGGGTTGGACAACAGTCGAGAGTCGTAGTAGGAATACAATGCATAGGCCCCATCCTTCCAATGTCACCTAAATCTGAGGTTTGTGCCCTCTGATTGGTGCCCAAGGCAGGTCGTTCTAGATGGTCCAGACTGAATTAGGTATGGTTGTAAACATTCCCTGTACCTTTCTCGCTCTTAGCCTTCAGTCCGTTTCTTCTGCTGTGGAAAAAGTCAATCCTCCCCTATGGCCCATGGAATATCGTGCCATCAGGCCAAGGAGGGGTGAAATAAAAATAAAAAATAAAAAAAGAAAAAAATGTGAGACCAAAAAAAAAAAATTCTTCTGGAGGCCGAGTGAGAGACAGACTTTCCCCGTGGGTGAATATACCCCGGGTCCCCGGGTTGCTGCCGATTCTCAACATCTTGTAATACTTACGGGAGGTGTGTTATAAAAGCACATCCATTCCCCTGCTTCACATCGGCTCATTTCTTCCATTCACAGCAATTCCTTTCGGCGTTTCATTTTGCCATCTCTCGTTCACTCTCTACTCCTTGGCTGTTCACCGCTTGTGATAGACCATATTTCTTTCACCTAATATCTTCTGTCTTCCACACATCAACCCTGTGCTAGGTATATCCAGCAGCGTTTCTCACCATGGGTGACGCGGTAGCTCCAAATGCTCTCGCCGACACCACGCGGGTCGAGGCGCCCGTCACAGTCAAAACTTACTTGATGTGTGCCTTTGCTGCCTTTGGTGGTATCTTCTTCGGTTACGATTCCGGATACATCAACGGTGTCATGAGCATGAAATATTTCATCCAGGAGTTTGAAGGCTTGGTTAGTCTTGTCCCCTATCCTAGACATCGCCAGACTTTTGTACTTTGTGTCGGACAAGTGGCTAACATCCGCTGCCTAATAGGACCCTGCCACTACCTCTAAGGAACACTTCGTAATCTCATCTTGGAAGAAATCTTTGATCACATCCATCTTGTCGGCTGGTACATTCTTCGGTGCGTTGATTGCTGGTGATCTGGCGGACTGGTTCGGACGTCGGACCACCATTATCTCGGGTTGTGTCATCTTCATCGTCGGTGTGGTTCTACAGACCGCGTCCTCCACCGTTGCTCTTCTTGTGGTGGGCCGTTTGATCGCGGGCTTTGGTGTCGGTTTCGTGTCGGCGATCATCATTCTGTACATGTCTGAAATTGCCCCTCGCAAGGTCCGTGGTGCTATTGTTTCCGGATACCAGTTCTGCATCACCATCGGTCTAATGCTGGCCTCCTGCGTCGACTATGCGACCCAGGAGCGCACGGATTCCGGTTCCTATCGGATTCCGATTGCTATTCAAATTGCCTGGGCTCTCATTCTTGGTGGCGGGTTGCTCTTTCTGCCGGAATCTCCTCGTTACTTCGTCCGAAAGGGTCAACTTGAGAAGGCCGCCCATGTCCTCGCTCGTGTTCGTGGGCAGTCCGTGGACTCGGACTATATCAAGCAAGAACTGGCTGAGATCGTTGCTAACAACGAATACGAGATGCAAGCGATGCCCCAGGGTGGCTACTTCATGAGCTGGGCCAACTGCTTCCGGGGCAGCCTCTTCCACCCCAACAGCAACCTCCGTCGGACCGTCCTGGGCACTTCTCTTCAGATGATGCAGCAGTAAGTCTCTTCTCGTATCCACCAGCCGATCGGGAACTATCTAACATGCTTTCTGCTAGATGGACTGGTGTCAACTTTGTGTTCTATTTCGGTACCACTTTTTTTACCTCTGTATGTGTCACGCACCGAGCCCCCGACAAGATTGCCTACTAAATCAAGGATCCAGCTCGGAACGATTTCCAACCCCTTCCTGATTAGCATGATCACCACCATTGTCAACGTGTGCTCGACTCCGATCTCTTTTTATACCATGGAGAAGATTGGTCGTCGCCCACTACTTCTGTGGGGTGCTCTTGGTATGGTCATCTGCCAGTTTATTGTCGCCATCACCGGTACCGTCGATGGCGACAACAAGTCCGCCGTTAGCGCCGAGATCTCATTCATCTGCATCTACATCTTTTTCTTTGCCAGCACCTGGGGCCCCGGCGCGTGGGTGGTCATTGGCGAGATCTTCCCGCTGCCCATTCGTTCGCGCGGCGTGGCGCTGTCCACCGCATCGAACTGGCTCTGGAACTGCGTAAGAATCTCCCCCTTTTGAACGGCGCACTATGAGATGTAGATAGGACTAACGACTGGGATAGATCATTGCCGTCATTACTCCATACATGGTGGACAAGGACAAGGGCGATCTCAAGGCTAAGGTGTTCTTCATCTGGGGATCCCTCTGCGCCTGCGCCTTCGTCTACACCTACTTCCTCATCCCCGAAACCAAGGGGCTCACCCTCGAGCAGGTGGACAAGATGATGGAAGAGACCACCCCGCGGACCTCTGCCAAGTGGAAGCCCCACGGCACCTTTGCGGCCGACATGGGCCTTACCGAGAAGGATATCAACGACAAAGTCCACGTCGTCCATCGCGAGGTCTGATCTACCGGGGATGGTGTGTCAGCCGGGGTCGTGTCAGGTTTCGGGAGGTGTTCTGCGCGTTTACTTTTCATTTCTTTATTGATGACTGATTTCTCAGCTGTCATGAACTCATACCCATGATTTTACGCGTCATGTCATTTTAATGTCTTGTGAGAACAGAGAAAGGTGAAATGGAACTGTACCATTAATTGCTAGTCGCTTTGTTTCTTTCTTTCTTTTTTTTTTTTTCTTTATTCAGAGAGGTCTTAGTAGAGAATCTGATCCTTCCAGACTCCCCCCTTGATAAGTTTGGATATAAAAGTGGGTCACGCTTCGGCAAATGTGAACGCTGAACATTCCGATACCGTAATTAAAACCGGAACCGTTGATTCATCTGAAGGATGTGAATAACCTCATGAAACAGGCCCCTTACGTACCCTCCCTTAGGTGTAGCTGGACGTTAGTAACCATGTCAACAAAGAAAAAAAAACATATCTCATGACACAGTCGAGGAGACATATAACGAGCTATTTACAAGGACAGAGTGTCTCAGCAGCCTCTCTGCTACAGGCCATTGACTCGTTGAGTCTGCTACAATGGATAGTTAGTTAGACTGGTTCTGTCAAGTCATACGAATCAATCATCATCAGGCCAAGATGCCAAGAGATACAGTTCTCCGATGAGCTCCGATTACCTAAGCCACCATTGGGAGCATCTGATTGGTGGATCCCATCGTTCCTTTCGTCGAGCTCCTCCAATAGTGGGTATAGTATGTACCTAAACCTGTCTGTATCAGGTCAATATCCATCCCTCTGCGAAAGATCCTGCGTTATTTGGTTCTTTCTTCCCCTTGAATAGGTTTACTATTCAGCCTAATTTGCAAGCCCATATCGAATTTTCCAGGTGATATAGGCAACCAGTTTCCCTGATCTGGGATTGACATGCGCGTCGGCAGTGCAGTGTACTCCAATTACCGTTTCCGCTACTCGGGAGAACTCCGCTCTGTCAAGATATTGTGTCAAGATATTGTGTTTTAATGCATACAAACGTCCTCTGTAGCTAAACAACACAATCCTTCAATATTTCAAAGATCGACATGCTTCAACACCAGTCCGAGTAATACCCACCAATTGAACTATGGTAATTAATCACTCCGGGTGGTGCCAAGCCGCCGGGGTGTTTGTGTAGAGTGAGCTTGATCCACGGAGATTTTTAGCATGCACCGATGTATAAGATTAGGCTTACGCCACGACCGGCGGAGTTTCCTTTACAAAACTACAGTGCTCTCCACTAGCCGCGTCCGGTACCCTTTAGCTCGGCTTTCCATCGTTTTCAAGCAACAGCATAGGGCATTGCCTCGTCAGCCGACGTTGATCATACCCCGTTTTTTGACTGGGCTGAACAAGCCCTAAATCAAGTTATGTCGGTTCTACAGTAGTCTATTGCATTCAACCGGCACCTAGCACGGTATTTTTGTGGTATCCTCTAGTCCCGAGTCTAACATCTCTGCCGGGGTTGGGGTTGCTGAACAATGCCACTCACTCTATTCGACGGTCTAGACAGGGTCACCTTGGGAATTGCGTAAGCTAGAAGCCGCAGCACACCTTGTGCTCGATATGGACTTGGCCGGTGTTGAGGTAGACACCAGGGTATAAAGCCAGCATCGCCCACGGGAGAACCTGGAGGATCATCAGTACATTGTCTCCTCTCATTCTCGCCATTGCTATTCGTGCGCTAGTATCAACCCTCAATCATGGTTCGACTCACTTCCGCCCTCGTCGCTGGCCTGGCGGGCCTCGCCAGCGTTGTCTCTGCTCATCCAGGTCACGACATCAAGGCCGAGGCCGCTCAGCGTGCCGCCTTCCTGAAGAACGCTCCTCTGCGTTCTCGCAGCCTGGACCAGTGCACTGCCAAGCTGCGTGCCCGTGGACAGGAGAAGCGGAACATCGCCCGTCGTGAGCAGGTCGTCAAGGATCTACGCCGCGTGAAGGGCCTGCAGTCCCGTATGTCATGTCCTTTCCATTCACCCATGACGCATCGACAATGCATACTTAAATTTTCTTACCAGGCGCCCCCTTCCTCAAAGCGAGAGACCTGGACACCGTCCTCAACACCACCCATCACTCTACCCTGGACGTCGATCTCTCCACCGATCCCGAGGTTCTCTTTGCGTCCAACGCTACTTGCATCCTCGGACCGGATGTCACCCAGGGGCCTTACTGTGCGTTGTCCTCTGTGTTGTCAATTAATACCATCTAACAATTCATAGACGTCTCGGGCGAGCTGATTCGCGACAACATCATCGAGGGTCAGGAGGGTGTCCCTCTCTACTTGGACATCCAGCTGATCGACACCAACACCTGTGAACCCGTTCCCCAGGTGTACCTCGACTTCTGGCACTGTAACGCCACTGTGAGTACCTGGACCAGTGGCTATATCCACCATGAAATTATCACTGACACATACATTAGGGTGTCTACTCCGGTGTTGTCGCCAACGGAAACGGCAACTCCAACGATGACACCAACATCGACACCACCTTCCTTCGCGGTCTCCAGAAGACCAACGAGGAGGGTATCGTCCAGTTCAAGACAATCTTCCCCGGTCACTACACCAGCCGCGCCACCCACATCCACGGTAAGCTACGCCTCTCTTCCTTCCCACCTCAACCCAGTCACACCATGCTAACAAACCACAAAAACAGTCCTCACCCACCCTGCCAACGAAACCTCCGTCCTGCCCAATGGAACTATCACCGGCCTCTACAACACCAAGTCCTCCCACGTCGGCCAGCTTTTCTTCGACCAAGACCTCATCTCCGTGGTCGAAGAGACGGCCCCCTACTCCACCAATACCCAGGAATTGACCACCAACGCCGAAGACCAGATTCTCTCCGAGGAAGCCGATACCATCGACCCCTTCGTTGAGTACGTCTTCCTGGGTGACAACGTCTCCGACGGTATCTTCAGCTGGATCTCCGTTGGCATTGACGCTACTGAGAGCACTTCCGTTACCCCTGCTGCCTACTTCACCGAGGACGGTGGCGCTGAGAACGAGAACTCGGGTGGCATGGGTGGTGGCTCTCCCCCCAGTGGCTCTGGTGCATCCTCCGGTGCGGCGCCTTTTGCTAGCGCTTCTGCTTAGATGGGATGCTTGGAGATTGCATTGGTGGATTGGGTCGTTTGACTTGATAATATATATATACTTCTTTTCTTCGATTCTGTTTTGGATATTTTATCTAACCTGGATTGAGCATTGTATTGTTCTGTTGTGTTGATAGCCCGCGTTGACATCTCATGCGGTTTGACCTTTATTGGAGACAAAGTTGCAATCTCTGTCGCATCCATTCCAAGCTATCCATGTAAGAGTATAACAGCAACATGGACTAGGTTACTAAGGACAGGTACTTATGCAGTCAGAAAGCCATAGCATTATTGTTGTAAAGTGACTTGGCGCTGAGACTTCTCATGAAGCTTTCCTTCTTCATTGGCAGCACACCATTTCAGGATACCTACCCATCTCCACGCTCAAAGAAGGCTTGAGTCCTGGACATCTTTCCAGTTAACCACCGCTGAGAGAGATGTGTTTACTTGAGAAATGCGTGAAAGTAGATCACCTCCTCATAGGTCCCCTGTAGATATCTGACTCAAGCGGAGCATGACGATGGCGGCCAGAGAAAATACACGCTACTAGTTGTGGAACAACAATCTTGGAAGGACTGAGACAACATCGTCGAGATGGAACAAAAGGTTGATGCTTGACAGTGAAAGTAAATAAAGAAGAAAGAGCAAGGCGCTCAGAACATCTTTCCTTACCTCTTGTAGCGTTGGCCTTCATACGCACTTCTGTCTGGTTTGTTGGTAGCTTTTGGTTTATCAGTGGAAGCTACAGTATGGGTTGTTTCTCCAGGTCGATTCTTTCTTATTCAAGTAAGGATTTAGAGAAATATAGACCAGAGGCTACCATGTCTGTCTGGTACACTGTGTGGCCCTATATGGATTCGTATGTAAGTGAGGACTTTTATAGCTAAGTACACCAGGTAAATACATTATGCATTACTTATATAGAAAGAAACGGTTTACTATCCCGCAGCATAAGTACTCATCTTCCTCATCGCCTCCCCATATTTCCACAAGAAAATCGGCGCCGGAATACCAATTGCAATCGAGATGAACGCCAACAAACTATTCCCCCATCCGTAATGCAACGTCTGGTACATGTACGGCGCGAAAAGCGGAAATGCAAACCCAGCGATGGATCGTAAGAATGAACCAGCGGCCATCGCACTGGCTGCAAACCGTGTATATGCATCAACGATGTAGGTCTGAATACACTGCATGGCGACTATATTGCCCATGGCCAGGAGGAGAGCACCGATATTTGGAGCGATCCAGTGACGGTGGGTTTGCGCGGTCCAGCCGTAGATGAAAAGGCCGACTGGGTTAAGAATGGCGGCAATGGCTAGTAAGGGTGTACGGAATTCAGGCTTCCCTGTACCGTTATTACGGGTTTTGAGACGGCGGTAGACAATGTCATTGAGACGTGCGCAGATCTGTGAGCCTAGACAATAGCCTATTCCAAGAGAAATATAGTTTAGGCCGCCAATGCCGATGGATTCATTATAGTACTCCGGGCTAGTCCATAGGACGGGAAATGTCGAGGACATCAAATAGAGAATTCCGTAGACGTAAGCCATGTAGATAGCAAGGGCTTGAACGATGGGTTGCGTGGTGAGAAGGCGGAAAGGTCGGATGAGTGCTGTGCGCAGGACCTCAGGCAAAGTCTTGTTCTGTCGCTCAGCTTCGGTCTGGAATGATAAATCTCCTGTTTCTTCGCGCATCTTTTTCGCTCGTATCCTAAGGATCTTTGGGGCGTATGTCTCGCGCAAGAAGAAAACGCCCAGGATTTGAATAATACCGTCGGCGATGGATGTGGCGTAGAATACCCATCTCCATGTTGTCCTTTCTGCGATAAAACCGCCGGCAATCGGGCCGACAGCTGGCCCAAGGAGAGGCGCTAAGCTGTAGATCGCGATACTCTTACCGCGTTCCTCTGGTGTGAAGCAGTCAGAAAGAACACCACCACCTATCTATGATGTTGTTAGACTATGCACTCATTAGTACATCATCATTTGAAGCACTCACGGCTAAAGGAGCACTGCCACCTAGCCCTGCCAGAAAGCGAAAAACAATCATTTGCGCAGAAGTTTGTGATACACCACAGGCGATATTAAAGATTAGGAAGAACAGATTTGCAAGTTGCAATACAATGACTCTGCCGTAGATCTCGGACAGAGGTCCAAGGAAGAGCGGTCCAAATGCGTAGGCCAGGACGAAAATGGACAACATGAGTTGAGATACCACTTCATCTTGAATATTGAAGTCAGATTTCATGGTTTGCAATGCGGGTGCAACCATAGACGACATCACAGGGGAGATAAATGTGAAGCAGGAAACAATCAGAACAGCTCCCCACTTTTTCCTCGTTGGCCAGTTCTTGGGATTGTCGGGGTCATCAGGACCATTCCATGAGACCTACATTATTAATGCTTGACTATAATAAAGAGATGGACTTTGATTGAGTCTTACCAGGTTGGGGTCTTGCTGTGAGTTGTTTGACTTTTCAGTCTCTGATAATATTCCCACACCAGAAGGAGACTGCGCACCCCTTTCCAAATCAACATTCTGCTTGTCCGGGACTCCCACAACTTCAAGCCCGAGTTGGGCGCCGTTCCTTTCACTTTTTGAGGTTGGGCTCTCGGAAGCCCATACTCTTTCACCGTGTTCAATCGCATCGCTATTGGTACATGCGGATTGGTCGTCGGTATATTCCCCTGTGTGATCTCCATCGATCTGCGAGGCACTTTGTACGGATTTTGGCCTGGATCTCACTGTCAAACGTGCAGCGCCTGGAGGGTGAAGTTGGGTGCTCGAAAAGTGCAACTCAGAGTCGAGATTAGAGTGGGTCGAAGACTGCGATCTGGTAGGCCCAGTAGCTAACGTTTCATCACTTCCAGCCATGGCCAGTAGCTTACTCGAAAACGCCAAGGGTGGGATTTTATGAACAGGAATCTTGAAAGAAAAGGAAGAAACCAGGGAAAACCGCCGAATATATCATTTTGGTCCTTCTCGTCTACCACCAATAGAAGCGTCAAACGGGCTTTGCGTTGCACAGCATAACTACGGGATAATCCATCATAGTGACGGGTTTTGGAAGCATTAAGTCCGATAGTGGAGCGACCCTGTTCACATTTTGCGCTTCTGGTGGCCATGATGGGGCCCGGAGGAAAGCTTGACATTGGATATCCATAGAATCCTTCAGGGCGACTTCCCGACTCCCTGCTATAAATGTGGAGCTTCGCGGCTTGACCCGTCCATTGCTATTGCCCAACTGAATCAACAGAGTCACGTAGTCATGCTTGGTATATCTAGACTCGAAAAAGAACTAGAAAATCGGATCTTCGGCACGGTGGTAGCACGTGCCCCGGTGAACTATCTTGAACGCGTGGTCCAATCAGGTTAATCCCGAACCCCGGCCTCCGGTGGTCAAGACCCTAACCCCTAGACCTTCAGTCTCGTCTTCAAGGTTGCGAGTTGTCTGTCGGCGATTCATCTGCATGGACGATCATCGCGACATACAGTTTTATAACAATGAACTCGGACCAAAGGAAGGCCTAGATAGCGGTCTGCATGGTCTGCGAGACCGACAAGTGTAATACTCCTGTCATATAAAACCTCAGTTAAGATGCCTCACACCTGAGGGTTCTCTTATCTCCTTCAGTCATTCTCAAGGATCATTGTATGGCACGCAGGTGCAGATGTCTGTAGCTCGTTCTAGTCTAGAGGTTTTCAAATGTATAGAGCTCTATCTTTAAATCGTCCTCAGGCATCCTTCCAAGTATCTCTCAACGTGGCTCACATCTTCTAACGCGGCAATCATTCCAACATATCCATCTGGCCGAACCACAGCCAGGGCCCCCCGACTTGGATCCACACCGTAGATCTTATACACGTCGTCTAATTCGTAACCGCTGTGGAACCGCATCTCGGAGTGCTTCTTGAGCTCATGGGGTATATCGCGCCATGTGAATGTCTTACCAAGACGAGGGTAGATAACCACCTGCTCAACTGTGGATGCTGGGAAGTGTGGCAGAATAGAGACTCCAAGGCTTGTCAACACCTTAGCAGAAATACCCTTGGGGTCCAGCAAATCCGATGAGGTGAGGCAAAGAACACGGAATCGACCAGTTGAGAGGAAATCTGCAGCGCTTGATTAGATATTTCTTGCAAATTCAGTGCTTTCTGACTAACTATGCCCGAACCTTAGACTTGAACGAGCAATTAACATACCGTCTTGCAGATGACGCCGGTTCCCATCGGCATGTCTTTTGAGCCGTACATCCCGTAACCTCCTTCCCGGACGTAGAATGCCTGAGAGATAGTCTATACCAGTGATTGGGTTTCTAATATCCTGTTCCGATATCTTCTCCACAGTCAAATTCTCCGGGTATTCAATGCCACAGCCACTAGTAAACCCATTCCCAGTGCTGAATACTTTGAGAAATTGGTCGTGAGTTAGACCTTCCACGCCATCCTCGCCCGACCCGATTTTGCCTGAGAACATGGACGAAAACGCCCGGTCAAATTCAATGAGTTCCTGAGCAACAGTGTGTCGCTCTACATGATATGTGTCTAAAAGTGAATCTGGTCTTTCAGGTATTGCGGAATCGGGGGTGATGCCATTGATGGAATAAGCCAGCTTCCATGCCAAGTTGTAAGAGTCCATCATGGAAACATTCATGCCCTGTCCAGCCTATGTGCACACAGGTAAGTAATGTATATAGATGGGAAAAGCATTCCTCCTCACGTACCTTAGGACTGTGAGTATGACAAGCTATCGATTTGGAAAGGTCTTGTTAGCCATGTGGACTCCCAATGTTTCTCGGGGAACTTGCGCCCTACCGTCTCCTACGATGAAGACCCTATTTATTCCCTTGGAATCTTTTACTGTAAAATTATTCGATACTCGCTGGCCGATCTGGTATGCTGCCCACCAGTCCACCGCCCCATTCTCCTTGGGCCTTATATAAAACGGTTTGAAAGCATCTTCTGCATATTGAAAAATGCTTTCTAAGGTAACCTTACCTCTCCGGGCCCGGGCGTCCACTTTTGGAGTGGCTGTCCCATCGACGGGAATCTGGTCAGGGTCCGGCATAGTTTCCTCCGGCACTTGGACATAAAGACGAGTCAGGTAGTCACCGGTAGCAATGCGCTCGCGCGGAATGACCATGACCGAACCCGCCGGCGAATGTATAGCGCACCGCCTCCTGATATCCGGGAAGTCGGTATCTACAACCAGATCAACTACGCCCCAGATATGGTCCATTGATTCGCCCACCAACCGCAGTCCCATGCAGCGCCGGACCATCGAATGTGCACCATCGGCACCAACCAGGTGCTTCGCGCGCACCGTTGTCCGCCGCCCGTCAGTATCCAGGTCGGCAACAACAGGGAACTCAGGGTCTCCAGCTTCATCGATCCTAGCATCGAGAAGCTTGGTGTTTCGCTGAATGCCGCGCTTAGAATATCGCAATAGATCTGTCTCTAGGATCCGCTCAATTCGGCCTTGGTGGATAGTCACTTCATGCTGATACCGCGCTGGAACCGCGACATCTGGAATGATCGAGGTTCTCTCGATTATCTCCTCTTTATTCGCGGAAGGGTTCCAGAATGCCACCTCTTCCATATGACACCCGTCATTGAGGATTTCATCCACAATACCGAGAGACTTCAGTACTTCCAGCGTACGAGGTTGTAGGCCGTCGGCTTGGCCTGATTTGAGGGTCCCGGGCTTCGCGTCAACACATAACAAAGATTCATCGCTTAGTCCGTATCGCGCCAGAAGTAAATTTAGCATAAGCCCCGCAGGACCAGCACCAACGATGAGCACTTCATACTTCTCTGTCTGTCCAACCCGAGTAAAGGGAGGAGAGAGACGTGGTAATGGAGCTGCGAACGAGGGAAGCACACGCAGTTCCCGCGACGCTGCAGAGTATTCGGTTAACACAGGCATTGGAGAGGGCCAATTATGAGTAATTGGTTAAATGTACAAGCACAAAAGCTTGAAATTCAGTGCTAAGCCCCAAGCCGATGAAGTGGCCGAAATATAGCGACTAACGAACTGCCCAGACCCCAAAATGGGATATCACCCTCAGTAGCCTACCCACCATTTCACCAGCGGGGCTCAAGAGTGTGGTCTTAAGAGGTGCAATCGACTACAGTCCCTTGATTGGCTTTGGCCCTAGACTTTCCCCAGTTTTCGGCGGGGATGCTGCTGACGGTTGATTACTTGAACATCACCAATCTCCTGGTTGCCATTCCAGATCAAATTTCTCTCAAATCAGTTCGTATAGCAAGAACACTACCCAGCCCTTGCGTCGTGGATAGGACAATAATACCAATCCATAACTTGTAAGCCAGGTGTTTGGATATATAAGGAGAAGTTACAACCCAGAAGTTGAAGTTGGGGTCGAATAGAATACTCCGTACCGTAACCGTACAGTATCCCGGGTCACATGTTGGGGGGTTCTCCGGGGGGGGCATAAAGTTTGAGTTTGACAGGGCCATAAATTGGCCGGAATTCCATACTTCGATGGAGTCTAGATCTACTGAATAATTTCCACCTATGATCCATCTATCTACTACTACTGCTGCTGCTGCTCCGCCTGCTAACCTACAGTCTACTTCCATTCCATAGACTATCCGGATATACGGATTTATGCACATAGTCCGAAGCAGGACATTATGACGTCCAGTCCATCAAGGACCATCCAAGCCCAATTTAATCAAAGCAAGAAAATCCATCACCTGACAGACCAGCTACATTGGCTCTCCTAGCTGAGTAAAGTATATATTGGTAATCCCAGCTCGGAAAGCGGGATTTTGTCAAGCTTTTCCACCCCGCAATACGTCTAGGAATAGGGTAATCCTGAGCCCCGGAGGGAGCCACGGGTACTCGGTCACCGTACCACGGATCTAGCGGATAGAACTGGGGATTTGGCCTGTCGTGAATGTGATTTCGTCACCATTCATTATCCTAGTTCTCGTAGTGTGTACCTAAGGCTTCGTAGCATACGCAAAAGTACCTAGTTTGCAATGATATCCCAGCAGTTAGTATCTATAGTGAGGCGTATTAAGGACGGACTGGATATGGTGTGCATACCGAAGGACTTACTCGTCAAGGAAGGTTCGCTACGACCGTGTGGTCCTTTTATAGGTTAATCCTGTATTTATTGGAATACTTTCTATCTACCTATCTGCCGTGTCTGATACTGAAAATAATGAACATATAGCAGGAAAGATAAGCCAGTAGGTCAATGGAGCAACCAGCACAAAACTACTAGTAACCATATCGCATTTGGATGCCGAGATTTCCATACAGAGATCTTCAGCGATGGGCTTCGCGTCCATGGTACGAAGTTACTTCGCCAATATACTCACAGAGCGAATCTCAACTATGAGACACCTTTTGACATCCTTCCCGATGATATGCCCACTCCCAGGGGGGGGTTGACAACGGGGGAAGATCGGTATTCAATTGCTAAAAGTGTATATGCTAAGGGTCAGCCAGTACGTATGATGAAATGACTTCCTATTCTCTCAAAGGCTAGGAACATGGTAGTGGCTGTTGCCAACCAAGTATAATAATAGTCGGCCATAGGGTACAAAGTACATTCCTGACTCGCACCCAGCCGGGTTTGCCAACACAACGAGCCATTCTTAACCATGTTAACATTTTCCCTCCTCTGAACTGCTAAGTTCGGCATATCTCTACTTCTACCTTAACCTACCTCGCGTACGAGCAACTCAACTATGTTACGGCGGCTGTTTCAAACCTCGAGTATCAATACTCATCATATGAAACGGCAATCAGCTAGTATATGCTTTGTTGAACCGCGCTCAGTCAATCAAAGCCGCCCCCCAAAGAGTAGTCGTCATCGGATCTAGTATCTCCGGAATCCTCGCTTCCATTCGATTTAGATAACGGATGCCCAATGTAGGCCTTTGCGTTTATGAAAAGGATGCAGATAGCGGAGGAATTGGGTTCGAAAATAGATGCCCTGGATGTGCATGTGGTGTGTCTAGCGTCCTTGTCTTGCCCTGTTGGTGCTACTAGTCGTCCGGGCTCAAAACATACAGTTGATTAGATTCCCAGCCCACACAACATACTAGGCCACGTTTGAACCAAATAAAGAGTGGTATAAAGAGTGGTCAACTTTCTATGCCTCGGCCCCTGAGATCCATCGATACTGGAAACAAATGGTTTGCAAATATGACTGCATGAAGTATATCAAGCTGATGCGGGATATTAGCGAGGCAGTGTGGAATGAGCAAACGAGCAGATGGCAGTTGAACCTAAAACACTATCCTTTTTTCTTTTTTTTTGCCAGAAGAGAAGTTGATAGCTCACACATCTGCGAGAAGGTTCGAGATGTCGACAGCGGCTCAACATATTCAGACCAATGCGATGTACTTGTTCCGGCAACTGGGGCCCTAAACAACTGAAAATCGCCTAATATCCCTGGCCTCCTTGGGTTCAAAGGGAAGCTGCTGCACAATGCTAGTTGGGATGAGAGCTATGATTATCGTGTAAGTTAGATGTGGATTCAAGTTCGCTTTCGACCATGGCTAATAAACTCACATTCAGGGCAAGAAAAGTCTCAGTAATCAGGAGTGGCTCCAGTGACATCCAGATTGTCCCTGCAACGTTACCAAGAGTGGCTCACCTTGATCACTACATAAGGGGTCGGACATAGATCTCCCCCCATTTGCTCGCGATAAAATTGACAGACGGGGCACTGAGACCGAGAATTGTGAGTATTACTTTTACGACCAGCCCTTTAGGTTGCTGGCCTCTTGCAATAGACTCGTTCTCCCCAGAAGAAATTGAGACATTCAAGAAGGATCACCAAGCATACCAACGATTTCCGTAAAGGTAAGAAATCAGCCTCTAGTGTTTTCTGTGTTTTTTTTTTATTGACCTGCAATCCAGACATCGAACTAGAACTACAGTCTGTCCACGGCACCACTATTATAGATACACCGGAGCAAGCTGAGGCCGAGGAAGTATTCCTGAAGAACTTGAGGCGACGGCTTTCAAGAAGGCCGGAGCTTCTTGGTAGCTTAGTTCCGCCTTTCCCACCCGCCTGCCGCCGCTTGACACCCGGACCAGGCTACCTCGAAGCGCTGACAGAAGATAATGTCAATATCATTAGCAGCAATATCGTCCAAGTAGATGCCAATGGAATCGTTACAGCCGATAGGACGCATCATCCCACTGATGTTATAGGTTGTGCCACCGGATTTGACACACGTTTACGCCTCGACTCCCAGTTATCGGATGTGAAGGTGTCACCCTGGCAGGTCGTTGGGAGAAAACTCCTGAGGCATATATCTCGATAATGGTCGATGGATTCCCAAACTACTTTATCAGTCTAGGCCCGAACGCAGCTCTGGGCGAAGGCAACCAGCTACCCTTGATTGACCAGACTATAGATTACTTTACCTTCTGCATCCAGAAGACGCAGCGAGACAATATACAGGCGATAATCGTTAATAAAGAGGCCGTCAATCGTTTCCCGCAGCATTGTGGTCAATACTTCTCCCAACCTGTTTTCAGGCAGAAGCGTCGTAGATGGTACAGAGCCGAAGATGGAAGGGTGGCTGCTCTGTGGCCTGGCCAATGGCCTTTTTCATCCATCAAAAATCTTCGGAAAATTCAGAACACTGACCCAGGGATAGGATCTTCTCTTCATTCTCTGAAAGCACTTGCATATCCACGATGGGAAGATTTCATGTATGGGTATGTCAATGACAGTCCTAACGGATGGCTTGGGAATGGGTAGACGGAAGATGAGAAGAACGAAGCCATCCAGGTTGGTTACTTAGATGACGATCATATTGATTTCCCGCGGCATTTATTGAGTCCTGCCTCAGTGGATGTGGGGGCGTGACGAACGCATGTCAAGCCAAGTCCGAGACAGATGCAAATCCTGATATAATTTCTCTGGGGTTATCTCCTTAACAAGTTAGTCATTCTTGCACATAGTAGCCGTTATAGGTATAAAGCAATCGGTAACGGTTGTTTCAAGGGGAGTCACACATACCATGAAGACAGTATAAGGTAATAGAAAGACCTCGGTATAGATACCCGTAGAAGGCACCCTTGGCGAAGATCATGTGTGGATCTTTTCTAGTTTGAAAAGCCGGCAGTGGGATTGACGAAACATTTCCCCCCGTTGGACGGCAAATAAAACAATGGCCGTCACCAGATTACCGTACTGTACCAGTAATTACCCAATGAAACAGCTAGATAGGATACCTCAGGGAATGGAGCAATACCAAGCTACTGTTTCAGGGTAAGATTGGTCTTCCTCAAGAATCTCACCATTTTTATCCCCAATTCCCAGGATTTCGGCCGGACCGCGATAAAGAATCAAATCTCAGATATTTGAACAGACCATGGTTGCCTCAAGAGAGAACTTTCTGGATCGTCCTCTTATTCCCAGGAATTCAGAGGCATAATCTCACCTCTTCCACCCAACAGAATTGCCCCCCTCCATCCAACCTTCCTCCCCCTCTGTTTTACCCCAGGATTTCTTCTCCCCGATGCGCGCCAAACTCTCGCTATGAAATCCTCTTCAAACAAACACTTTTGCTGTACCATCTGCCAGCGAGGTTTCACCCGCATTGACCATCTAAAGCGCCACCATCTCCGCCGTACGTTCTGTTCTTCTTGTCTTTGTCCCCCTCCCCGGTCTCGGCCAAGAGTGGACCTCCCCGATCCAAGGCTTGACTAACTGGTGAATCCATCATAACACCTGCAGATTCCGGAGTGAAACCATACTCATGCGTTTTCTGCAATGAATCATTCGCCCGTTGGTGAGCAATCTTCGTCATTTTCTCTCACTTGACCGCTCTTCTTTGAACCCGTCCCCTTTTCACTACCAATCAGTCGCAAGACTTTTCTAATGTGCTCTCTGACAGCGACAATCTCCGAGACCACTACTCGGACTGCGCCCAACGAGGAGACCGAAAGATCCCCGAAACCGGACAGAGAGGAAGAAGGCGTCATGCATGCGAATCGGCAAGTCCATCTCGATTGTTGCGTTACTCATTCCCCAGCAAGACCCAGCTCCTGACAACCTGTCGCATAAATAGTGTACATCGATGAAACTGCGATGCGATGGCTTACGACCTTGCGGTTCATGCCAGAAAAGGAATCTACATTGCAATAACGAGCGCAGCCAAGTAAAAGATCACGAATTGGAAGGTATAAACACCACCGGTGGACTTCTCCGTTGTTCGGACTATCCGCTCATGGCTCTATAGGATCGGCATCGGCCAGGAACGACGACCCGGAACCATCGTCAGACCGGGGATCTATTAAATTCCTTCTCAACGGAGGTACAGACACTTTCACAGAGCACTGGAACCTTCCTCCTAGCAATGACCGAACCCGCAGTCTCGAGTTTCACAATCAGAAGAATTTGGAGGAAACAAACAGCTCCATACTGGGATATTCGACAAAGGAGGATTACCCGGATTATGCACCTGCGTTCGTTGAATCAGACCCAGCAGCATTATCTTTCTTCCAGGAAACATTTCTCGATTTCTTCAATGGTCCGTTCGGCGATCCGCACAGGTCGCTCAACGATCCCTACACGGGCGGGATGACGTACCCGTCCATTGCGCCCTCTGTGCAAGATTCCCATTCCAAGTTGGCTGGACAACAACCCTCGGGTTACGGACATGAAGGTCCATTTGCGACTGCCATGATACAGGCGATTCTGACGAGGGTCTGGACCCTCCATCTCGATACGAAGATCAAAGAGGAGATTTCGGATAAGCTGAACTTTCTACTAACACCTATACGCATGCGGAAATACATGGCATTGTATTTTAAGTACTGGCAACCCAACTGTCCAATGATCCATGTGCCAACGTTTGACCCGAGGACCGTGTCGTTGTCGCTTCTCACATCGATTTGCTTCCTGGGCGCCAAGTACACGGAGGATAAGATAGAGCTGGACGCCGCACAGCGACTAGTTGACTTTGCAGAGCTGTTTGTCTTTTCCAACGGGATTTTCTCATGCGAGAATGAGATCGGTTCGATGTATTGCGGGGCCCAAAATGTCGACGACGAACCTAGTTGCTGGGTCCAGTTCCAGAATCTACAAGCTGCGTTCCTCATGGTAGTCTGTCAGTACTGGTCAGGAAGCCGCGCATCGCGCAATCGTGCAATGGAGAATCGGTTCGGAGAAGTCGTCAAGGTAGGCTTTGGCGCAAATCGGCGGTGCTGTCCGTTTCGGCTAACTAGGAACAGGTCGCACGCAGGATGGGTCTGCTCACGTTTCGACATGGGCCCGAGGAACGTCTCGATGAGTACTTGTGGATACAGAGAGAGTGTCGTATACGGTACGCAGTCATAATATCCTCTTTAAACCCGCCATGTCACTAAACAAATGATAGAGCCATCAATTTTATCTCTCTTCTGGACTGTGCATTCTCGTTCTATTCGAACTATCCTTGCCGTTTGTATCATACGGAAATGGAATGTGCATTGCCTTGCGTGGAGTCCGTATTTGAATCAGCCCGTCCATTCCAAGAACCGAACTTCGAGCTTTCCCGTGAGATCACTCTCTCCGAAGCTTTCCAGAAGTTATTCGACGAAGAGAGTAGTCGAGCCACAACACCCTCCACCCCGGGTTCTACCGTTGCAGGAACTCTCGCAAAACTCACTCTCATGGACACGTTCATGCTAATTCACTGTAAGTGCGCGATCTAACATAGGCCACCGTTTATCTGACTTGAGGCAGTGCTTTACGCTTTCATAAACACACACATGACACTTCTCGCTACGATAATGCCAAAAGTCCGGGCACCACAGTCTCAGCCAATGCTCAATCGTGGGGCTCATAATTATCATTCTGCGCTACCGGATGATTCCACGCTAGCTTCCATCCGCATAGCGCTCTCTCGCTGGCACGATCACTGGACGAGGCTGCGCAATACGGCCTCCAGTCATGAATGGGCCTCAATGGGCTTCTACAAGAATGGCTACCACTTCTGGCTTGTGTCACAGCTTCTGATCACCAAGAAGGAGAGCGTGGACGTGGTGATGCGCATGGAAGTGAAGTGCGAGGACAAGCTAGAGAAGCTCAAAGTCCTGCTGAAGGACGACAACGAATGATACTTGACGGTTGAGTCGCACCCGAGCGACTCATTCTGTTTTAATTGTATTCTTAATTGCGCTTTATTGGACAGGCGCTCGGTGTATGCATGATGACACGGGTGCATGATTGTACGATATATTTAGAGCATTTTGGCGTTACGAGTACATATACCTAGTTAGAGGCATGTTTTTACATGCCATATCATAGAGCTGGAGGTAGATCTTTCGATATCAGACTACTACGCAAACTCTCTTCCTTCTTGGTGGTTTCTCAAACATCCAATCCCAACTAGCTAGACGAAGCACAGTTGACATCCAGAAGCTCCTCCTCAACCTACATAACATTAGCACACCCAATTTCATGAAAGCCAATATATCTAAACACGAAACTCACATTGGTACAAACAAAGGCATCCTTCCCCTTAGGGCTCTTGACATCGATATTCGTCGCATGAATCCCAGAGCAAACCTAACCCTTCAGTTACCCTCCGCACAGAAACAACAGCTAAAACAAAATTCTCACCTTCGGACTCGAGCAAACAATCGTTCCCACATTAGGGTCGCGCTTTCCGGACGTTGTGCCCTTAAGATCATTGAAGTAGACATCGCTAATCGTGAGGTTACTCTGTTCCAGCCCGAGTTAGCCACAGCCACCCTTAACTCTCAGAGTTAATATGTACGAGAGTTGTACCGGGAACTGATTGCACAATGTCAGATTCTTCTGTCCGTAGCACTGCGTCACCTCGATCGCCCAATCCACGTTTTCGATGTACATGTGGTCGTAGGTGATGTTTTGGACGCTGCCTAGGCCGCCTCCGCCTTGGAGGTCTTCGGACATTGAGCTGGAGACGCCCGGCCAAACCTTTATGCGGGCCATGTCCTGTCTCTGGGTTAGTATTTTGTTTATTTATACAGGGATCTCAAGGGGGATATGAAAGGGAGGCGTACGGATGCATTATACATGGAGATATTGTAGACGAGGACGTTCTGCACGATATCGACTTCGCCCCTGTACTGACCCAGTGAGCCCACGGAGATACCGTGGGACCCGTTGCAGTAAAGATTTTGGACGAGGATCTCGGTGCTGTTCGGCTTGAAGGAGACACAGTCTTTTTGTCTTCGTTAGCTCTCCCTCGCCCCTCTGTATCCTCACACACCAAGGCAGAAAGAAAGAGGAAGCGTACCATCCCCATTGTTAATCACCGAATTCTGAATGACGATGTTACTCGATCGATACGTATCCCTAGTATACTCGTCAGCCAGCAAGTACACAAAAAGGGTCCAAAGTGTAAGCCAAAAAACAAGGAAAACGTACCAGCCGTCTGTATTCTTCGCCTCATTCTTACTACTACTATACCCCCACACATCGATCCCGTCAAACAGGACATCGGAGCTATTCGCAACAAGCTGGTACCACTGCGGCGAATACCGCAACTTCAACGGCCCAATCGTGCCCCCATGCAGCCCGATAATACCGACGAGAATGGGCCGCAGCACGAGTTTATCCTTAGCGTACAGGTCGTACCAGACCTGGCCGTTGCCATTGAGTTCGCCGCCGCCGTAGACGTTGACGTCAGTGCCGCCGAGGTTGAAGAAGGTGGTGGCGTTTTGGAAGGTGTGTTTAAAGGAGTTCCTTTGCCAGTAGTCTGTGTCTGGGGTGAAGGTGATTTTCCCGAGGATTTCTGCGTGATATATTAGTTGTTCTGTAAGTGTATAGAACCCCAATTGGGTTAACGGGGGAGAAGATGCCATGTACGCACCCAGGTCAACGTGTTTCAAGAAGGTCATATCCAATGCCGTGCCAATTGTGTACTCCGTATCTTTGTCGAAGACGACCTTGCCGCCATTGTTACATTGCTTCAAGGCGGAAAGGATATATGTGGAATCGTCGGTTCCGTCGCCATTGCTTTTGACATGGCAGGTCTTGTTTCGGGGTGAACTGGCCGGAAGGGGTCGGAAGGGCGGTTTGGGTGCGACTGCGTCCGTCCTGGACCGTGTGAAGCCTTCTACTGGTAGGGTTAGGCCTAGAGAGAGGAGGAGGACTGTTACTTGGATGAGCTTCATGGGTCTTGTTTCTGTTTGGGCTTGGGAGGTCGATAGGTGGGTTGGGTTTAAAGGTGGTGCTTAGGTATGCAGAGTAAGAAAGGAACTGGGCTCTTTACCACGGGTTTAACGTCTAGTCGTGGATATTGGCAAATATATAGCATTAGATCTTGCGAACAGCCGAGTATAGTCTCATACGCGTTCGTCAATCAGTCCACTAGGATAAATCAACTCATTTACTCCCCGCCAATCTTTTCCCCAGCGGGTGAATACGAAGTGGGGAGTCAACCAGTGGATGAGACATGCGGTTGAAGCTTTCGAGTAGCAATTTCAAGATGTATCGGAGAAATGAAGGCTTGTATTAATTGAAGTTGTATAGGGCTGGGATTCGCGGCTTCTGATAGGAGGGATAATACCGCCGGGGATCATCCGATTGGGAGGGAAAATTGGACGATCGTTCCTCCGTCTGGCGGCCCCAGATTTCCATCTGGGGAGATGTATTACTGAATATTAAAAGATGATGGCTGTTTATATTGAAAGTCCGGGGGAGACTCGATGTGCGGTTTGGTATGACATAAATGGCGCGCGCGTTTTCCCGTGTGGTTTTTGGACATGTTTGCTATTTTATAGAAGCATGTTAGGGAAATCATAAGTGGGCTTCAGTATGAGATCATACGAACAGACTAAACGTTCTTTTTACTTTTGGCTACGATGGCCGTTCGTCACCATCTTCGGAGTATTTCTGTTTTGTTTTTGTGATGATACGTACAGTACACACTAATCGTGGATTGGCCGGCATAGGTGAAGAAAACTCTTTAGATAAATTCGGCTTATCTAACGTCTTCAATGGGAAATTTAATATGTACAAACGAGAACGCCAACCATGTTGCGTTAAACCAGTAGAATCCCCGAGAAATTGTCGATCGAGTGGTATACACCCATGTCGACCTAGAAGCTCGTCGATCGACGATCTATACCCTTAGTTAACAGCTTCCATTTTGGACCCAGCGAGGACCTCTTCCTTTGCAAAGTCACGTCTGACGGAATCAATCGAACCAATTTATGCGGACTTCTCCACGGCTGCCTCCGTCTTGACAACGACCTCCTTCGCCGAATCAACCACTTCGTGTTCCATCGACTTGGCGGCTTCTGTTGCCGATCCTTCCAAGCCACGGCGGTAGTTGTAGATACGGCCAACCTGGACAATACCGACGCATCCGAGGAAGAAGTTCACGGCGGCGAGCCTGGCCGGGTTAGCGCTGTCTTTAAAGACCACAACCTCCGTGATCAACATACAGGTAGTTCTTGGGTTTGATAATCAGGCACCAGCGAGTCCAGATGGCTCCGGTAGCCGTCAAGGCACCGTTCTGGGTAAGAGACAGCTTCTCGGCGGGACGGCTGAGATCGGAAATACCGGCGATGACCAGAGCCCACTAATCAAAGTCAGCCGGATCCATCAATCTGTGCTTCGCGATTGCGAAAGTCGACGCGCATATTTTGTTCCTTTTTATGGTGCGTAACGGGGTCCTGCAAGGGAGGGTGTGACTCGACTCGTACCTTCATGACGGGGGCCCTATGACAACAAGCATTAGAACTGCAATCCAAAGTAACAGATCCATGAAATTGTTCACAAAAATAAAGAACATACCAGAAATGCACGGTCTTAACACCAATGGGGCTGTTCCATAGACGCTGGAAAGTGCTCTGCGGCTGGGCGGCGGCGGCGGCATCCGAGCTCTGAAAGCGGTACTGAGCACCAAAGCGACGCTGCGCATTGCGGAAAGCCTCACGAGAGTTCTGGAAGAAACGAAGACCGATACGGGAGGACATGTTGAAAGTGAGGAGTGAAGAAGATGGGGAAAGGTGAGGCGAGATGAATGTCGGAACGCGGAGAAGTGGAGATAATTTCTCAACCGAAGACTAGGTTAACAATATAAGGACACACCAGAAAACCAATTCCAGCTCTGGGTAATTAAATCAAAGGAGTGGAGATTGACGGAGGAAAAAGCAAGTGAATCCGAAAAAGTAGGATATATCCTGGGGTCATATATGAAGCCGACCTCGGCGGCACTTTTGGGGTTTGCGGCTCTTTTCCGGCTGAGGTAAGCGGTGACAATCACGCTTGACCGGATTGGTTCAACTGCTCAGACCTCAATTCATCACTTGTTCAGGTCGTTGGTTCACCCCTCCAGTCGTCTCCAATTGATACCCCAGCTCCCTCTTTCTTAAAAGTCTTTGTCGGGGTCCTCCCTTATCCTATCCTTTGGTCACCGCCAATCCCTCTTCAGTGCCATCCCCAACAATGTCCGGCAAGTACGTTTTCACCAAGGGTCTGAAGGAGCTGCGCTTCCTTTTCTGCCAGACTTCAGAGAACAGCGCTAGCACAAGGTAGGCCGGAGGACTCGTTTTCGGTGTATTGAAGGCGTAGGATTAATAAACCTCGCTCAATAGGTCCTTCCTGCAGCGCGCATACCCCACTATGAAGAAGCATAACCCTCACGTCCCCATCCTGATGCGCGAGGCCAGCAATACTGTGCCTAGGGTGTATGCCAGATACGGTATGCTACAACTGTCAAGTCAATAGTAAAAGATGGAGAATGGGCTAATATATGTGTGACTCTTGCAGCATTTGGCAAGGAGTCACTCGAGCCATTGGCCGGTAAGGGACCATCTTCCGCAATCGTCTCAATTCCGCGACTAATATCAGGGCTATACAGGCTTGTCGGATGCACAGATCGAAGAAAAAGTTACCAAACTCGTGAAGGAGTCTTCATAGCGACTTTCCCACACTTCCGTATATGTCCATGCATCGTGTTCAAATCGTCAACCATTGTATCTATAGATGAATTGGAAAATTCAATTTACCTCGTTCGAGCATTCAAAGAAACTCCTGAAATCTCTTCCATTTACACCGTTTAAAATTACAGAGAACTACTACCGTTGGCCACTTGACCGAATCTAAATTGCGCCCAGCTCATGCTTCCCTCACCAAGCGTCCACAGTCTCTTCCCGACATCATCGCCAGCAGCTCCGGCACCAACGTGAATCGGGAGCAGATGGTCAAAAGTCGGGTGCGCCTGTCGCGCATCGGGCCTCTTCAACAGATCCGCCAGGGCTTGTTCTCTCTCCGCTGGGGGAGCTGTGGCCGCTGTCTTCAACGCCTCGTCAAAGCTGACAGTGTACGGCATCGGCCGCTTACTATCCATGCTGAACCACAGATCGCGCAGGTTGTGAACTGCCATTCCGGAAACGATGATGAGAATATTCTCATCGCGGAGACTGGACACGGCCTGCCCGAGCCGGTAATGCTCGATGGGGTCCTCATTCTTGAACAGCGAAACCTGCACGATCGGCACGTTCAGCGGATTCGACTCCGGCTCGAACGCTAATATCCGGTCAGCTTGTTCAATCCGACAACTCAAACATCATCCCTCGCAGGAAACATTAAACATACCACACTTGAAACTCGCCCACACGCCATGATCCAAACCTCTCTTCACACCTTCCGCCTTAATCCCCGCTTTCCCAAGCAGATCAAGCACCTTATTCGCGATCTCCCTACTCCCCACATTGGGATACTTCTCCTCGTAGTAATGACTCGGAAACCCGTAAAAACTAAACATAAAAAAGTCAGCACACCCAACCGTCACCAACCGAAAGAAAATAAAACAAGATATATCCATACTCATAAATCAAATCCGTAACCTCAGCCGTGTTAACCTGAATCGTATCCTTACCCGCCTGCCAATGCGCCGAAAAAACCACCACAGCCTTCGGCTTCACCTTCGTCGTGATCTCCCTGCCAATCTGCCCCAGCTTCTTATACGCCGGGTGATCCGTTTGGTACATGACATTCGGCTGTATCGGTAATCAGCACCGATCTAATCTCTCTCTTTCTACCCGGACATATGAATTGGATCGTAACTTACACCCCCATGACTCAAAAAGTAGATCGGTGTTCGACTCATCTTGTCTCCGGTCTTGTCGCTCGCTGTTTTTAAGACTTCTCTGCTTACCGGGGAAGTGCTTGAGAAGAACCGCTTAAGGCCGAACAGGGTGGCGGTGGGGGAGTTCCGGGGCTCCTCCGTCCTGAGATTGGCGAGGAAGAAAGCAATTGATATTGCGAAGAGGAGAGTGAGGATGGCGAGTGCTGTTAGTGTGGAGGGCTTTTTGGTGGGTTGCTGTTGTTGATTGGTTTGGTTTGGGGTCAGGGTAGGATGGGAGGACATATAGTGGGTTTTTTTCTTAATGGTTTTATATCTTAGTTGGTATAGGAGAGGGCGTGTGTTTTTGTCATCTGTGGTTAACGATGAGTCGATTTTATATACAAATATATATTATATTATAGTCAATGGTTATTATGCAAGCAAGGGAAATTGTCAGCAAGCGGTCATCCGGAAGCGCGGAAGTGCGGAATCAGACCGCACTGGGTTAAATCAATTGCCTTCTAATCCCAGGTGTAGATTGATGAAGAGGATAAGTCAACAGTGGGTATTATTAGTATTAGTATTTCCTTTTTAGAGTCTTTCTGTATGTTCCGGGAGCACAAGTAACAGGGTATACATCATATGGTTTTCATCAAGTCTTCCCATATCCATCCAAAACTAAACCATGTGCAACGTAATATTATTTCCAACTCGGCAGAGGCGTTGATACATCCAGCTTGCCTTGCATGCTTCGTCGACCGTGTGGAAAGATAAAATATAAAAGAAAAGAAAATGTTCATCAAGGAGACATTAGATCTATAACTACCCATCCCCTCATCACATGAGGGTACAGTCGCCTTCGGTCTGCTTCTGTTGTGCGACGTTAGACCGAGAGAGTCGAGCCTTTTGCATTCGAGCTCCGCCCTTTTTGATTTCCTCAAGACGTTCACGAGCTTTAGGGAATCCTTGGGCTGGTGCGGCAAAAGGGGAATAATTAGCAATTGCAAAAAATCCATCAACTGCGTAAGGCACTCACCAGCTGCCCGCCAATACCATCGCTTCGCATCCTCCATGTTGGCGGTGACACCAATCCCGACTTCCGTGTAGTAGCCCATCGCATACTCTGCTTTTGCAAGACTGGAAGTGGCGGCCTTGCGGGCCCAGAGGTAGGCTTCCGTGTCGCTCTGCTGTAAAATCCCCTCCGCGCCAGTCAAATACCATCCACTCAGGGCCAGTTCACTTTGGTGCTCGCCCTGCGCTGCAGCATGGGTATACCAAAAGATACTCTGCCGGGGGTCAACCGGACACCCCATCATCCCATGCTCATAGGCGGTGCCTAGGCGGAACTGGGAGAATTTATACCCTAGCTCGGCAGCTTGATGGAATAGTTGACTAGCATACGCCTCATCGCGGATGACGACGTCGTTAGGGCCCGCGTTAGCATACATTAGGGCGAGCTCATGCAGAGCGTGTGGGTTTTCGGCATCAGCCCGTTCCGCGGCACGCTTCAACCATGAGATACCATCGCGAGGGCTCTTCGCCTGACCGAGAAGCCCCTTGAGCATGATCATGCCCATCTTATACATTGCTGGCGGATCACCCAAGGATGCAGCATGCCTATACCAGTATACAGCCTTGAAAGGATCCCGCTTGGTGCCGCCGCCGTCTTCCGCGCCAATTTCGCAGCACACGGCTGTTCGGTAGGCTGACTGGGCATGTCCTTTCTTGGCAGCGGTTTGGTACAAGTGGAAAGCTTCTTTGTGATCAACCGGAAGGCCCAGTAGCCCTTGGCCGTAGCAATCCGCCAAAAAGAACTGCGCGTCCGGGTACCCGCTAGACACCAACTTTTTGACGATTTTGTACGCATCTGCCGTATACTTCTCCTTCGCTTTCGCCTTAGACTTAGGATCCAATCGACTGCTCTCAACCAGAACCACCGAGGCCTCGGCCAGTTTCTGGGCGAGTAACAGTTGTGTCTTCTGGTCCGAAGGATTGCTCTTGGCCACGCGCTGCAATTGTTGAAGTTCTTCTTGCGTGACTGGCCCGGGGGATGAGTCGGCCGGAGGGCCTTGTGGGGCAACAGCAGGAGGCGGTGGGGAGTCAACTCCGCCGTTATACTGTCGTACAGGTGCTGGTTTGCTACCTTGGTCATGTCCCGGTCGGAAAGGCACCGGATGATGGGGGAGAGCATCAGGATTCTGTTCGGGATCTACGGGCTCTACCTGGGTGGCCATTGGTGGCGGCGGTTCGTTCGTATATGCAGGCTGGTTGGCCCGATAAGGGCGAGGAGGGCCGTTGCTGCGAATAGAACCCTCACGACTCGCGTAGCCGGGCTGTTCATCAGGATATGCGTTCATTTGTGAACCCCAGCTTCCATGTTGTTGTTGTTGTTGTTGCTGCTGCTGCTGCTGCTGCTGTTGGTGGTGCTGGGTCTGCATTGAGTCTTCGTATCCGAACCCGTAATCTATCCCATCCTGGTGCTGCGCAGCGGGCGCGGACGCAGGAATGTCAAAGTGAAATCCAGCATTTTCGAATTGGTTTGGTACACCCCCTGGTCTCATATCCGGCTGAGACTGGGCATGGTGGACTTCAGTAGGCTGTGGCTTGAATGCTGCGTAATGGCCTTGAGGAGCAGAAGGAGCAGGTGTTTTCGGTTTCGGTTGCTCTAATCCCGGTAAGCTTTCGTCAATTGCCCCGCCATAGCCGTCCTCCGGTATGGCGTCAAAATTGGGCATGTCAGGTTCGCCTGCGTGGGCCGAGCTATAATAACTATCCAGTAATGCCTCGATATGAAGAGACTTGTGCGCGTTGGCTTTTGCCGGATATGCAGGGTCTTGGTATGTCGCCTGTCCAGGGTACATTGGTTTACCCACGGGTGGTGCTATTGGCGGCGCAGCTGTAACGGGCATGGTTGCGCTTCTATTGACATGAGGTATCGGCGGTGGTCCGCTAGGGTCGGTATATGACCGCTCGCTCCGTTCGCTGCGATCCGATCGCCCAGTCGAGGGACGCCCTTGGCTGGCAGACCTAATGGGGCCAGCAGGGTAGTCTCCTCTACCCCGGCCAGCAGACCCAGGGCGCGGCTGTCGAGGCATGTCCTGTCGTCGCCCATGCGACGTATGCGGACGGTCGGGGACCGTTACGGGCGACATTGGGCTATTGAGATCCATCCTCGCCATGCCAGTGTCAATTCCTGTTGAGCCAGCCCGGCTACGTGGCTCCTGCAAGGGGAATGCCGGGAATGGGTTGTCCCATGCACTCGAGGAAGGCGGTGCTGGATTAATGATCAGTACTTGATCTCTAAGGATCCGTTTCGCCACGTGATTTTACTCACGAGGCCTTGAACGATCTTGTCGCGATGGCGCCCTCCTATTGCCATAACCGCGAGAACCATCGTATCCATTCGGCGGTGGGCGACCCCCTGGCGCATACCCACGGTCCGGTCGTGACTCCATGGGAGGGCCATAGCCTCCGCGAGGCGTGCGCGGAGCACCTCGTGGGGGTCCGTATGATCTGGGGACCGCTTGGTCACCTGGATAGCCATATCGCGCTTCCTCGTAGCCTCCATTCACCGGTGGGTAAGCATGGTCATAACCGTAATCGTATCCCGGGTCAAAATACCCGTCTTGGGGCGGACCCGCGGGCCGAGAAGGACGAGGGCCGTAGTTTCTCACGGGCGGAGGCCTCTGCGCTGGGCGTTGAGGGTAAGCCATGACAAAGCTAGCTTCGGTTCCGGATCTAGTTGTCGTTCAATGAAGAGAGGCGGGGTTTAGTTTTCGTTATCCGCCAGGGCATCAATTAGATCGTTATTGCGAGTCTGTATGGCGCGCCTCCGGTTCTCGTCTAGTGCGTCTCTAACCAGAGGTCAGCTGGTGTTGAGAAGCCAAGTAGCAACACCCCAAAGGGGTGCGCGACGAGGTAGAAGCTTACTGGAACCACGCGACAGTATAAGAATGAACAGCGGCCCCTCGAGTCGAACAAACGCAGCAGAAGTATGTGATTATAAACCAATCAACGGGCCTGGAACAGGAAAGACATTGTCAGCGGACAATCTTTGGCGCGGAGGGCCTGAAAGCCGAGGGCACGATTGGAGCGTCAATGCGCCTGGACAAACTAACGTGTATTCAGAACTAAGGGATACTTTTCCAAAGGAATGAAGGAGACGCAAAGGAAGAATAAACCAAAACTAAAAACCAGAAATGACAGAACAGTAGTGGTCTTGTGGAAAAGAATGTGTGACCACCGGAGGGAAACGAGGGTGAGATTTATTGAGGGAGGGTGATTTGGAGATGAATGACTGAATGGATTTGAAATGTCCGGATGGAGCCGTAGGGTCAGGTAATGGAAAACTTACTAGTCGGTAATTTTGGGTTGAATCCTCAGGGACTTTGGAAGCGCGCAGGTACCCACGAATAAGAATTCTCGATGCAAAAGATTATCATTGCCCAAAAGGGAAAAAGAGAGAAAAGGAAAATTTACAAACAATCAAACATTCACAGGGTCAATAGGGCTTTAAATGAACTACCCTTTTCTTTTTTCACTGCCTAAATCTTTTCCATGCACGGGTGACTTACAGTAAAATGACAAACAGTGGTTCTTTTTTTTTTCTTCTTCTTCTTGACCCACCCAACTGTCCCGCAATAATTGTCTGGTGTTTGATATCATTGCGGAATGGGGAGTGCCTGACATCGCCCCCTAAACCGTACTGAGTAAAGCCTTTTTCCAAAGGGGGGGGGGTTCCCAAGAATTCTTTCCCCTGTATACTAGTGGTGGGGAAGTGGATCTCATGAAGTAATAAATCCCATGAACACAAATATAGTTTACGGAAAAATAAGAAGAAAAAGACGGGAAAAGAAGAAGAAAAAAGTTCTTATTGACTTCAACTTTGGGAAAGACTATTTTCCACGACCATCACGGATATCATGTACTATTTTTCTAGAGTACAGTTACTGTACTATTTTGCAACAACAACCCTTTGGTCTATGAAAAGTGGAGTCCTACAGAACCACTTATGTATCTACAATTTACCGCTTCCCTTTCCACCTCTTGGCAGGTCCGACAATTTCCCTCTCCAATAGTTCTCCTGTGGGTGCAAGGATAACCCCCGGGGCAAACCATGGGCGCTTACTTGACGTCCGAATAACCTTGTCCTAATAATAGATTTTTCTTTCTTTGATGTGAGGAAGAGAAAAATTAATGTACCAACAAACAGACGATGAATCAATCGCCTGAAACTATTGGCAACTAGATGATGTAATAAATGCCCCAAGTGACATAGGGTTGTCGTCTAATATATTCTACACGTCTAATATATTCTACACCCTCTATTAGCTAATTTATACCTAGTGACACTGTCAATTGACCTGCGATCAATACGGACTAGTCCCATGTACTCTAGATAGATAGTAGGCATTAGCTGCATTGTACATTGCTCGTAGTGATTGTATATCCGAGGCTTGCCCTCTTTGGGCAATTTACAGGTGGTACGAGTACGAAACGAAGTAGAAATCATACAAATAAAGTAAAGAGTCCTTCCATTTCGAAACGCAGGGGATTATTTCCGGTGTTGATCAAGCAGAATGATTCGACTGTGCCTTGTCTTCTCCAACTTTCTCTAGCAATCGCTCCACAATATGGCATTGAATTGATCATCTCGTGTTGCTGCGCTACTCCTTACATACTTACATTCTACCCCTAGACCTGATTACAACGGTTGCATAAGATCTGATATGTGCTTTGAATCGAACACGCCCCTTGCGACCGGGAAACCTCCTCCAATCCAATCATGATACAAACAACACGATATGTAGTCAACCACGGGAGTCAAAAGCCAGCGCGTGATCCAAAACATCACCGATCAACAAATGCCTCAACCGAACATACTATCGGGACTAAGACAGTCTCCGAGAGTCTCGGAGAATGGAGATTCCCCCAAACAGTATGGACTCCAGAAACTAGCATGGGTAGTAGTCGTTAATACTAGAAACCGTTGACCTAGTGTCAGAACAAGTGGAGCAATGTCTTTTTCTGTGTTCTGTAGGTTTGCATCGTTTGCGGGATATACTGCGCCACCCTCGCCTCAAACACCTCAGCCACATACCCTCCCGGTCCCATCGGTTCATCAGGTGGCCGACCCCGATGATGCTATTCGTTTCACCCAATTATGCGCCGCGTATTATTTCTCCCCGACTGTGCATCACTTGGGCGTGGATCTATCTACCACACACACACAGTGGGCTCTTGCTTCTCTAGTAGAGTCTAATTGATACATTCCTGACATCATTGTCTCGGCAACTACATCCGATTTTCAAACTGCGCACCTGCTCGGCACCGTCACCATGTCCAAAGCAGGAACCTGGATAAAGATGGTGGTCGTGTAAGACACCTTTTTCTTCCGCTTCCTTCCTTTTCGAATGTGGAGCTAATGGGACCAAATCCAGTGGCGCGGTGATCTGTGTCGGCGGCCCGGCTTTCGTCCAATCGATCCGTCCTACGGACGAGGAATTGTTCAAGCGGTATAACCCCGAACTCCAACGGCGGAGTCTGGAAGAGGGCGATCGTCGCGCGCAGGAGTTCGATGAATATGTGACTCGGTTGAAGCAGTGGTCCAAGTCTGATAAGTCGAGTATGTTCTTGCCTTGACTCTGTTCCTCTCCTCGATACCGGGCGAACTGTTGGGGGGAGATTGTTGAGCTAATGAGGTTGAATAGTTTGGGTTGCGGCTCAGGAACAACAGGAGCAGATGCGGACACAGGCTGCGGCGCAACGGAGTCAGGCGAAGGACGAAGCAAAGGTCCAACGTGAGGAGATGCGCAAGGAGTTGCTGGGTGAGAAATAAACCTCGCTGACCTGCGCGGAAACTGCATGTTCGGATCGAGTGAGATGAGCAATAGTCGGTTGATATTAGGGAATATTGGGTATTGACATTTCTCTTTACCCTGATCTGTATTTATACCCATGGTCACTGGACTTAGGGGGAGAAAAGCTTTGTGCACGAATGATGGGCGAGTTCTTTTTTTCACCGGGAGTTATCGGGCTGGGCGCTTTCTTGTTTGGATGTATAAAAAAATATGGATGAGATGATTGTATAGTATTACCTACAGGTATATTTTGCAGCCCTATTCTATCACCTGTCGACTACGTGATCCAAATCTATAGTCGATTGGAGTACAAGAATGCTCGCTGGATATAAAGGCATACATTGGTATATTGTCAGACCCCTTCAGTACATGACTGTATTTCATGGCTCCGCTCACAGTCTAGGTAGACACAATGCTGATTTTATGTCCTTTGTCTAGAGATTTCTTGTAACCTTGCCTATTGTAAAAGTGTTACTGGACATGAATATCCATTAGTCGGGTGCATTCTCGGTCTGATATGCCCTCTCCCCATTTACTGACTTGACACCTTCTCCGCCAAAGCCTGCCCATTTGATGCATTTTGTCGAGACCCTTTCGTTCCGCAATTGCATCGCATCCCACATCGTAAGCAGGTTCAATATCAACACAATCCGATTCTCATTATAGACTAGAGTCTGACCATTACAGTTACGTGGAACCTACTCGAATGGACGATAGGCGGCAGGATCAGGATACAGGTCGTGTTCTGCGTCAACCAGGAAGCGCTCAGGGAGGAGTTCGTTCACGCGAGGCCAGACCCTTGAATTCAAGTGGACGGCAGGATGCAAGATCGTTGTGCCCACATTCTCCGTCGGGTAAACGTTACCATGTCTATCCGTCAGTGACACCCCGCTACGCCCTTGACGCATTGTAGCTGCGGGAAGGAACAGTCGCAAGGTCTCTTTGATTACGGCGAGCGTATATGAACATTGATCCGAACGAGAAGGCTGTTTCTTGAGGCGGAGCACGGCTGCCGAAGGATCTGCTCCGAAGAGACGATTATGCTCTTCTTGCATCTGTACCATAACCTCGGGGTGCTTGGATAACATGCGATGTACCTTAGACGTTGATGTTGGAGGTTGTATCATACCCGGCGGAGATAAATAGGCTAATCTGATAAGCAGCGTGTTGGACTGAATGTCGTCCAAGTTACTCGTTTCGTGAAATACTCTGGCGATCTGCCAGGTATGCCTCAAGGGCTAGTGCAATAACAGATTTTGCTCGTTTCGAGGTTGAGCGTGGAGAGCTTTGATCTTGTTTCAGTTCGGAGAATCTCCGATCTAGCTCATCCCGGACACACCTATTCATGACATTGCCGTAATATTCCTGAAGAAAAGGCCGGAGAGGGTGTGCCAGAATGCGCGGATCCTAGAATGAATGCCATGTAGTGATCGTATTGAGAGCGGTTACAATCTCATTGTCTGAGCGCTGATAGTCGAGGTCCATGTCGCTGTGCTCGTGTTAGTACAGAAGCTATGCCTAGGGGTCGAGGAGACTTACAGTGTTACTCTCAGAATTATATCCATCGTCAATCGAGTAGTCAGGTCGTCTAGATAGGACAGCCCCGATCCCACTTTCTCGCGCAGTATATCACAGAAGACTTGGGCTGAATCAACGACTGCCCGTACCAGATCCATCATACTTCCAGTACAGGATTCTGGATTGAATATTGACCTCAAAGTCTTCCACTAGCTATCGTTCTTAGATACCAGGTTTGATCCACCAGCAATCGGATACATGAACTTAGAATACATATCAATTCTGGGGAGATTATACTTGGTAGAGATCTACACAGCAGCTTCCGGATTGTAGACGATATACAATTAAGGATAAACTAGCCAGAAGTCCATGAAGAATATCTCTGTGTGAGCGAATTCCATGGCCAGCTCCCGCATCGCAATATTGACATTGGCATCCGGAGGCAGAGGATCAACATATTTCAGGAGCACCAGGAGGTGACCAGTAAGCCAGTTCCATTCCTTTGGCATGAGCTAAGAGAAATTTGAGTAGTAATTATCTCCAATGGCTACTATATACTTACAAAGCCCTGCTTCCGGACCTGATTGATCTTGGAGCGATGTTGGTAGCCGACATAGAAGCAGTACCCGAGAGCGGTTAGAAAGGAATACTGACAGTGACAAGGATGTTGACGAGAGTCATGATAGATGTATAACTGGGCCCAATAGCTCATATTGACAGGGAATAAGCTTCTTGGTGATTTTCAGGCTACACGTCACGTGCGTGAGATGCAGTTATTCCATGTTTCACTCAAGATATATATTAACAAGAATTCCAATTAAACTTGGCTGCTATTTTTTGGTCGTCACCTTTACAGTCACTAGAAGCGCTACTCCGAGTGCAGGGTGAGATGTACTCGATGTTGATTGTTATATTGATATAAAACTACAGAGTACAATGCTCTCATAGTGTTTTGGTTCAAGGAACAAAAGCCCAGGGTTCAGTATGATTCCTGTCAAAGCGTGCAGAAATAGTGCTAATGTGTGCATTCAATCAAGGGAGTCTAGAACTTTTGTCTGCTTTATATTTCTCTAATTCCTTTACTCACTTCGCTTAGTGTGCCGTCCAGCGCTTCCACACGACGAACTCTTCTGAACAGAACACAACTTCGAGATTTTAGATATAGATGACAGAACTCCACCTTCTACTCTGGCCTAGGTTGTAAATTGTTGCGGTGGTGAATATGTATGTATATCATGATAGTGTCTTGCCCCTAACTAGCTAACGCTGGGGTGTGATTAAATTCACTTCTCTATTTAGTTCTAGATGATTTGTCTTCAATGGCTTTACGTCTCCGCTAAGAATAACTATTAAATAAACTTGACCTTACTTAGGCCAAGGCATTATGGTCACACTGCATATGTGCATGTATGATCTCCAGATCGGGAGGGTAAAAAACCTATAGATTGAAGGCTTTACTAATGTCTATCTATTCATGCAAGGGGTTACTTTATAACTTCTATAAGGACCAATTAATGTAACTAATGACTCTTTTCTGTTTGGAATGTATATATGCCACCTTTGGATATGAGAAGTCATATGCCTTGTAGCTCATTAAGTCTTGCCGACATGCATGAGACCCGACCCCGTGGCAGTATTTGGATTCTCTTCTTTCGCTCGTCTATGTTGGGATAGGATGAGCTAGTGCTTCCCATGCTTACTCGATACCTTTTCTAATGCTGTTGTGTTGTTGCTATCAGAAAATGAAATTTTATAGTATATGTTCGGGTTCATACAGGGCTGGGATAGTCGCTATAAGTATTGCTCTGTCCGACCCGGTTTCTTCACCCTAAGATAGCATTAGCTTCCAAAAGATTAAAAGAAAGTTTCCAATGGCTTTATCAACTACAGCCCAGCTAGATATGTATAACACTGCACACTTAATACACATAGCGAAAATCCTTATTTTGTTTGTCGGTCAAACCACCCCATGCCTTCTCATCCGTGATAACCTCTTGTCCTTCCTGGGCTGTCTGTGCGCTGTCCCTCCGCTTGTTTTCCCATAAGTAGTAGCCAAAGAGAACGACAGATAATACTCCTGCAACTGCTTGAGTCACAAGGACTGCAATCTTAGCCGGTCGGTATTCAGGCGCATCCCTTGCCTGGAAAGTCTGCGGTCCTATGATATTGCCCACACAGAAGAACCCGGCCACTGCAGCACTCGTAAATGCGCGTTTTGTGTACCCTGCACAGTTTGCGGCCATCCAGTGATAGATGACTGGCATGGGAGCAACAATGGAATTGACCAGGTAGATTCCAATCAGGACTCCGGCTCGGTTACTCTTCGGGAGGAAAGACATGAGACCGCCGCCGATAATTCCCGGAATACTGCAGATGAACACCCAGGCCCATCGGTTCGAGGCTTTGCGGATGCCAATACCTACCAATATGGTAAAGAAGATACTAACAATTCCAGAAGGGGTGTTTAGAAGGGCTGAGATGGGCCCGCCAAAGCCGAAGCCAGCTATAAGCGTAGACGAATACACAACCACCACCCCGCTAGAAACCGCTTGCTATAGCATCAGTGTTAACCTTTTTCCCCCCCTTCTTTTTGGGAAAAGGACACGTCTATCCTGGAAAAGAAAAATAAGCAAACAGAAGATAAACAAGCTTACCAAAGCAACCATTAAAGCCCACAGCCACACCTGAGGGTCAAGAACCGCCTCCAGTATTTGTTTGGGGTCGAATTTGTCATTACGGATGCCTGTCTGGTTCACACGGACGTGTTGGAGGAGTGTCACCTTCTGATCATCTGATAGCCACTTTGCTTGCATTGGGGTATCCGGAAGCAAAACCCATACAGAAATGCCTACAGCAACGGTTATCAGCCCCATGACAAGGAACATAATACGCCAGCTGGCAAATGTATGGTGTACATGTTGGAAGCCAAAGGAAATCAATCCACCAATGATCTGTGCTACCCCCAGGCCCATAAACCAAAATGTAAATCTGGGGGCTTGCTCAGATTTTGTATAGTATTGGCTACTGATGAGCATTAGAGACGGCCCTACGGGGGCTTCAAAAGCCCCAAGGAAGATACGCGCGACGAGTAAAGTTGTATAGTCCTTCGCGCCTGCTGCCGCAGCTGCAGCAACGCCCCAGAGGATGACATTAATGCTCAGCCACTTTGCGGGTGGAACCTTTTGGAGAAGATATACTAGGGCTTCGATGAGCTTTTCATGTGGATAGAAGGATAGGGAGATGCTTACTGTTCGGAACTTCAGCCACCAAAGACGCAATAAAGAAGGCACTTGCACCGTTGCTAAAGTTGTTTCCCTTCAAATCCAGGTCTGCCTTCATTCCCATGACTCCCGCATACTTTGTACCGCAAGATTAGCTACGCCCGGATACAGGTCAGGGACACTTACATTATACATTACTTTATCAATAAATTGTAGGAAGTAACAGCAAAACATGAAGGGTAAAATACGCCGATCAATCTTATGTCGAATTGCGACCAGGTCCAAACCAGGGTTCTGGTTATTCCCATGTTTATCCAAGAAATTCCAGGCATCATCCAGTGGTTGAACCGATGTATTTTGAGCATCTGAACCTATTTGGTTGCTGTTTTCCTCCGGCATCTTCTCCATGGTTGGTTTTTTTTTTCTTTCTGAGGGGCGAAGTGGCTCAAGCAAGGTAAGAATACATGCTGATAAACGGAGAATAACAATACAAAAAGGTGTTCGGATGGGGGGAATGTACACAAGAATGTAAGGTGAGACGAGAGAAGGAGGGGTAGGAAGAGGAAACGAAAGAGGCACCGATCATCTCAGGGCATACTTAATTTTTTGGATGTAACCTCTGCAGCAAACAAAAGTTAAAAAGATGGACGTAAAGGTCGTATTTCCAATGCACATCTTTGACCCTTATCCATAACCTCAATTCTAGGTCACAGTGAAGAGCATTAGACTATCTTGGCCTCGTCTAGAGTTTCATGTTCCACTAATGCCATGTAAGCCCTAAAGTACTTCTATGTTACATTACAGGCGACTTGGCTCGTATGATGGGCCACCACGATTGGGGGTACCAAGATTCTTGCCGGTTAAAAATCATATATACGAGGCTTCCGATCATATCATTCTGATGCCACTGTGGCAATAGTGGCTTTAGAAACCGTTTACCACTGGTGTATTGATCGATATGATACCCATCACAAACTGGTGTTTCAACCAGTGCTTATTGGAGGCTACAGCTCATGCTTGGCTACAGGTCGACATGTTTCTATAACCACTATTATCCGCCAAATTGCAGAGTGACACGTCGTGATAATATATCTAACACATGCAGGAAATCTATAATATATTCTTACTCTGGTTACATTCTCTTCCTCGAGGTTTCAGAGCAAGGGCGTTCGTATAGGGGCTCTGCCGCAAATGTCCATGACAACAGTTTATATGCCAATCCTCTAGTCATATTGCGGTGGCATAATTTCCTCTCTGCACTACTCATGTTGATGTATCAAACATAGATTCATCATGTGCAAACTACAAATACTAGATCAAATGCGCAGGTGCATCTTATTTCCTAGCAATGCCTATTAGAAAAGGTCCAAGGATCTTCAACCCTGCCCTAGCAGGATTGATGCTAGTCATGGTATCATGTTACTATATCTATTCAAATATTATGTACATCTACATTCTGATAGAATATTCGTCTGCTCCCTGACTCCATTATCTAGTAGGTGGGAAGGAAGAAAATCAACTGTTGCTCTGATACTTAGTAAAAGTACCCTAACGGTTTCTTTAAGTCCAGGCTGGGTCCACATCGCCTAGCACATCAAGTAGCAGCTAAATTGAAAATTAGCATATTTTGCCCACGCTTAAACCGCTATAACTAGTTCCTCTCTGATCAATCATGCGGGAAGTAGAGCCATGTCTTAAACAGAGCAAGCGTAGGCCCGCATTTATACAGTCTGTAGCCTAGGCCAGGTATTAAGTAGTAAGGATATATACTTAGCGTATTGCTTTTCAAAATGAATCATTACTCCTCTATATCAAGCCCTAGGAGGTGTACCGGAAATCGGGTTATGGGATATCCTGAACGGGCTGTAATACCATATTTAACTTCTATTGTTTAATTCCGCACAGAGCTTCTATTTTGATAAGCTGATCTACCTTTTCTGACAACTTTGAGTAATCCTGCTTTGTAAACCACGCTGAGAAATACAGATATCCTCCATGCGATAGGCTGTCGATGTCGTGATTAAAACCTCAACTTCACTCATCCGCGAAAGCATTTGTCATCACGAGGCTGTTGATTATGTATAAAGTCCACAAACATAATGCCATCAGTCTACTTTCAATATCTTATAACTGTTCCCGCTGATACTACCCTCCCAATCCATATCCATAACCGCAGTGTAGGGGACAATGCCAGAAAAACAACTACATCTGACCGCATTTATGCGGCCGGTCAGTTTACATACCGGTGCATGGCGGTATCCTGGCGCTTATCCAGATGCCAACTTCAATCTCGCCCATCTCAAGTCCTTCATCAAGAAGCTGGAGGAGGCCAAGTTTGACGCTTTCTTCATGGCCGATCACCTCGCCGTGCTCAACATGCCGGTCGAGGCACTGAAGCGCAGCCACACGGTGACATCGTTCGAACCGTTCACTCTATTATCGGCACTATCGGTGGTTACAGAGAAGATTGGGCTTGCAGCAACGGCATCCACGACATACGACGAGCCCTACCATATCGCGCGTCGGTTCGCCTCGCTCGATCATATTAGCAACGGTCGCGCGGCTTGGAACATTGTTACCACTGGTAACCCAGAGTCTGCGAAGAACTTTGGCTTAGATGCGCATGTGGAACACGGTGATCGCTACAAGCGAGCGCGGGAGTTCTACGATGTTGTCACCGGATTGTGGGACAGTTTCGCAGATGATGCCTTCGTCCGCGATCCAGAGAGCGGTATCTACTTTGACCCGGAGAAGATGCATGTCCTCGACCACAAGGGCGATGATCTAAAGGTGAGAGGACCGCTGAATATTGCGCGGCCAGTCCAGGGATGGCCTGTGATTGTTCAAGCCGGTCAGTCCGAGCCTGGGAAACAGTTAGCGGGCGAAACAGCTGAGGCGGTTTTCTGCTCGCCGCGAGACATCCAGTCTGCAAAGGCGCTGTATGCGGATATCAAGGGCCGTGCGGTCGCGGCTGGTCGTGACCGTAACCATCTCAAGATCCTACCGGCGGCTTTCATCGTTGTTGGTGATACGGTGGAAGAAGCCAGAGCCAAGCGCCTCAAGCTCGACAGTCTAGTTCATTACGATAGCGCCATTGCTTCTTTGTCTATTGTGCTAGGAACTGATGTGTCCGGCTTCGATCCGGATGGCCCATTGCCAACTGAACTTCCGGAAACTAATGCGAGCAAGACTACCCGTGCAGGGGCGATAAAGCTTGCTGAAGATGAGAAGCTGACCGTTCGGCAGCTTGCGCAGCGGTATGGTGGTTATTCGGGGCTTGCCTTCGTCGGTACGCCTGAATCAATCGCAGATGAAATGGGTACCTGGCTGGCCGAGGAGGCTTCTGATGGCTTCACCGTTGTATTCCCATTTCTACCACAGGGGTTGGACGATGTTGTCCAACGGGTGGTGCCTGAATTGCAGCGTCGTGGCATTTTCCGTCTGGATTACGAAGGGACAACTTTGAGGGAACATCTGGGTCTTCCACGTCCGAATAATCGCTTTTTTACATAGGGAACCTTGTCCTAATTTATTCAAGGGCTTACGATGGTGTATCAGAGCAATTAGGTCCTGAGTCCTTCCCACGCTTTCCATGAGGATTTTAGTTGAATACAAATTCTACTCACCCCATATTTTAAACTACTGATCATCTAGTCTGTTTCACTTTTCTCCCTCGTGCCTTTACTACTATACAGGCTGTTGGGCACTTTTGTTCTCATGTTTCTATCACCTAGAACACTAGAGGCTTATCATAAGGGTAGTACTGGTGCTTAAGCATGGTGGGGATGTATGGCAGCTAGTTCAGCTTTTTATCCCATATAATTAGGCAGTATAAGTGTCCATACTGGTATTATGTATAGTTTGCTGCTTACACGATAACCCTACCTAATATCCAAAAGTGAAAGCATTCACAGACTGACACTAGAACAATAACAACAATTCCTAAACTTCTATTTTATGAACACCTTCCATTATTCACTTGCTCAAAGACAATCTGCCCAACTTTGGAGTCGTCTTTCCTACCATCTCCTCCCCGAGCGCCTTCCTTTCTTTGCCCACCACAGGTTCGCTATCTTTACCTCACCATGGGGTCAAAGAAAACTAACAAGAAGTCTGGGTATGTTCCCCAAACCAATGCCCTGATAACACAGACAGATAGAAACTTTTTCTATTCATTATTAGCCGCCTCTCTTCATACAGACTCTCATATCCTATCTCCATGCCACTGTCCCTACCATTCTCGCTATCACTATCACCATCATCATGTTTCTCTTACAACTTATTACTGCTATCATAGCTTTCTTTTTCGGTCTGACTTTTCACAGGCTTTACAGCGCCGCCATAGAAAAGAGGATCAACGAGGACTCTAAAAAGAAACGCCCCACCCCTTCCCCTGGCCCTGAACCCTCTGGCTCCAACAAGGCCAAATGCGAACGTAAGGGCGACGACGACGAAGAGGTCTTCACCATGGATGACTTCCCGACTGAGGTCCTGTTGAAAGCACATTACATGGCCACAAAGCAATCTTCTCTTGACCGACCCTTAGGTATGTTCGAGAGCGATGTCACTTTGGCAGCATCAATTCGAGCCCATGCTGGCGCGGTAAGCACTCAACCGTCCATATCTGGTTTTGTTGCCCCTCTCTGACCCATCCCATAGAACCCCCCCGCTTCTGATAGAGAAAACTTTGCAGGAACACCTCTCTCGAACGACGCCATCTCCAACATCCTCAAAGAGGTTAAGCCCGACTGCAACAAAGCTCAGGCGTGGATTAAGGCACATGAAGCTAGCAAGGCGGCCAAAGAGCGTGCTAAGGCGAAGTTGGAGGGCCGTGAAGACCTCAGAAAGAGGGCTGTTCGTCTATCGTATGATAGAGCCCGCCAGACGGCTAGCCAGTCCAATGCACCCAGACATGAGGCCGGAGATCTAGCCCCAGTCGCAGTTCCAGAGGTGTCCGAGGGCCGTACCGTTAACGAAGAACTGGAGGAATCGAGGGTTGTGTACAACAGGGTTAGTCTTGCACACGATAGACTCCTGAAGACTATCTCCGACATCGAGGAATTCAGAAAGGCCGTGCCGCAATGATTTCCTGTATGTAGCGTTCGCAACTGGTTGCTATGTGCTGCATCGCTTCCTTCAACCTGACTGAGCCTGAAAGTGCCCTGGCTTGGTTTGGCATTTGCAGCGCGATATGGAACAGGCCGGCAGGCATACATCCTTGTCTTCTTTGCTTCTCTTTCTTCCATTATAACGAGACACGGTGGATGAACGCTACCGTTGTTATTGCTCAATGTGAGAACTGTACCATAGAGTCTAGCTTCACCGATCTCAGAATTTTCTTGTTAGATGCTTTATGTTTTCTTGTTCTTGCTGACACCCTTGACTTTGTCCGGACTTTCTAGCTTATCTACTAGCGGTCGGTACGGCGATGCAAGAACATGCTCCTGCGGCCGCAGCGTAGGCTCCTCGCGTCTAAGCTCCCCGGGAGACGGGCGTCGGCGTTGGTCCTCGTGCATCTTGTCCAGCGGGTCGCCCACGACCTGATACTTGTTCCAGTTGATCGGAGGCATGCGCACCACATTCTGAGGTGTAGGTATTTTCCCCAGACCCGGCCCAGTTCCCCCCCTCAGATCCTCCCTTTCACCATCACCCTCGTCCTCGTCCTCGTCCTCGTCCTCATGCGTGAAATTCACGAATCCTCCGGGGTCCTTCGCCGTTAAATTCCCCGCCGCCAATTCATGCGCAAAGCCCTCTGGATCCGCCGCCGCCGCTTTTTTCAACCTCTCCAGCGTCCGGATATCGCGCAGACTCTGCTGTTTCTGGAGCTGGAGGATCGAGATGGTGGACCGCAGGGCGATTGCATCGGGATTCTCGCTTTCCGAGATCGGCACGGCAGCCGGCTCCGGCGCGAAGACGGCCGGTGCGATGGCAGAGGTCGTTGCGCCGCCAGCGAGACTTGTTGGCGACGGCGATGTTGCTGGGGGTACGATGGGATGTGATAGCGCACCGTTGAACGTGGAGGCGTTCTGGGCTGGGGCAATATGGGCGAAGACCGGAGTTACTGGGGAATAAGGCGGGCGCGGTGGAGTCCCTGGTCGATCATTTGGAATCCTTTCGTTGTCTTGAGTTGGTTGCATGATATCTAATTCATAAGTGTGGAGTGGTGTAATATTTGTGGGATGTCCTGGGTTTTTTTTGAGTTCTCTGAGATGTACAGTTGGAAAATGTTGATGGTGTGGGTGAATCACTGATTATTCCAATCTTGTTGTTTGGCTTTTTGCTTTAAAATGCTAGCGGGTAAATGACGTCTTCTCTTGCTTTCCGTCAATTGTTTTCTTTTCTTCTTCTTCCCACCTCACAAAACCAGGTACCAGATGATAATACATTCATGTTTAAGAAATTGGACCATATCTTATTTTCATATATGCCTCTTTTCTTTTATTGTTTTAAATTGGAAAGTATATGTTCCTAAATATCATAGGGTGAGCAGTACTGTCGACTCTTAAAATACACCAAATTCAGTAGAACAACAATAAGTGAGAGAAAGATGAATAGATATCATAAGAAAGAGGACCATGTTTCTCTCTTTTGAAGATTCTTCTCCATTCTAGGTAATTTATTGGCTCTAGAATATGGCCTGATTTGTGGCCTGATCGCTGCCTTTAAACGTCTCTCACCGCCCAAAAAAAAATTAAAAAAATAAAAAAAAGAGCAAAAAGTGCCATCCAAAAACCCAATCAATCTAGTACTCTGCCGTCTCTCCCAATTTTCTCTTCTTCCTAATTCCCTCGCATCTCTGACAAAATGAAGCGCAAGACCGGAGGAAGAGAATCGCTGGACTCCAAAGACCAGCCAGATTCCAAAAGACGGGCATTGACGAGCGAAGAAGTCGCCGCGCGCTTCCGTGACGGCCTCTTTGACCCCTCGGAGCAGCAGAAGTATACCGAGCAATACGCCCAGTCCGCACCGTACGTCGACATCTGAATTCCGCAACCCACGTCGAAAAGACAGAATGCTGATTATCACTCAAGGTACAAACATGCGGTCATCCATCCTCTGATCGAAGACTCCTTGCTGCGCGCCGTCCGCGACGAAATCCGGGAACATTTGGACTTCACCGAGAAAGAGACGGATATCTACAAGATCTTCCAGTCGGGAGATCTGGCCAACTTGGACGGATTGGACGATACCTCTCTGTCGCGTCTACCCTCGCTACTGAAACTCCGCGATGCGATATACTCCGCCCGCTTTCGCGAGTACCTGTCCTCCGTGACTGGCTCGGGGAAGCTGAGTGGTCGCAAGACCGATATGGCTATCAACATCTACAACGAGGGGTGTCATCTTTTGTGTCACGACGATGTAATTGGAAGCAGACGCATCAGCTACATCCTGTATATGACCGATCCCGACACCCCCTGGCAGGCGGAATGGGGTGGTGCACTGCGCCTGTACCCCACAACCACGAAGAAGGATGCAGAGGGTGAGGACGTCAAGATTCCCAGTCCTGACTTCAGCCTTAGCATCCCGCCTGCCTTTAACCAGCTGAGCTTCTTTACCGTTCAGCCTGGTGAGAGTTTCCATGACGTCGAGGAGGTGTACCATTTCAAAGAAGGCGATGACACCTCGAAGAAGCGGGTGCGCATGGCCATTAGCGGATGGTTCCACATCCCGCAGAAGGGAGAGGATGGCTACGAAGAGGGCCTAGAGGAGAAGCTGGCAGAGCGGAGCAGTCTTGCCCAGCTTCAGGGTCGCGGTGATATCTACGACCTCCCGCAGCCTAAGACCGTCGAGTACGAGAACGAGCCAGAGAAGGAGACCGAGGGCAAGGGTAAAGGCAAAGTGGAGGAGCAACCGAATGACACCGAATTTACAGAGTCCGATCTCAACTTCCTGATTCAATACATTGCACCGTCATATCTCACCCCGGATATCGCGGAGGAGATGTCAGAGACCTTCTCCAACGAGTCATCGCTCAACTTGGAACAGTTCCTGTCAGACAAGTTTTCCGCCCGTGTGCGAGAATATATCGAGGAGCAGGAGAAGAAAGAACTTCCCCAATCGTCGGATGAGATTCAGGCCCAGACCGGGTGGACAGTTGCCCGCCCCCCTCACAAGCAGCGCTACATGTTCTTGCAGCATTCGACAGCGACCCAAGACGAGAAGAGCCCCCTCCAGGAGCTGCTTAACGATGTCTTCCCGTCGCCAGCGTTCCGGAAATGGCTCACCGCTATCACCGGTGCGGATCGCCTCACGAGCTACGATTTTATGGCACGGCGCTTCCGCCGTGGACAAGACTACACTCTGGCCAGCGGTTACGATGGTGAAGAGCCGCGATTAGAGTTTACGCTTAGTCTGACTCCTACTCCAGGATGGGAGAGGGGGGGTGACGAGGAGGAAGAGGATGACAATGAACAAGAGGGTGAAAATGCCGAGTCCGAGTCCGCGCCGAAGCCAAATTCCGAGCCAAAGTCCGAAAATGACACCGAGGGACCCGCCGTGGGTGGTTACGAGATCTACATGGCTGGGGACGACGAGGAGGAGGGCGATGCAGCCATCTACCGTTCTGCCGCGGCAGATGAAGACGACGGCATCCTTTTCAGCACTTCCGCCGGCTGGAACCGACTGAGTATTGTCCTGCGTGACAGTGGCACCCTCAAGTTCGTCAAATACGTCAGTGCCGCCGCCCAGGGAGACCGGTGGGATGTCACCGGTGAGATGGGTGTGGAGTTTAATGACGATGACAATGATGAGGATGAGGATGAGGATGAGATGGATGCTGATGAGCAATAAAAATTTCATTTCCTTGAGTTAATTTTCACCTGAATGTTTTGTATATACAATGACTTTTACTATTTTCACGAACCAAGCATCGGGCACCACCCAAATGACAAAAATAGATTGAGTGTTTCATTTGCACTGTACCTGGATAATTGTTGCCTACGGATATCAACAGGCAACGACAGTCCTTGATCACACGTGTGGCAATTTCTGTGCGTAGGGTTACAACAACAGCTGAAGTGGCTTAGCCAGAAACATGTTCAAGTACACAGCCACCATTTCAGTCCAGCTGAAGGATTTCATTAACCAGGTACAGTATATACTACTAGTAACTAGTGGTAGGCGTCAGCATACTGTCCAGCATCCATACACTAGGTACATACATAGCCCGTTTAGCCGTAGATCTTGGATAAATGTTGTGGTTATTAGTATGGACTGTATTCGGCGATGAGTACTTCGTACGACATGGCAAAATCAATATGGCTCCCTCGATCACAATGTTGTCAGCAGACATACGCTTGTCGAAGAGTGAACGTAGGCTCTGTGAGCTCTACTTATAAGAGGTAATAAGAACCACGTTCCATCAACCAAAGGTTGTGTAGTGTAATGGTTAGCACCCAGGATTCTGATTCCTGTAATCCCGGTTCGATCCCGGGCACGACCTTTCTTCTTTTTTGGTCAAGAGATTCTCTTGCCTCAAAAACAATCCTTTCACTTTCCTTAAGTGATTTTCATTTTCTAGTTCTCCTACCCCTATCCCTCCTCTGCAGCATACCGCTCTATACCCAGGGGGTTGCACAGATACCTGGCATTGTAGCTTCGTAGCTTGATCATGCAGCCGTGACTACTATATCATACTCATGCCTAGAGGTAACCACAGTAGCAAGATCCCCTGTCACAATACTTCTATCCTAGCCACGGTGTGCTTATTAACTATATGCCCTAGAGTTCTCACTAGCTCGTGACAGGGAGAGAACCCATACTTTTGAATATAAGTCGATACGATTGCCTAGCTCACGCATCATAATTGAGTGTACTGCACGAGCACGGGCATATAGTCATCTCATCATATACAGGAGCCCATATCGATCCTGCTTGTACATCCGCCCATACTCTATAATCAATACCCCGACCTGACGCCATGGTATGGCACAGTGTACTCAGTTGTGGCTGACATATAGTCAGCCAGCCACAAATAGCATTGACTTCCACTTCCCATGCACTGATTTAACCCGTTGTGCTTTGATGCTCGTTGCGTCCTTCGCCGGAGAGGAAAAACATGCTACGCCGACTGGTCGAGGGTGCAGTCGAGCAAGGCTTTGCTTTGGTTGCAATTACCCATGGTGCATCTATTGGCTTTGGAGTTCACCTCTATTTGCGATATGTTGTTCCTTTGGTAAGATGTAGCCTTGCTTCATGTCCTATGCCTCTTCATAGTGGAAATTCCTCAGGTGGATTGAGGCACATGGGGAGAATACCATGTGGCTCACGATCAAGACACTATTGTCACGGATAGCGGTTTAGGCAATCAGTGAATGAATGGCAGTCACGTGACCATTTGTCCATAACGGCGACACAACACAATAGCTTCATGTTTCCTTTTCTTTTCCTCTCTTTAGCTTAGTCTCTTGGTGATAGACTACCTAATCAACTATTGATTCAGCTGTGAGTCCCTTACAACTATGATGGTTGGTATCTATAGGGTTTGTCCGGAAGGATTGCCCTACCAGATAATGCTACGTCAAAGTTATGAGCTACCGACCACCAAGAATGAGAGACTGACCCTCCACCGGTACGGACAGTAAGGAGAGACAGGTAACGAGGGGTCGGGTAAAAAAAGTTAAAGGCACAATAACCCAGTAACCAGGTATCATTGTTAACGGATAAAAAGAGAAAAAGGTCGTGCCCGGGATCGAACCGGGATTACAGGAATCAGAATCCTGGGTGCTAACCATTACACTACACAACCGTTGTCGGAATCTAGCGATTTAATTCATGCTCTATCAGGCAATTTTCGGTAACATTGTCTTTCTAGGACATCTTTAAAAATACCGTATATGCATGAATATGGATAATAAGGCTGTCGTAAGTCTTATAGGTATTTGTATTTTCTTTAAATCAAACATTCATAGCTAGGTCATCTCGATATCTTTCAATTGGCTTGTCTGCTGGTTGCCCTTATGCCGTGGCTACTGTGCCACGGAATACATGTGTGCGAATATAATACTGATTTGACTTCTCGACCAACTTCCCCAAAGCCCATGCCGCACGGTCCCAACAGGACGTTAACAAAAACACCGAAGGTATACATACGAATGGCGAACATAAGGGCTACCCAAGAAAATGATTGGCTGCGAGTCAGAAATTCTGATACGGCTAGAAGAAGGGAATACGGACGACTTTGTTCTATATATTTATGACGTATGAGAACTCTCTACATATTACGCGTTAGCGACAGGATCTCTCCGTGGCTGCCCAGATATGGACAACAACTGAAATTTCAGTAGGGTCCTTGCCAATTTTACGGTTGAGATGTCATTTATATATATAAACCTGCTCTCAAGCCCTAGACTGGGTGGCTAACTCATATTACAGTGTTTGCAATAGGGAATAATATTGCACCGCCCCCCTCCCCCAAACCATCGTGACTGGAACCACTAGTCCAGGTACACCAAGAAGGTACACGGGTTGGAGACATTCCTAGATGCAACACCACTCGGGGAGTTAGGTTAGCAACGGCGGCAACGTGGAATTAAGACAAGCACACCCACAAAGCCCCGCACGATTGTCCACTAGAAAAGTCCCAGACCACCCTGACAAACACGGCCGAAAGGGGGTGGTAATTTTCACAGTACTGAAAGCTTAGACGGTGAGGAGATTGACTTTAAAAGGCAGGGATACCCCGGCTAAGTGAACATCCGCAGAGCACCAGTATTTACCTGTACATGGTGGCGGACTATAGACCGCGCGTCTACATAGCCAGGGTCTAATGCTAGTGTCTAAACGACTTCCCAACGCAAACATGCAGCCGTAAGCCTCAAAAGGCGATCGAAGAGCCCCTGCCTTCGCTGTACTGCTCCCGGCCTTGACAAGACGAAGGGGTCACGGATGAGACATAGAAACCCCAGAAAAGGGCCAATTATCAAGGTAGATGGTATAATTCTCCATCAAGACACGGATCTAGCAGTGCATCTACACAATCAGATCCCCTCTACACTATGTGCTGATGGCACACCCACCTTATGATTGGCTATGTACTACCTCGTCTATACGGGGTAGCTAAGCGCCCTACGTGACTGCGCTGCATGGGAGGCGCATCACTCATTCAACCATAGATGCCGATCAAAAGTCTACCTTGATCTATGTTGAATTCTAGATTTCCCAAATCATATGAGCTGCGAGCTAGACAACCCCGTGCGTAAAGCCCACCCCGAGCGCGCTGTCAATTTCTACCCTTTCTACCCCGACACATCGGTACAGTGAGAGGAAGGTGTACGGGGACGATACTATTTTACCAGGAAAACCGCCAGGAGCAGAACTCCACAGTATTAGGTAAAGACATAGAATTGGTAGTTGGAGTGCAGGATAAGAGAAGCCTATGCTACCTGTTAAGTCATGATTCAGTCGACTAGCTCCAACGGTATCATTCAATGTCACATTATAATAAAGGTGTACTCCTCATATTATGAACTGTTCATATGTGTATCATGGTGAAGTATCATATATCACATTATACCGCCTTCTTTGTACTGGAACTCGGCTTATGCCACTCTTTCTATGTTGTAGAGTGGTTCAATCTGTAAAGGCAAGGTAAAGTATGAAGTTTAGGAACCTTTAGGCTCTTGAGACTATATATGATGCCGCAGAACACAGCAACTGGTTGTGTAGTGTAATGGTTAGCACCCAGGATTCTGATTCCTGTAATCCCGGTTCGATCCCGGGCACGACCTAATGCCTCTCTTTTTTGTTCTTGCTCAGTAGGTACTGAGACTAGGCTCATGAATCTAAAATATCAAATGATCCCAGCAAATCATGGTTGTGTAGTGTAATAGTTAGCACCCAGGATTCTGATTCCTGTAATCCCGGTTCGATCCCGGGCACGACCTAACGCATCTCTTTTTTTGCGTATCTCAGCATCTCCGGAGAACGGTGGGCTCACCTTGTCTTTCAAGTCAATCTGTGAAGTAAACGAAAAGTTCTTTTCTTCTTCTAAAACCGAACCAGCCAATCACATCGCATTCCCTAGCCTGGTTACCAATTTGGGGTCCCAGGTAGTGGAAAATTCAAAACGACAGCGCCGATGTGACTCCTCTACCTGACAGGGAATGGAGCGGCAATGCTTCACCCATCACAATCCGAGAAGTAGGCGCAGTATATACGCGAAATGGTTTGTTCGGTAAATAGCTGGTCGCCAGTCTCCGTGCCATTCCATGTGCAAGCCTTAAAAGTGGACCTATACCAAGACAGGCAGGTCGCTGATGCACCACGATTCATCACTCATTTAAGTAGATGAAAAAAAAGCATAAATGGTACCCGATAAGTGGATCAGGAACCTCACACTAGACAGGGGACCGTTTCCTTCCCCCACCTTGGGCGCGGAGGGAATAACAGTCACTGCTATCCTGGCCCATCCCGGAGGATCGATAGTGAGGATATTAACTCGTCCCGACATCCCTGTCTTGTCACACACATGCGGTCTGCCCCGTAACGGACATCACCTATCACCTACGGCGTGGCCACTCAGCCAATGGTCGTTTGGCGCCGATGGAATTGACTCCGATGTGATTCTCTCGGACAAGACGTGAAGGCAGAGAATTTTTTTCTAATCCCACCCTACTTGGCACTATCGCGCTCTAAGTTAATAAATCTCTGATCAGATCCGATAGCGCCGCAGGGGAAGAATAAGGGTAAAAGAAGAAAAAGGAAATACAGCCGAGATTGAGCCACGCCCCGTGCGGGTCATTGCATGCGTCCATCTATCTCGTTGGCGATCTATCTCTATCCCGCCCAGGACTAACTCCAACGGCTCATCGACACCCAAAAAGGAGAAAAGGGAAGTTTCGATGCGCACGAGGGAGAGACGATAAGGGGGCAAAGGGTTGCACAAGAAACACGGACCCTCTTCCGCATGATTGATGATCCATGAGGGCTTGGTGTCACCCTGACACGGTTACCCAATGGCTTCAAAGAGACTTTTCTGACTCGGGGTTACAGGGCATATTTCGAGGCGGAAATAGTGCAGGCGTTAGCTTGGATTTTAGCACTAATTGTAGTTAGTAAGATGGTACAAAAAGCTCCGTGAGAATGTTCTCTTACCTCGTACCACCCTGGCGTCTGGTGGGGGATCTGATTTGGTGGGTGACCTGCGCTAAATTGGGAGCCTTGTCAGATCTGCAGTCCGTTAGCATCGGTGTACTAGAAAAGGTTTTAAAAAATGTTTTAGAAAATAATAATTGTATTAACAACGGGTTATAATAAAAATAAATTACAAGCTTAAAAAAGAAAAAGAAGAGAGAAAACTAAACAATCCAAAACAAGGAAGAGGGTTAAGATTCGGTAGATACTGTTGCCGGAAGAGAACATAGTATGAGAGCGACAAGTCCTGACTAAAGAGGAAGTGCTGAGATAAGATTAGTTCAGGCTGTTGCCAGAGTCATCAGGTACAGTCCTCTACCTATCTGGCTATCGGATGACCGTGCTAATTGACTAACTTAGTCTTAACTTGCGTCTTATATAATCTGGGACATTGTTTCAATTGTCTGACGCATTGTGTCAATGAACTATAATATCATCCTCCCAGGAGTTTTCTAGACCTATGAGTAAGGGCTCCTTTGTTAAGTAACACCTGTCCAACAGTAGGTATAGGCTGGAAGTCGGTGAAGCGCCAATCCTACTAGATAAGACGCCACACCATCTTTAGCTCTATGTGGACAGGAAGGGATGAAACTAGCTTGGTGATCATCCATCATGGCAACGGCTGACTGAGTCCTTGGGTCCCGGAAGACAATCCGCCGGAGGGAGTACTACTATACCTTGTATAGTAGTCTATCGACTAAAATTTGGTAGGTAAGGGAGGACATGAGAAGCAAGTAGATCATGGCCTGGTTCAACAATGCACACCCGACCCCCCCCCCATCAGTCTGTAATGAGTATCTGCACATTGCCCACATGTGTATGCATGGGTATGCATGCATGTTGTGAGGTCACATTCCACAAGAGCGGGGAGGGCAGAGATTGAGCGAAATGCACCTTTTGGCGTTGTGACTATTGGCGCCTCCCTACATGGTGGTGTTTGCTTCCTATCTCTTCGAAGAGGAGGAAAAGGTACTCTGTGGAAGCCTGGAGGATTAAGAAAAAGAATAGGAAGAAACCGCATTTAGAAGCTCCCTAGAGGTTGAGTACTGTCTGACTCCAACCGCATGTTTTCTTTCTTTTTCATCCCCCATGGTCTTTTCTTGATTGAGTGAGAGACCTCAAAGAAGCAAGACACTTGACTAAGAACCACGTCTGGATTCTTGGCCTGCTCAGTGGCTGGTCCAGTCAGCACCAGCGGATAGTCCAGAACCTTGAAAGGCAAACCAAGTTTTCCTTAGCGGCGATCATTCCACCGTGGTTGCCATGTGTTTTTTGTCGCTGAAAAGTCAAAATCTTCCCCAATCATTATTCTTCCTCTTCCTTTGACTGGCCGGGACTTGAGGAACGGGTGTAAGGGAGACAGAATACTTTTCTATTTTTTCTTTTCGTTTCCCAGATCGTCCTCTTAAGCTCGTTAAGTTAGTAGCGTACGATGATTATATTATTCCTGGGCATTTTATCACCTCCCTGGAAGATTGCCCCGGTCGCTAATGCATCTAGGTCGGCGCGTGCGGAGCTGTCATAACACTTCAGTACCAGGGTCATACCTTGTATGATCTATACATAATATTACCCGCTATGGACACTCACCACGGCGATAAAATCAACCTCTCGGTACCCTGAATATGTATTTTATCACAATGTAACTCTGCCAGATTTTTAACCAGGTACCTCACACAACCTCCTCCACTCCCCATCAAGGAAATGATCTGACAGAAGCATATTTCTGGATGACTCGTGCCGATCAAGTGTTCAACTTCTGCAAGGAGGTCCCAGGTACAGTACTGTACTTGTTGGTCTTAAGTGCCACAGAATACAGTACGGTTGCCGTAGTTCGCAGCCCGCGGGACCCCTGAGGACGATCGTTCAGTGCGGCCACGTGAAAGCAGTCAGTATCGAGATCGTGGCCGACCGAGGGACTAAGTCTCAATGGGGTTGTTGTTCCTTTTTTCTTTTGTTTAAAAAATATATATATTATATATATATATATATACATTTTTAATTAAATTTATTTTCGCCCCCCTTCTCCAACATGCGACGATCAATTCCTCAGGTCATACTAATACAAATCATAATGCCCAAGTCCCTGCACTTAACGTTCTTCTTAATAAGAACTCTCTACCGGAGTAGATACTATAGTCTATGTGATCGGAAAAATTAGGAAAAAGTCCTGGATCCAACTTTCTTTTTCTAATTCGTCTTGATTATCCGGACTTCTCGTAGTCTAGATCGAATACGGACCAAAATTAGCAATACGGCGATCGACCTGTAATTCATCAAGCATATCCGCGGAGGTTAAGAAGAAGAAGCAGCATAATAATGATGATGATAATAATAATAAGAAGAAGAAGAAGAAGAACAATAATAATGAATTAATTATTAATCTACATATGTACATACAATGCAATCACACCCCTCCCCATGCGACTGAGACAAACGCGAAGAGGGTCGAATTCCAATGACGCGGAGACTCAAGTCCATGATGTAATATTTCATGTAAAGAACGATAAAACCGTTGACATTGTGCCCAAAGGTGTGTGGTGTGTTGCCAAGTCCAGTACCATCCCTCGCGTTGAGACCCCTCGTCGAGGAATGTTTGACCCATACAGCAACGTGTTCTTCCATCATCCAGCGCCATGGGTTTTGAGGTGCCGAAATTCTTCAGGCCACGGGACATTTTGCAGGCGTGGACGGTGCATTTGCTGTGACGGCGTCAAGCCCTCTGATACGCTGACTAGAACTGGATCTCCTCCCCCATCCCATACTGGGCCCCACTTCCCGGCTGGTCCAAGCTACTGACACTAAGCACTAAAGGGGAAGTGCATTCTTTCAGCCAATTCTTTGACCCCCTCTTACTTTCTTTCCACATCCCCATTTATGCAGACATCCCGGGTTTAAGTTCCAAACAGGCTGACACACACACACACACACACACACACACACACAAAGTTTCCTCCCCGTTGGACCAGTTAGTTATGGATCCTTAGGTTTCTACCTTGAAAAGTGGGGAACCTCCCTCCCCCTTCCCCCCCGTGGCTCATGTCAGTCCGGCGAGCAGGCCTACCCTGTTTTGAGTTAAGCCTCTGTCGGCTAGCACTGCTCCAATAATGAGGTCCTTTTCCAATGTCTGGTCTCGACACGCAGAAGGTGAGAGGTGGGGCGTGGGAGAAAAAAAGCAAAGTAAAAAGGAGGAAAATTTCAAAAAAAAGTAAATAGAATATTTTCGAAAAGTGCAACCAAAAATTTTTCATTTCTTTTCTTTTTTCATTCTTTTCGTTACTTTTCATATTTCATTTTCATTTTACATTTGAAGAGAGAGAGAGAGAGAGAAAAATGGAGAGCAACAGAGTTAACTCCAAATAGACCCTCCACCTAACCATCTTGGTACATACTATATCATATCGCTAGGTGAGATCGGCATGAGGATTGCCAAGATAAATCCTTACAATTTCCCTACAACGGCAGATCTCGGGCTACTTCAAATCAAATCTTGGCGATCTGAAGCAAAAGTTATTTAACGATAATTTTATGGGAGAGACAAACGAGATGTTGAACACTGATGATATAGACTGTAGTGAATGTCCAACGTCTTGGATAGGGCACGTATGTCGAGTAACATGAATAGGGTCTGACCACAGAAGAGCCACCTCTACCACAACAAGGGCATACAAAAGATGACGGGTATCTTTTGGCGTTGCACTTGGAAAGAACTAGCAATACCGCGCTTAGGTTCTGCAGAAACAACCTATGTCTATCCGACCGAGAGAATATGTACATACAATATGTTAGTAGGTTCCTTTTGTCAACTCAACTCTGATAATTTATTGTATCTCCAACTCCAGCACGGTTAGTCAACCAGTGATGTGTTGGAGTGACCCACTAGTGGATAAGGTGAATAATCTCAACTTTGGTACCTGGCATTCGACAGAAGTATAACCGAGAACTGTTCAAGTGGCCTCTCAAAAATGTGGTCCGATTGTAACCATGGATAATGGTGTTCTGGAGGGGTACGTACCCTCCAGTTGAGTTTTCCTCCCCAGAGAAGACGGCCTCGTGGCGGTGGCTCCGGTGTTCCATTCTCGTGCAGTAGTGCGCTTTTGTCTTTAAGCCTAGTGCTTGACTACTACTTCGATGGCTTTTGCTCTGAATCTCCGTACTCCGTACTCCATCCGCTGTTTACTCCGAAAGGAGAGATGAGATCCTCCAAAGCTCTCTCCGCAATACCCGTCAGGTCCAATGCCATTGCGGTCATATGAAAGGAATAGTATCTTTTTTACCTGGATCCTACTCTGTAGTATGTACTGGTGGATGATCCTCGTGTTTATTGCTGGGAACAGGATGTGGATATTGATCGGGTAAACCCCTTCCAGTGATGTCTCCCCCCAGTTTGATTTTCTTTTCTTTTCTTTTTTTTTTTTTTTTTTTTTTTTTTTTTTTTTTTTTTTTTTTTTTTTTTTTTTTTTCTTCCCCTCTATTATTTTCTATCTTTAACCTCGAAGTTACACCAAACCGTTAATGAATTCATATCAAGATTTTCTGATTACGATTTTATTTTTCCGTTCCTATTCTAGAGAGTGTTTCCTCTTCAGGGTTAAAAATCCAAGACACGTAGATCTCTGCGTAAATCTACTTTAAAGGGCGCGCAGGGCAGACAAGATGGTCACACTTATCATTAGTGTAGAGGTGATCTGAAATTACATGCATACATTCCTTAAATTTTTAACCTTTTTTTTTTTTTTTTTTGTGTGGGTTGGATATGATGCCATAGGACAGTCCCTGGTCTGGAGAAGGAAGGGAGAGGGCGTGAGTGACTGCACCATGCACCATGTGTTGAAGAGTTGGTCATTATCACTTTAAATTTCCCATGAAATCTTAATTGTGAAGCATAACTACCAAGCAGGTCTTCATTACTCCCTGTTGACCTTTCTTTCCTCCTCAAACCTACCTGATTACAGGCACAGTCATCTCCGATTTAGGTAGTAGTATAAGACGTCCTTCCCCTTCAATTCCAGTGTCAGTGGTGTTTGCTTCTTCTTTTCTTCTTTTTGTATTAGAATTTTTGTCCGTCTCTCCTGGGCTTTATCCTTTTTAAGAAGACCCCTCAGTCTGTCATTCTGTATTGTCAGTTGGGGTAGGCATATATGTTGATGAGTCTCTTCCCTTTGTCTGACCATTCCCCGTTTCTCTCAATACGGGGAGTGAGTACGGCAACTATCAACTCTGACGCAGTAATTTTTACCTGTCCGTCATTTCAATCCTTTCAGCCATCCCTCGATTCCACTGTCACCCCAACCTTTTAGGTCGATTATCACATCGATAGCTTCCGCTACTAGACTACCTTAGTCTTTCCCACTTGATCGAGTTCCAAACTTCTTGGAGTTCCACTGTCTGAGGTACACAACTCCGTATTCCTTCCATTACTATTATTATTACCTATTTGCAAGCCTTTTTCTTTTCCCTTCCTTTTTTCTCTCGTTTTTTACTTCCTTCCTCTCTCCCTCCCCCGTCTCACTTTCACATTCTATCTCTATTTTTACCTTTTGAAGAAGAGGAAATTCTGTTTCTTCCTCTATTCTTCCTTGTTCCTCTCCTTTAGTGTTCTCTCATCCTGTCTTCAATCCTCCCCTCCCGCGCAGGTCATACTACTTACTACTACTATTATTATTATCAGTATTTTATTATTATTTTCCCCTCCCGCTGACCTTATTAAAGTTCTGTTGGCCATCATCGGTCGGGATCTTTTGCCCTAACAACTTTCTTCCTGCCCAATTGTTCGTCCTTTCGGTTTTGTGCCACGTTCCGCTGCGCCTCTCAAGCGTTTGCGCCTTCATTTTAAGGTAAGCTGCTTTTTTGAGAGATCCATCACCCATACCCCGGCATTATTGGCTGTGTCTGCTACCATCTGTACCTAATTTCCCCATCTCCTGCTGACATGAAATTGCATGGTCACTTCAAGGGAAATTTTTTAGCTTTCCCTCTTTTTTTTTTCCCTT